AATAAATAAATAAATAAATAATTTAATTGCCCAACAGAAACTTCCACTAATAGGACAATATTAATTAAACATAATGAAAAACTAATAAGAAAAACAAATGAGAAAAAAAACTGTTCGAAGATTATTTCGACAGAACTTCCCCCGCCCTTGAGTACAACTCCAGATTTTTCGAAAATCATTTGGTTTTACGAATTTTATTTTTTTTATGATAGCCCTTATAAGTTAAAATAAAGATATGTATGTAATGTTAAAACAAAGGTAAAAAATTGGTCTAAAGAGTTTAGACAGTACTTCCCTCGCTGTCGAAAACGTGACGACTGTATGCCTATTATGTTTTTTTTTCGCAGTGGATTTCAAAGAATTCGGTTTTGTAGTTCCTGAGTAAATCAATAAAATAAATTTACGCATTCATTAATTTTTTTGAGTCACCCTGTACATTCAGATCCAAAAAATATGAATGGAGTGATAGATCACAAGTACAGACTCATCATATTTTGTACATTTTAGATACGATTTATTCGGCAAACTTTTGAGTTGACGTCATCAAGTTTTTGGAGGGGATAAGCAAATATATTTTGACTAAACATTTATTATGCTCTTTATAACCTTAAAACATCTGCAAGATGTCAGAGCATTCCGTTTTGTAGTTCCTGATTAAATCAATAAAATATATTTACGCATTCATTAATTTTTTTGAGTCACTCTGTATATGCAAATCCAAAAAATATGAATGGAGTGATAAATGACAAGTACAGGCTCATCATATTTTGTACATTTTAGATATGATTTATTCGGCAAACTTTCGAGCTGACGTCATCAAGTTTTTGGAGGGGATAAGCAAATATATTTTGACTAAACATTTATTATGCTCTTTATGACCTTAAAACATCTGCAAGATTTCAGAGCATTCGGTTTTGTAGTTCCTGATTAAATCAATAAAATATATTTACGCATTCATTAATTTTTTTGAGTCACCCTGTATATGCAAATCCAAAAAATATGAATGGAGTGATAGATCACAAGTACAGACTCATCATATTTTGTACATTTTAGATATGATTTATTCCACAAACTTTTGAGCTGACGTCATCAAATTTTTGGAGGGGATAAGCAAATATTTTTTGACTAAAGATTTATGATGCAGATTAAAAATTAAATTTCAAAATGTTGTTTTATAATTTTGATTTTTTTTCCAAAAATCTGGACGTTTCGGGTGAAAAGTCGATTCAGAGTTGTAAACTACATGTGTAGGACTATGTTATTTTATACAATTGAAAACCCATTTACTATGTACAATTTTGAAGTGACGTCATCGCATTAGTGGTGGGGATGATTAGACAAATTTTGGTTAGCGTTTTACCATCTACATGATATTCTTAATATAGGTACAAAATTTCACAACAATCGGTCGAGTACTTTCGGAGATTATCTGTCTAATAAAATCCGGGACAACAGACGGACAGACGGACGGACAGACGGACGGACAGACGGACGGACAGACGGACGGACAGACAGACGGAAATGGGAGACCTATTTCTTCGTCTTCTAGGGGTCATGAAAGATCGAGAAAACGTAAAAGTAGAGAGTCGGCCGACGGACTCGATTACAATACTTCCTTTGCTTACGCTCGGGAAGTAAAAAGCGTGCTATGCGTTTGGTTCAAGTGAGTTTTCCCCAATACAAAATTTTGTGATGATGTTATCAACTTTTTTGCAAGGACCGCATCTCAATTTGAATAGATGCAGTGTAATACTAATAACAACAGTAGTACATTGCCAAATTTTCTTAACTTAATCAATACAATCCTTTCTCATTCATTTTTTTTAAGTCACCCTGCATAACTAATTCCAAAAACTACGCGTGCATTGGTAAACTACATTTAAATAGAATGTATTCATCAAAATTTTGAGATGACGTCATCAATTTTTTGGGAGGGGCGAAACGAATAAATTTTGATTAACGATAATCTTAAAACGTTTACAAAATTTCAGAGAATTCGATTTTGCAGTTTCAAAGTTAAATTGCAAAATGTTGTTATACAATTTTAATTTCTTTCCCCAAAAATCTGGATGTCTAGAGCGAAAACGCAGCACGGAGTCATACACCACAACTGGCGAAGTATCGTATTTTATAAAATAAAAAAAAGGTTGTTGCAAATTTTGGAGATGACGTCATCCCATTGGTCGTAAATGATTAGCCAACTTTTGGTTGGCGTTTTACCATATACACGGAATTCCTAATATATATGTATAAAGTAATAATTGATCACAATTAGTACGGTCATTCTGTCTAATAAAAATTGACACATACAGACAGATGGACAGACAGAGAACAGACAAACAGACAGCCACACCGACACTAGACAGACAGACGACAAACAGATGGAAACAGGAAACCACTTTTTTCGTACTTTACGGGTCACGAAACGTCGAGAAAACATGAAAATGGCAAGTCTCCGGATGGATTCGCTTACTATACTTCCTTAACTTGCGCTCCGGAAGTCAAAATACGTATATGTGTAATATCCTGAAAAACACAGAAAAGCACAATTTCAGTACGCAACAGTTTTTTTTCGTATTGGTTTCGCAATTGTCGCTATCCTCTTTGCATCTAGTCGAGTGATTCCTTGCACGTTACCCTCCACATGTTGCTCTTTCACACGCTTGTTGTGTCTATGAGTTTGCACCCCTTATCCTTCGGTGTACCTGGGTGGACCGAACACCGGGACTTCCATTTGGAAAGGCATTTTCTGCTTCGTACACCCACAACGCCTAGCTTACGGAGGCGCGTATTATGTGGTAAAAGAGGAGGATATTTAAACCATAATAATTATAGCAATAACAATAATCAAAAGCAGAGAGGATTCACAAAACATAAGTGTGGGAGTACGTTATTCTACGAAATTTAATTTGTTTGTTGTAAAAAATTTTGAGGGGATGTCATCACGTTGTTCGTGGGGATGATCAGCAAAATTTTGGTTAGCGTTTTCGGATTTACATGATATTTCTAATATACATACAAAATTTGACAACAATGGGTCTAGTAGTTTCGGAGATTATCAATCTAATAAAAATCCGGACAGATGCCAGACACGCAGACAGACAGACAGATGAAAACGGTAGACCTATTTCTTCGTACTTTAGGGGCCATGAAAGTTGAAGAAAACGTAAAAGTACAGTCGGCCGACGATCTCGATTTGATTACAATATTTTCTTCGCTTACGCTCGGGAAGTAAAAAGAATACCGTAAAACCGCATTTGAAAAATAATAATCACTCAAATAATGCAGGCAGCCATGCAGGTTGGTAGTTAATTTAAATATTTGAAATGCAGGGCTGGTAAAATTTGATTATTTTAATCCAAATAAATTAAGTTCGACTCCATGCCCCCTCAACGAGTGTACTTATAATTAGTTAAGATCACTTTACTAAAAATTTTCTAATCTGATATGTTGTGAAACTGTCAACTTTAGTAACGATATCTAAAATTCTGGATGTTTTTCCCCGAGTTATTATATTATTCACACTTCATAGCTTTTCGCTCAGGAGTTTAAAATAGTTCGTTAGTGGCATTAAAACTAATCAAACTAACAATGAGATATTTTGGAGAGATAGAACCATGAACATGATTGTCAGTTGAATTACCAAAATTGGGAGAATCATCTCCAACAACAATTTGATGACGTCCGCTCGTTATATTGCATAAATATATATATGAAATAATAAACTTATCTACTTGTGGTTTATGAATATGTGTTGATTTTGTCTTTTACTACAATTTTTTTTAATGTTTAAACCGCCTTGTTCTTTACCAATACCGAACGTAATGTTATAGCAGGAACAGCTCAGAGGTACAGCCTCGGCGTGCGTCGTATACGTGTTCATTAATACGAAAGAAAGGAGTTATGGTGTCCCGATTTGAATCAAAATTTTGCGCACCGGGCTTCTACTTAGTAAGAAAAGGGTAGAAATATGAATAAAAGAAAAACCACTAATTTAAGCGAGAGATGTGCAGAGGGTATGGGTTTGGGGAGAAGGTGACTCGGTGACTCGACTCGACTATTCGCCATATTGATTTGATCTCGTTTCCAAGCAAAAGATCACGTCAGGAATAACTTCAAGTTTTCGCTCTGTGCAAATTCAGCAATTTGTGCCGTGATTTTGTTCCTTTTAGTATCCTGCGGTTTTCCCCGACTGAGTTCGTCAGTCTACCAATCTGCTGGCGCAACAATTCGCCGTTTCGTTCAACCAACGAAGTTTTGTTCCGGTGGTAAGCACGTAAAGTGTTTTATTTGTTCCTCACTTGTAAACATCAATTTACCAAGTCACTGTATTCAACATGAAAATGTCACTTAAAATTTTTACAGCCCTGCTCGTGCTCATACAGCCATGTATTTTTAACTATTATAAGTTAAAATGACAGCCAAAGTTGATTCAGGCAAATTTGCACTCACAACGTTTCTTTACCTTTACTTGAACATATTACATACATATTTTTATTTTTATTTATAATGTTTGTCATAAAAAAAGTAAAATTCGCAAATTACGTTTTACTTTTTCGAAACAGTTGGCTTTGATGTACTGTACGTTATGGGCGAGGGAAGTTCTGTCGAAATAATCTTCGACCAATTTTTTATTAGTACTTTTACGTGTTTTCAATTTTGATCGATAAAATGTAAAGTAAGGTCATCGGATGAAAAATTGATTTTCCTTCAGGTAGCAAAGGAACCATCACATCTATTATGAACAAGCCTCATTAATTTCGTTTTTAATGGTTTTTAACAGCAGTTGCTACTAACAGGCACATCACGTTGATCTATGTACACATAGTAGATCAACATGATGTACCTACTGCACATTTTTTATTTTTGTAGAAACAGAACATGCAAATGCACATGTTATTAAAAAAAATATGAGCACAGACCAAAAATAAGCACTGTAAAATCAAAAAATATTTAAACTTTGGATGTGGATCTCCTAACCTACTAATATGTTTACTTACTTTAATAAGGCACCGTTTGTACAGTAAGAAGCCATTAGTACAATTTCACTTGTAACATAGAGATCCAATAACACAATAAATTAAAACCAAATTTAAACTGTATTTACAGGTTGCTAAAATTTAACCTCACTTTCCACACGACCACTCAACTAATAAACATTACCCCCAACACTGTGAAGGTCAGTGCATCATTTCCATCAATTGTTAGTAAGTAGCAGTAAGTAGTAGTAAGTACTATCCGATATGCAACACACACTACTGTATCTTAAAACCACTGACGTGTAAAATCAAATATTAAAATCAAAGGTATCGAACCATAGGATATAGTGTGCCATAGGTATCGAACTTAATAAAACTGCGCCGCCAGAGCACGACCAAATCTATGTATTTTGATAGGGAAAGGTGGATGATTGATATAGGTAGATGGTTTGAAAGATTTATTAATAAATTATTAAATCTTTAATATTACAATCGGCCGTGGTCCGAGGCTGGATCAGAGAAATCTACACACCGTAGAATATTCTGTAGTCTGGAAATAAAATAGCTATTTATGGTATAAGTAAATAAAAGTAAATTTTATCCAACGAAAAAACAGTTTAGCACACGAGGGGAAGCCGAGTGGGATAATGTTTTTGAGTGGATAAAATGCGTTTATTATCGTGTATCATACAAGATTTTTTCCAATTTCGCAAAATTTTTCAAAAAATTTATTGTTTAGGTAATCCATATACATAAATATTAATTGTACTAGTTATTACTAATATGATGAACATTTAAATAAGGTAAATTGCCTAAGCTGCCTGTACTTTCGTCACGCTCAAATTCAAAGGATGTTCCTGGACTTTCATTAGGATTGTTTTACAGGAGGTGGACTATCAAGCGTTGCAAATTTTAGTTGAATATCCACACATCTATAGCAACGAAAATTTCAGTGGTAGTGCGAATTTTTAGATTTGTTACTTTATTCGTGTTGTCAATGACAGTGTGAATAAAGTGTTACTATAAAACATTTTATTTATCCTTTCGATTAAACTATTGTTTTAATAGCGAGATTTAACATACAAAATGAGCATTTTATTAGCAGAAATTGGAAAAAGAATATTTATTTTATAGTTCATACCAGTTCACCCAAATTTGTTGAAGAATATTTGGTGACTATCGGCATTGCACTAAACTCAAATCCATAAGGTTGTAACCACTCCCTAGTGTAAATTTTTAAAAATTATTCAGTGTAAATCTGTCTTTTAATAACCTGGTGACCACGGTGGTAGAAGTAAGGTGTGGAAACAAGCCGCTCCAATTTGTTGAATAAAACACGCATCCCAGTAGGCTTATTTACTACGAAATAGTATGCAGCACAGTATGTCCATCTATGTATTAACATTTCAACTTGTCAGTGTATTTATGAATGAAATAAGTGACAGATTCGTTGGAGGGAAAATAAATCACAGCACTACGGTTTGTGGTTGGTCTTTGGTGTGAATCGTGTGATTGGTGGATGATTCGACATTTGTGATTGGGTAATAAATGACATTGGCATAAATGTCAAAGATTTAATACAGTTTTCTATTACTTAATTTCAACTGATCTCTCTAGACGTCGCTGCGGTGTGGACAGATAATGACATATAATCCAAACCACGCGATTTGTGTTTTCTACCAATGATTTTGAGGAAAGTTATGAATGAGGTTTCCACACCTTACTTCTACCACCGTGCTGGTGACATATTTGGTGACCTGTCAATATAATGTCAGTTCATTCATGTATTCGCGACACATGATTACGTTCGACTTCACTGCAATTCTTGCACTCCTGCACAGGTTATTTCATAATTATCATTGTAACTTGTCGCAATATTGTACAAACTGATAAACAATTTTCAATAAAAACAGGATAACCTGAGTCTTCATGGTAATTATAATACAAGAGCAACGATAAATAGAAACGTGTTTTATCTTTCATCTGTAGAAAGAATGCCACCTGCTGTAATTTAGACTTGCAGTCGATACGTTTACGAATTACGATAAAATGAACCCAAAAATATTGTGGTCACGAATGAAATCAAATATTGGGCTGGTAAAAAAACAAGGTGAATTGATTTATTTATTGTTGCTGCTTCATAAAAATTACTTTACAGATGGGGAATAACTGAGATATTCAGAATTTGTTTAAATTATTGTACATGAGTATACGTGATAATTATATGTGTGGCTAACTATGACTCGAAGGATCAGCTCTCTCGACTGAAATGATCAATCTCGCGAGCAACACCAAAATTGTCTATAATGGGTAGATCACCTTAATTAGTTGCAATGGATGACCAATTTTTCCTCAAAAAAATGGGACACCAACAAGTCTTTAATGTTATGTTTAATAACTCTAATATTTGGTACTACTTATTATTTACAAAATGTACAAGGGATTTGGTTGAAGGCGATAGGTCTGGCTATGCTCCTCCGTCCTGACGATTTTAGTGGTAATAATGAACAAAATGTAACTTCACAAAATTCAGAGGCTAAAATAATAGGTATGTTGAAAATAATTTGACGGCTTATTTAAACTTACTGTTACAGGAGTGGTTAGAAACATTGGGAACACATAGACCAAATAACCAAAAAGCAATTATTTTTCTGTTGTTAACTTTCTTAAATCTGAATCCCATGGATTTTAATACTCAACGTAAAGTATTTAAACTTGCTGTATATTCTGGATGTTCTTTCGCAAAAATAAACAAATCCTGAAGAGTAAAAAACTCATTTTTTTTGTTTTTGTCAAATATACGGTAGGTTAGATCTTCTTTAAATTCCAAATTTGAATACCACTGCGATTTTTGTTTTGGTTTCCACTTTGCTTCTTGTAACGGTTCTCCAGATTGGTGTTGGGTTATAATTTTGTGGGCTTGACATCGAGAACACTATGGAAAGGATAGGAATTAATGATAAGTTTACAGGGAAAGTATGCAGTGCTTGAATTTAATGAGGGACATTTAGTTGTATTGTGTAGGATATAAAGAGTGGGTATAAAACTTGAAAAGACAATGTTGTACTAAAAAGCGAGATATACACTTTCAACTTGAGATAGTTAAAACTAAAAGTCCTTCGACATACCACCATGTTGTAATAACATGAAAAAAGTTCCGAATGTCGATACGTTACTCTCATAGTATAGTACTCTCTTTCCATGGTATAAGAATAACTACATACTGAAAAGATTTTTACAAGCTTGAATTCAAGTTCTCGGGAGGATGCTTGGGGATAAGCAAGTTTCAATTCATTGTGGCAGTTGGCAAGTGCCATTTTCATCTGCTTATTTACCACAATATGCCGTGTCGGTACCATTTTTCAATGGTATGGTTTAATAACAAACTGTGAGATATTTAAATAAAACTCTCGTGCGTAATTGTCAAATTTTGACATATGCGCCGCTACCAATCTGTTCATGTGAAAAACACCATTGGCTGTAATGCCAACCTTACAATTTAACGAGTGGTTACAACCTTATGGATTTAACTGTACACTGCCCGTCTTGTTATTGGCAATAAAATGTTATAAGGATTGATTTCCAAAATAATACACAGAGATCGAATCTGTAAAAGACAAACGTGACACAAACCACCAACCATAAATAGGTATCTTGTTGGTGCTGTCAAAAAAAAAAACGAACTGTAAGAACAAAGGCTAGGAATAAAAGGATCCAAGTATATAACACTATAAAAAAATTCGCAGAAGGAAAAGTTACCCAAGAATATTGTGTCAAATTAGCAAAAATCTAGTTTTTAGAAAATAAAAATTGATTGTCAAATTACAACTTTCTGTGCTCTAAAAATGTCTTAATTTATATATACTTACCATCACCTTTCACTTGTATCAATTATTAATTGTATTAATGCCTAATTAATAGAAATTTTTATATTTACCTAATAAATATTAATAACAGAAAAATGTTGATCTTGAAAAATATTGTTTACTGATTAGGTGTTTACTTGTGTAAACTCCATCTAAATTTTGTTAGAAAATAAAAACTTTCACGAGTTTAAATATACTCCCCACAAAAATTATCACACCATCCTCAAAATTTTGTATGTTTTCAATCTGAAATCTGAATATATGTAGAAGGAACATGTGGTCGAAGTCACATTGGGCGGTATGAATAAAAGTGAGGAAATGCTCATACTCGGAAGTACGAAGTACCAACTTGAGTTCAACTCAAAATGTTTCTGGTTTTTCTAGTTGATGCTTGAGTAGGTACCAGTCGACGCTCAAGTAGCAACTCAAGACAACAAAAAGGAAAACGGAAAACAGTGACAGTGTTGAACCATCGTGGCAAAAATGGAGTCACCAAAACATAAGTTAACACGCATGGCATACACAATTTAACATGGAAATCTCTATGACCAGTGTTAGAAAAAATGCACTGCACAAATTATGCGTGAATAAAAGTTAATTAAAAAACGGAAGATTGAGATATTCCTACCTGTCGTGCTATAAATCTTTGGCTCACATGCGGGTCATTGTCTACAGTTTCAGTTATACGAATTTCATTTTCGACACCAGTAGTGGTAAGTCCTCTATTTCTTGTTTCTTTCGGCAAATTTTGTCTTAACGTTTTTTCTAAACATCTAAAGATTTGGTCGGATGAATGTCGCCTATCGGGATATTTTCTTTCGTAGAGATTTGCTGCTGCAACGGCATTTTTTCCGCATTCTCCCAAAAACCAAGATCATAGGTATCAACCTGTGGCCGCCTGGAAGTAGGCAACCAGTTATACATACATAATGCAGCCACCGGATTGGCAGTTACAACGCGCAAGCCCAAAGAGGAAACGCCACGGTGGAAACGTAAAACAGACTCTCTTCTTCTCCGACCACTCACCGTGTGCAGACGTCCTCTTCTCTTCAAGACCTCCACGTGGACATACACATACAACCTTGGGCCGTGTTATCATTTTTGTAGTTGGTATTGTAAATAAACCTGTACTAAAACCGTTTCCGTTAGTAATTCGACGACAACAATTACAATTGGTGACCCCGACGTGATCGAAGAACTACGGGTACGAACATGCCGACTGCCGAAGAACTGCAACAGCAACTCGAAAAACAGCAAGAAGCCATCCGGAAGCTAGAGCACACTCCAGCCGGTCACAGACGTAGCGAACCCACCAGACAAAGAGAGGTACGACACAATTAAGAAGAAACTGATAGCCGCCTACACCGACTCACAGGAGAAGCAGCTACGCAAGCTGATAAACGAGATGGAGCTAGGGGACCGACAACCATCCCAGTTATTCCGCGAAATGAAGGCACTCGCGGGGCAGCAGATGAATAGCGAAGTCATAAAAACGCTCTGGCTACAGCGACTTCCACCACATGTCCAACTCGTGCTGTCTGCGAGCGAGGGAGTACCGCTGGAAAAGATGGCAGAAATCGCGGACAAATTGGCGGAAATACACAGAAGCAACGCTATGGCTTCCAGTATCAACGCGATAGGCGCCACCAGCGACACGACGCGGCAGAACACCATCGTACCAACGCAGGAAACTAACCTCATTACGGTAATTGCAGACCTCCAGAAACAGATGGCGGCCTTATCGGTAGCCGTAAATCACCTAACCAACACGAGAGGGCGCAGTCCACAAGCACGGCAAAATGACAGCCGAAATCGGTCAAGGACACACAGCAGGCAACGCACGGATCAAAATGGCGTTTGTTATTACCACGCCAAGTTCGGTGTAAACGCCCGAAAGTGTTTCAAACCCTGCACGTTTGTACAGCCGGAAAACTAGAGGCGCCGTCGGGTATCGAGGCGGTACACGACGACGCGCGTCATCATCGTCTCTTCGTCACGGATCCCAAATCCGGTATCAGGTATCTAGTCGATACCGGAGCAGAGGTCTCAGTCCTGCCGAAAACGTTTTCAGGTAAGGCTCAGTCACAGACACAAGATACACCCGCCCTATTTGCAGCGAACAACACACCCATCCCCACGTTCGGCCAGAAATTCATGGTGGTTGACTTGAAGCTACGCAGAACTTTTAAATGGGTTTTCATCCTCGCGGACGTCGAGAAACCAATAATAGGGGCCGATTTTCTCGAGTACTACCACCTCCTACCGGACCTGAGAAACCGGAAGCTGGTAGACCCCTTGACACATCTCTCTTCCCCTGGTTTCGTATTGGCCTGCTCCGTACCACGCATTACGACGGTGGCAAAAACCTCCAGCTACCACAACCTGCTGGCGGAATACCCGGAATTGACGAAAGCACCACGTCCGGGAAGTCAAACATCCAGCTCCGTAGTGCATCACATATACACAACAGGCCCTCCTGTAGCTGAAACACCACGCAGACTACCACCGGAGAAACTCAAGGCTGCCAAAGCTGAGATCCAGTACATGTTGGAGCAAGGGTGGTGTCGCCCCTCCAGCAGTCCATGGGCCAGCCCACTGCACCTCGTACAGAAGAAGAATCCTGGGGAATGGCGTCCTTGTGGGGATTATCGGAGGCTGAACGGGGTAACAATCCCAGACAGATACCCCATACCACACATCCAGGACTTCTCGGCCAGACTAGAGGGAAAAACGGTGTTCTCCACGATAGATTTGGTACGTGCTTACCACCAAATTCGAGTGGCCGACGAGGACATCCCAAAAACTGCAGTGTGTACGCCATTCGGTTTATTTGAGTTCACAGTGATGACTTTTGGCCTACGCAATGCCGCGCAAACTTTTCAAAGACACCTCAATAATGTGCTCAACGATTTAGACTTTTGTTTCGCATATATAGACGATATTTTAGTTTTTTCCGCGAACCCAGAGGAGCACGTGCGACATTTAAAAACGCTGTTTGAAAGACTGAAGCAACACCAAATCGTGGTTAATGCAGCAAAGTGCGTGTTCAGGGCAAGCGAAGTGGAGTACCTAGGACATAGCATTTCGACTCACGGGACCCGTCCAGCAACCGCGAAAGTGACGGCGATAAGTGAGTTTCCTAAGCCGCAAACTGTGAAGGACTTACGAAAGTTTCTCGGCATGATCAACTTTTATCGTCGCTTCGTCAAAAATGCCGCATCTATCCAAGCACCTCTACATGTGTATCTGCGAAATTCGAAAAAAAATGACAAGACGCCAATCAGCTGGACCAACGAGGCGGAAGAAGCGTTCAGCCAGTGCAAGAGCGAGTTGTCCAATGCTGCGCTGCTAGCACACCCTTCCGAGAATGCCTCATTAAGATTGACCACCGATGCTTCGGATACAGCCATGGGGGCTGTGTTGGAGCAGGAGGTTAAAGGCGACTGGCAACCCCTGGGATTTTTCTCAAAAAAGTTGACCAACACCCAACGAAGGTACAGCACGTACGACCGCGAACTGCTCGCGATATACGAAGCCATCAAATTCTTTCGCTACATGGTAGAAGCGAGAGTCTTCACGGTTAGAACGGACCACAAGCCTTTGATTTACGTCTTCAAACAGAACTCAGAGAAAGCTTCCCCGAGGCAGCTACGCCAACTCGACTTCATCAGTCAGTTCACTACGGAGATAGAACACATACCGGGCGAAAACAACATGGTGGCGGACACATTATCCCGAATCAGCGAAGTTCACACGGCAGCAGTGATCGACCCGGACGAACTCGCCTCCGCCCAAGAACAAGACCTGGAGTTGAGAAACCTGCTGAATTCCAGTACCAGTTTGAAACTCCAGAATCTCACACCCATGAATTCGGATACGGCGATCTGGTGCGACACAGCCACGGGGAGAATTCGCCCCTACATACCCCTCCACTTACGAAAAAGGGTATTTGACATGGTACATTCCAAATCACACCCAGGCGGCAAAGCCACATTCAAGGCGGTACATAAAAGTTTCGTGTGGCCATACATGGAACGCAACATAAAAAAATGGGCGCGCGAATGCCTTCCTTGCCAGCGGTCAAAGGTGAGTAGGCACACTAGAACACCCCTAAAACATTTTGAACTTACAGAATGCCGATTCGAACATGTACACATGGACATCGTTGGGCCATTACCACCATCACAGGGACACCGGTACTGCCTCACGATGACAGACAGGTTCACCCGATGGCCAGAAGTAATTCCCATGACGGACATGACGGCGGAGACGGTGGCGAAAACCTTTTACGCAACCTGGGTTGCGCGGTTCGGTTGCCCCCACCGTATTACAACTGACCAAGGCCGGCAGTTCGAGGCCACACTGATGTCTGCCCTCACAGACCTTTTGGGCACTAAACGTTGCCGAACCACGCCATACCGACCACAGTGCAACGGGATGATCGAGAGGTGGCACAGAACGATCAAAGCCGCCATCATGTGCCACGAGACCAGTGACTGGTACGACATCCTACCTACGGTGCTGTTAGGTTTAAGGACAACAATCAAGGACGACCTTCAGTGTTCCCCAGCCGAGCTGACTTACGGCACGCAACTACGAATCCCGGGGGAATTTTTCTTCGCAAACGACGAGCCAGAAGTCGACCCCAGCAATTTCGTCGACAAGTTGAGGCTCCACATGCGCAACGTCCGACCAAGGCCAGCAACCCACCATGGCCACCACAAGACTTTTGTACACCCAGAGCTGTCTGACTGTTCCCACATCTTCCTCAGAGATGACTCAGTCAGGAAGCCGCTACAACCACCATACACCGGACCACACCACGTATTACGACGTACAGACAAGGTGATAGTGATAAGCAAGAATGGAAGAGAAACCACAGTGAGCCTGGACCGAGTAAAACCGGCTTTCATATCGGCAGAGTCCTGCACTCCGCCTCATGTGCAGCCCCCAACGCAACAGGTCCCGACAACACCTGCGTCGACGAGCACCACTACAAGGTCAGGAAGAACAGCCAGGCCACCAGTGAAATTCCGCGACTACGAAACGTAGTCACTGGGAGGGGACTACTGTGGCCGCCTGGAAGTAGGCAACCAGTTATACATACATAATGCAGCCACCGGATTGGCAGTTACAACGCGCAAGCCCAAAGAGGAAACGCCACGGTGGAAACGTAAAACAGACTCTCTTCTTCTCCGACCACTCACCGTGTCCAGACGTCCTCTCTTCAAGACCTCCACGTGGACATACACATACAACCTTGGGCCGTGTTATCATTTTTGTAGTTGGTATTGTAAATAAACCTGTACTAAAACCGTTTCCGTTAGTAATTCGACGACAACAATTACAAACCTTTTCATCGTTCGTATATTTAACCCTCATCTTATCGCGAAGACTAAAAACTTATCGGAACTCCAAATTGACAAATAGAATGATTGCGAAAGTCAAAATTAACAACTAGGTAATTATGTTTGTACATTTTAGAAAAATAAACTATAAAAAGACTTACGTATGAGATATGTATTTTGTGTTGCACTGAAATTTGCTCAGGGTCCCGTTATTATAATAGGTACTCACCCTGTATATATTTAATCGATGTTAATGTTAATGGTAAGGATCATTAATGGGTAAAGGTCAAATTCGTTTACTTATCAATATCATATTACTTCCATGATACCACCCATTATACAAATTCATTCCTCCATGTTTATTTGTGACATAAACATGTGAGCATGGTGGACCGTCTAGAAATAAAAGGTCTTTGAGAACCTTCGTCCTTCGTTTTTTTTCCTCACTCTGACATAAGACCACATAACCTATACGTCAGTTGTACCTTGCGCGGGAAAAGACGGTGTGGACGGCTTTATCATCCAAAGACGGTTTTACTTGGTTTTACTAGTTTATTATGCTAGTTTCTTTTGTATGTTCATTTCGCATTTAAACCATTGTGTAAAAAGTAACTGGTAACAGAGAATACTTTAATGTGATAAAATGGCCAAACGCACTAACACTGGCCCAAGTACAAACTGCAAAAAATTTAAGTAAGTAAAAAAGTGATCATATTATTCGTAATAAAAATAATGTTCCCGTAGGAATGATCCATTATTTCGGCCTCCGACTGGTTCAATAAATCCTACAGAAGATGCTTTAATTTTTCAAGAATTGGAGTTGGATCACTATTTAGGACAACCGTATAGGGGTATGCCTGGAGCTCAAACAGGTCTTGTACCTGTGATACGCATGTTTGGTGTTACAAAAACGGGCAACAGTGTGTGTTGTCATATCCATGGGTTTTCACCATACTTTTATGTGAATTTACCAAACAGTTTTTCTCAACATGACATACGTAACTTTAAAGTAAGCGATTTATGTCAGCATTTATAGGTCAGTTCATGAAAGAACAGAATATGTTATATGGTCTGTGTATTACAAATTCTGTGGACACATGACGAGGAAAATGCACATCAAATTTGGTACTCTCAAATACGACGCAGAAATTTTGTTACAAAGTTTAGACACTCTATTTTTGTTTAACGTTGAGGCGCACAATAGACCTTCAAATTTACAGGAATAAACACTTCCTCTAACTGACTGTTGTGTGTAGTCAACACATGGGAATATACTCCTCCATACAGTCATTAAAAGAGAAAAGTTCAGTTTTGGCAAATCGGCAACTTATGCTTGCCTATGATAGGCAAGTTGATAGCTTAGACAGGACAATAGTGACACAAACACAATCTTAATATATAAAAGTGTTTGTCCTGACTGACAGACTGACTGATTTATCAACGCCGATACTAAACTATTGAAGCTAAAAACATGAAATTGGACAGTAGGTTCCTTTTGTGTTATAAGTTCCCACTAAGAAAGGATTTTTGGAAATTCCTTTCCTAACGGTCTAAAATAGGGGATGAAAGTTTATGTGGGACTCCTGTCAGTTTTTAAGTTAGATAGGTTCATTGGGAAGGAGGAAGTGAACAGGGTGGAAAATGATGTGATCTAATTGCGAAATTCACCCAAGTGGAACAGCGGGCAACAGCTCTTCTAGTAATGTAATAAATAATAATGATAGAAAAGACGGCCATAATAAAAATTAATTTCCTGCTAGGAGATAATGTTGCAAAGGAATTTTTTATGCATTATAATTTTGTTGAACACATTTGAGTTTCTCCATTCAAAAATTACATAAGCATCGTTCGAAAAGTACACCGCACGGGCAACAGCTCCTTAGCAAAAAATTGAACTGTCGTCTCTTTTTAGCAATAGCTATATTCATTACGAATGATGATTATCCTGATTTCATATAATTAGAAGGTACGGTTTGTTGACTTATTTGTTCTTTGGCCGTGGTTTGGGATATTTGAAAATATAAACGGTTAAAATTGTAGAATCTGGTGTAATTTTTATTTCCCGATCGTGGCCGAAATAAGTAGATATTGTAATAAGGTCCAGCGAGCGACTAACTACCTTCATGTTTTCTCGATGTTTTATGACCCCTAGAGTACGAAAACATTAGTCTCTCGTCTCTGTCGATTTTTATCGGACAGATAATCTTTGAAACTACCGACGATTGTGAAATTTTATATGCACTTTGGGATTATCGAGTAGATAGTAAAACGCCAACTAAAATTTGTCTAATCGTCTCCATCAACAATTTGATGACTTCCCTTCAAAATTTTGTACCTACATTGAATATTTTTAAATTTAAAAAAAAAACACTCGTACACTTGTGGTTTATGATTCCACCCTGATTTTTAATCACAATTACATTACAAAATTGTTTGCGCAATATTTGTCTAGTTGTATATAACCGATAACTTGCGCACGTAGAGAGTAGCAATACGTGGCCGCAATCTAATAAGGCACAGAGCTGCAACAATTTGAGTTTTGTAAAAAATGCATGTTAAATGAAGGTAAAATAAAAAAATTGACTTATTTGTCTACCAATAAACCAATTGTCGGATTAGAGTACATCCGCTGAGATCTAAACACGGATGTAAATCATTTCGAGTCTGCATACTTAGTTGCCTGAATTTAGCAAAATTTTGCATATTGTTTCACAGAGACATCCATTACAATATTAGGAACAAAGTTTTGCGTTTTTTCTGACATATTCTGGGAAGGTTAGGTTTTGCCGTAGTCATATTTCAGTGAAATATCGTCTTTTCTCTGTCTTTATTACTTCCCGAGCGTAAGCAAAGGAAGTATTGTAATCGAGTCCGTCGGCCGACTCTCAACTTTTACATTTTCTCGGTCTTTCATGACCCCTAGAGAACGAAGAAACAGGTCTCCCGTTTCCGTCTGTCTGTCCGTCTGTCTGCCGTCCCGGATTTTTATTAGACAGATAATCTCCGAAAGTACTGGACCGATTGTTGCGAAATTTTGTACTTATATTAGGAATATCATGTGGATGGTAAAACGCTAACCAAAATTTGTCTAATCATCCCCACCACTAATGCTATGACGTCACTTCAAAATTGTACATAGTAAATGGGTTTTAAATTGTATAAAATAACATAGTCCTACACATGTAGTTTATGACTCCGAATTGAGTTTTTACCCGAAACGTCCAGATTTTTGGAAAAAAAAATCAAAATTATGAAACATTTTGCAATTTAATTTTGAATCTCCAAAACCGAATGCTTTGAAATCTTGCAGAATATATTTACTCATTCCCTCCAAAAAATTGATGACGTCAGCTCAAAAGTTTGCCGAATAAATCATATCTAAAATGTACAAAATATGATGAGTCTGTACTTGTGATTTATCATTCCATTCATATTTTTTGGATGTGCATATAGAGGGTGGCTCAAAAAAATTAATGAATGTGTGAATTTATTTTATTGATTTAATCAGGAACTACAAAACCGAATGCTTTGAAATCTTGGACATGTTTTAAAGTTATCATAGCCATGATAAATTTATAGTCAAAATGTATTTGCTATTCCCCTATAAAAAATTGGTCTAAAGAGTTTAGCCAGTACTTCCCTCGCTGTTGGAAACGTGACGACTGCATGCCTATTGTGTTTTTTTTCGCAGTAGATTTCATATATTTTTTTTTGAGTCACCCGGTATATGCAAATTCAAAAAATATGAATGGAATGATAAATTACAAGTACAGACTCATCATATTTTGTATATTCTAGATAGGATTTATTCGGCAAACTTTTGAGCTGACGTCAACAAGTTTTTGGAGGGGATAACCAACTATATTCTGACTAAAGATTTATGATGCTCTTTATAACCTTAAAATATCTGCAAGATTTCAAAGCATTCGGTTTTGTAGTTCTTGATTAACTCAATAAAATATATTCACGCATTCATTAATTTTTTGGAGTCACCCTGTATATAGAAATCCAAAAAATATGAATGGAGTGATAGATCACAAGTACGGACTCATCATATTTTGTACATTTTAGATATGATTTATTCCACAAACTTTTGAGCTGACGTCATCAAGTTTTTGGAGGGGATAAGCAAATATTTTTTGAGTAAAGATTTATGATGCTCTTTATAGCCTTAAAACATCTGCAAGATTTCAGAGCATTCGGTTTTGTAGTTCCTGATTAAATCAATAAAATATATTTACGCATTCATTAATTTTTTTGAGTCACCCTGTATATGCAAATCCAAAAAATATGAATGGAGTGATAGATCACAAGTACAGACTCATCATATTTTGTACATTTTAGATATGATTTATTCCACGAACTTTTAAGCTGACGTCATCAAGTTTTTGGAGGGGATAAGTAAATATTTTTTGACTAAAGATTTATGATGCTCTTTATAGCCTTAAAACATCTGCAACATTTCAAAGCATTCTGGTTAGCAGATTAAAAATTAAATTTCAAAATATTGTTTTATAATTTTGATTTTTTTTCCAAAAATCTGGACGTTTCGGGTGAAAAGTCGATTCAGAGTTGTAAACTACATGTGTAGGACTATGTTATTTTATACAATTGAAAACCCATTTACTATGTACAATTTTGAAGTGACGTCATCGCATTAGTGGTGGGGATGATTAGACAAATTTTGGTTAGCGTTTTACCTTCTACATGATATTCTTAATATAAGTACAAAATTTCACAACAATCGGTCGAGTACTTTCGGAGATTATCTGTCTAATAAAAATCCGGGACAACAGACGGACAGACGGACAGACGGACGGACAGACGGACAGACGGACAGACGGACGGACAGACGGACAGACGGACAGACGGACAGACGGACAGACAGACGGAAATGGGAGACCTATTTCTTCGTCTTCTAGGGGTCATGAAAGATCGAGAAAACGTAAAAGTAGAGAGTCGACCGACGGACTCGATTACAATACTTCCTTTGCTTACGCTCGGGAAGTAAAAATTGATGACGCCACCGCAAAATTTTGCTGAAAAAATGCTTAAATGTGTAAAGAATGATGAGTCTTGTGATTTATCACTGCATTAATATTTTTTAGATTTGCTTATACAGGGTGTCTGAAAAAAAATAATGACTGAGTCAATTAATTTTTTTGATTAAACCAAGAATTACAAAAATGTAATACGAAAAACGACATAATAGCCTTGCAGTCGTCACGTTCCCGACAGTGAGGGAAGTACTGTCTAAACTCTTTAGACCAATTTTTAAACATATAATAATAGAGGTAATCCATAAGTGGTAACCATTTCAGGGAACAGTTTAAGATTATATTGATCATATATTGTAAATTGAAGCTAAAAAACTGATAGCGTGATTCCATTCTTTCATGAATCGAATAATACAATTACATTTTAAATGTATTACTTACTCGTAATTTCAAATAGAATGCAAGTTATGTTATATATGTATCAATTTGTTTTTATACTTGTTTTAGGATAAGTTAAATGAAGCATTGTTAGCAGACTCAAGATCCAACAAGGACAAGATTTCAGAGATAGTTTTGATGGTGGATATTGTAAGTGGAAAATCATTAGTTGAGTATCAAGGCGAGGATGATGTTAACTTTGCAAAAATAACTCTGGCATTACCAAAGCATGTGGCTGCTGCCAAACGTTTATTAAGCACCACTGTTGTTTATCAGCCCCTTGCAAATCATGTTTTCCATTTCTATGAAGCAAATGTGGATGTTGAAACACGTTTCATGGTTGATACAAATATTTTGGGCTGCTGTTGGATCGAACTTCCACCTGGCAAGTGGTTTCAGCGTCCATTTAATAACATGCGTGTGACATCTAGATGTCAAATTGAGGTGGATGTTTCATGGACAGATTTTATTTCCCATGTACCAGAAGGAGAGTGGTCTTCAGTGGCTCGTTTTCGCATACATAGTTTTGACATCGAATGTGCTGGGCGAAAAGGAATATTTCCAGAACCTCAAGTTGATCCTGTTATTCAAATAGCAAATGTTGTAAAGTTGCATGGAGATGAAGATATTGTAGTTCGGAACATTTTTACATTGAAAAGCTGTGCACCAATAGGTCATGCAGAGGTATTTTTTTAAGCTAGTTGTGATTTATTAAAATATGTTATTTACTTGATGAGTTGACACAGTTCCACACTACTACAATGAAAACGATAACATTTAAAACAAACATGAATAAATCTGGTTGGCAGTAGACACTTAAACTTGGGATAGCTTTTGGTGTTGCGTTCAAGGAAAAGTTTGCAACCTAAATAAATGGTGGTAATTTTCAGATTTGTTTAAACTAAATTAATTTTTAGGCGACCATTACAAATTTAGTCGTTTTACGTCCATGAAGTGTCGCTTTTTGTGCTGAAAGGTCAGAATTACTTTTTGAACTCATTTGGTTTTTTTTTTTGGACTACTTGTCACTTTTTTGGACTCAGATGTCAAAAAATTACTTTTGCGTCCTTGGTCGTGTGTTTTTGAGCAAAATAAAAAAAGTCGATTTTTATTTTAACCAGATAATCTCCGAAAATACTGGGCTGATTGTTGTCAAATCATATGTGTATGTTAGGAACATCGTGTAGACAGTAAAACGCTAATCAAGACTTGTCTAATATCCTCAGCAGCAATGTCATGAATCATGACATTGCTGCTGACATTTGAGGTGATATCATGACTCATGATATCACCTCAAAATTTTGTATTTATGATTTATGTTATTTAAAGTTTATAAGATAACCCTACTCCAACAGTTGTGATTTATGAATCAGCCTTGATTTTTTACTCTAGATTCCCCCCTCCCTTAAAAATCAAAATTGTATAACATTTTACAATTTAACTTAAAAACTGTAAAACCGACTACTCTGAAATCTTGCAAAACTTTTAAGATAATTTACCTATTTATCCCCCCCCCCAAACTTCATGACGTCATCCCAAAATTTTGCGGAATGAATCCTATAAAAAATGTTATCATAAAAAAAATAATACAATTGGAAATCAAATTTTACGGTTGTTAGAAAGAGTTTGATATATTGTACTGCACTTCAGAGGCGGGGGAACTTCTGTCTAAATAACCTCAAACCATTTTTTTACATGAGGACACTTGGTTGAATTTACAAAAACTTTAAGGTAACACATTTGTTTTAGGTACGTAGTTTTGATACAGAGCAGGAAATGTTGGAACAATGGGCTGTATTTGTGCGAGAAGTGGACCCGGATGTGTTTACTGGTTATAATATAAATAATTTTGATTTTCCATATCTCATTGAGCGTGCTAATTACTTGAAATTAAAAAATTTTGATTATCTTGGGAGAATTTTAGACATAAGGTAAACTCAAATGATGTTTTACTCTATATTTAGATTTTCTAACACAGGTCTACCATAAAAGAAACTGTAACGCAAACAAAAATTGGCAGAAGAACTTTTAAGTCAATAAATTTTGAAGGTCGAGTTGCTTACGATATGCTGATGGTAATTAAAAGAGACTTCAAACTGCGATCTTACACTTTAAATAGTGTGTGTCAAGAAATTTTAGGGGAACAAAAGGAAGATGTCCATTACAGTATTATTACTGATCTACAAAACGGAGATGAACAGAGCAGGAGAAGGTGTGGTAACCATACATGATTTTGTTCTGTTTGTAAAAATGTGTTTTAAAGACTTGCAGTTTACTGTTTAAAAGATGCTGAACTGCCTGTTAGGTTACTGAATACCGTTCGAAGTTTTACCAACGATATTGAAATGGCTAGGGTAACGGGTGTCCCCATCACTAGCTTGCTAACTAAAGGCGAGCAAGTAAAAGTAGTAGCTCAGTTATTGAAACACGTAGATATTTTGTTTCTTTGTTTTTCAGTCTCATATATTACACTTTTTAGGCTAGAGAAGCTGGATATTTTATGCCTACCCATCAAGGAGCACCTTCGTCGGAGCAGTACGAAGGGGCCACCGTTATCGAACCAATGCGAGGTTATTATACTGATCCAATAGCTACTCTCGACTTTAGTTCTTTGTACCCAAGCATAATGATTGCACATAATTTGTGTTATACGACACTTATTAAACCAAATAACAAGGACAAACTGGGGTATGTAGTTGTAATAATCGTTTTTTCTTACAATATATTTTTTGCGAAAGAGACGTGTTAAAGTACCACCAGTAGAGTGTGTCTTTAAATAGGATTTGCTGTCAATAGCGGTGTTATAGTGTCATTAATTTTTTTGTTTTTGGTTAATGTTTCACTTTTGCATAATAATTTTAAGTTTCATAAAAAATTTTAGAGTAATTGGGTTGGTTGTTTTCACAATAGTTTAGTGAATTTCTAACGGAAAACCTACTGTGGGCCATAAAATATGAAGGAAACTTTGTTCAAGAGGATCTTGTTACAACGATTCCAGTTACTATGGTTCGTTAAAAAATTTAGAGAAACTTGCTACTGATATTGAAAACATTCGATGTACCTACTGTGTAGTAGATTTGATGGGTACAAGTACGACCGCTAATAAAATGTCTTTTAGCGTCCATTTTCTGTTATATATTTTCACTCGTATGAAAAAGCAACTCCGAATTTCATTTACTACATGTAATAATACCTAAGTTTATATGTATCAACTAAATATTTTTAAAACTAATTGCCGTTTTTATGACAGTCTTACAGATGATCAGGTTACTACTACTCCAGTGAATTGTATGTTTGTAAAATCTACTGTGAGACCAGGTTTACTGCCCCACATATTGCAGCATCTTCTAGCTGCACGTAAAAAAACGAAAGCTGCGTTAAAAGAAACTACAGATCCTGTAGTTAAAGCAGTTTTGGATGGTCGACAGTTGGCATACAAAATTTCAGCCAATTCTGTTTATGGTTTTACTGGAGCTCAAGTAGGAAAACTACCTTGTCTAGAAATTTCAAGTGTAAACATTTTCACTAAATAGTGAAACAACTTAGTTCGAAATTATTTTTAGAGCGTAACGGCATACGGACGTACCATGATTGAACAAACTAAAATGGAAGTCGAGCAACATTACCGAATAGCCAATAACTATGAAGCTGATGCAACTGTTATTTATGGTGACACAGATTCTGTAATGGTTAATTTTAAAGTGAAGTCTTTGGAAAGAAGTATGGAACTAGGGCGAGAAGCTGCTGATTTGATCAGCGCCAAATTTATTAAACCTATAAAATTGGAATTTGAAAAGGTTAGATCAATCAAACACAATTCTGTTATACTTGAATTTATTCATTTAAAGGTTTATTGGCCCTATCTCTTGATTAATAAGAAACGTTATGCCGGTTTGTATTTTACAAAACCAGATAAATATGACAAGATGGATTGCAAAGGAATTGAGACTGTACGAAGAGACAACTGTACATTAGTCGTTGATGTGATTGGTACATGCCTACAGAAACTTTTAATAGATAAGTAAGTTATTCCGTTTGAGGATCAATGTTGTTTTTAATATTGCATATTTCAAATTTTAGGGATCCTGATGGAGCTGTAGATTACGCTAAAAAAGTTATTTCAGATCTGTTACAAAATAATGTTGATATATCTCAACTTGTAATAACTAAAGAGCTTACAAAAAATGACTACGCAGCTAAACAGGCCCATGTGGAATTGTCTAAAAAGATGACGAAACGAGATCCAGGAAATGCTCCCAAACTGGGAGACCGCATACCGTATGTCATAATTGCTGCCACGAAAAATGCTAGAGCTTTTGAAAAGGCGGAGGTGATAGCTAAATGTCTCCTGGTACAACTTTGAATTTTCTTTTAATTTCAGGATCCAATTTATGTTTTGGAAAATAACATTCCGATCGATTCACAATATTACTTACAGAATCAACTCTCAAAACCGTTAATTAGAATCTTTCAACCAATTTTAGGTGATAATGCTGAATCAGTTTTGTTGCGTAGGTTTTTTTTTTCAAGTGAATGAATAAATGTATTAAGTTACACATTCTAGGTGGAGAGCACACTAGAACTAAGACTATGGTTACATCAAAAGTTGGTGCTTTAGCAGCATTCACGAAGAAAAAAGAAACTTGTTTGGGTTGCCGTTCAGTGCTACCCGCAGGGTCTGAACATGAAGCAGTTTGTATTCATTGTCAGCCAAAAGAATCACTACTGTATCAACAAGAATTGAATCATCATAGAATGTTAGAAGACAGATTTTCAGAACTTTTTACAGAATGTCAGAGATGTCAAGGATCATTACATGAAGAAATTCTTTGCACTAGTAGAGATTGCCCAATTTTTTATATCCGGAAAAAAGTTCAAATGGAATTGGACCAAAGCAACACAAAAATTTCGAGGTTTGGAAATCCATTGGTTGATAATTTTTAATGTTGTAAAATGACCCGGTTAAAATTTTTAAATAAAAGCAAGTGATTTCATATTTTTTCTTTTTTGGAGACCACATGTCGTTTTAAATCAATCAATTTCCTTATTCAGAATGAATTGAACGTGCAAAATAATTCAGATAGAATAAATTACAAAAAATACATGCACTAACTTTTGTACCAATCCTCATCATCTTTTAACAAAACTTTCAAAACAAAAGTTTTCGAAATATTAAAGAAAAATTGGTATAAATACATTTATTAATTGTTTGAAATGATAGACAACTTAATTCAGTGTACAAGTGGTCATAAGCGTGCGGTCTCCCATATTTCATTACGTAAGTATTAAAGTTAGAAGAAAAACACCAACGCTGTACGATTCTTCGGGGACGCACATTAATAATTATTTTCAAGTATTTCGTGTGTTCCGCATTTTTTTTTTTTTAACTAAACATTGTGTTATTTTTGTATTAAGTGCGCGAAATCACATGAGAATGTGGTTAAAAAAACTTGGACTCATACACGAAATACAAACAACGGCAGCATGATTGACGACTAAATTTAAACTATGGGCTGAACATGGAACTAAAAATGCACGTGGATTAATATCAAAAATTCTCTTTTGTAACCCATTGTATTGTCGTGCCCAAACTGTTTTTGACCGCGGCCGAGCATTTGAACACTAACAAAATTATTTATTTGGGTGTAGGCCCATTTCCTTGGAAATGGAAAAGCCAAACTGCATGTGAGGAAAGAGGTTGTGATAACCCGACCACGCCTTAAATTGACATGTGAAAAAGAAATTGAAAGTCCGCGAAAAATTTAAAAATTCAAAATTTGGCCTTGGCTGTGATCGTCTAACAAACTGGAACTCTACGTTGTGTTTTTGAAAAATGGCGGGATGCGTTCAGATGCAAGTGGTGGACCCCAAGGTTGGAAAAGTACCGCTAAATAAAACACAAAATTTATGGAGGACACAAAAGTATTTATTCCTCCACTGACAAAAAAACAGCTGCGTGCGAGGGTGACTCCTCCTAAATCCCTAAATATGTGCGATACCTTCTAAAACATAATAATACGTGCGTGGTAATTAAACTTCTAAAACTACTAGATACGACTTCGAGTAATGTACTTGACTCTTTTTAATAAACTGCGACTGGTTATTTACATGCTAGCTAAGTACTATCAAAACTGCTAAAAACAATTAAAACTAAAAATTCAGTCGAAATCAAAGAAATCTTCCCCTGAGAATAAAGACAAACTAAAACTAACCGAATTAAAACATGTACTTAACTCTACGCTAATTATGAAAATAAAATATTCAAAAAGAGAGATAAGTAATTTTTACTTATTTTTTTAATTAATTCGCTAAATACGCCAGGCGCGAACACTTGAAAATGAATGGTCAGAGCCTTTCAGCGAAACTAAATCCAGAGAAAATAGTACCATAAATGCTTTCAAGTACGGTGAAGCATTAAATTCACATGAAATGTGAGGTTTCCCAAAACTATGGTAAAATAATCAAAGAACGGAATCATAATGAACGGTAATAAACTCAAACCAAAATTATCAACTGCAAAGGAATTACATTGAAGTGGTTCCAATTCGGAAACTTCCCAAAAACCCATCTAAAATATCCGTGTCGCGAACGCAGAGGTCGAATCCGCAAACTAAGGAAGGGTTGGATTAATTTTCATAAAAGGTGATTGGTACATTCTCGAAAAATCCTTCCCGAGGATCAAAAGCTCACGCAAGGCCAAAAGTACCGCCACTGGTACCGCTCAGAAACAAGGACATCTGTTAACGCTAAAAATTCCTTCCGCCTCCGGCGCTATTTGTTCACACCAAACGCATCGAAATCCCCCGACAAAAAACGCATAAATTAAACGCTTAATAGGTACGGCCGAAGTCGAGAACAGAGTAGGTTAGCGAGAGCAAGATCAGTTAAGTGAGACTGATGGTAGAATTATAGTTCTTCCACCACTTGGACAGTATCTAGTAAAATTTTATTGATATTTCAAAGTTAACCATGAAGGTTGAACCCACCAAACCATAAATCACAAATTCAATGCAACCCTGGACGTTTCTAGCCCACTATACACTGGCGGCACGCTCCCTTTATTGGCGTCATTATCCCCTTGCATTGTCCGACAATTCCTCAAAGTAGCGGTTGTATAATTTAACTAGGTACTGATGTAGTGTTAGATCTGTACGCAGATGCAGCACCGAAATTTTTCTGTCTTCTTCTCGGCCTCATCAAATTTTTCTAAGTTCGAATTTCTTCAAAATTCAGCCAAAAATCGTAGAAAAATCGGTAAGCAAAGGGACAGCGTGGCCCACGCTACCCACGGCAACTCGAAACTTGAATGAAAATCGCTTTCTGCGCTACTGCTTTTTGCCGATTTATTTTATCTCCCGCGATGTTAGCAAGCCATAAAACTACTTCAGTTTAGTTTGGTTTGACTAGGATTTCGTCTCTGAGGGATTTACGCGAGTTCGGTGCCGTAAATTTTTCGGTTTTTTCAACTTGTATCATGGTTCCCATGTCGTCATCGCTTCGTTGCGTCAGCCTGTTGTATCTCTGTTAGTAAAGGCGGCGTTGTAATTACGATTGTTGGTTTTTATGGGTGTACACGGTTCTGCGCATGTTGTCTGCAATGTCTGACAAGCGCAATGATATTTGATATTTGCGAATATGCGAATTTTGTTCTTACTTTTAGAGATTAGTGGTCGGGTTTGATTGTCTGTGCTAATGGTACTACATGCTTGTTAAGCATGAGTTAAGATTTTTATTGTGATTTTCTCGTGAACTGACGGCCCGTTACAGTTATTTGACATGACGAAGATGTGCAGAACACATTTTCATTTAACGTAATGCCAAAAAATTAGAGTTGGACAACTTTAGAGTTACCTTAAATTAATTAAATTTTTTGCGTATGAATACTCTATTATATACGTTATACCTATTAAATTAAATCTTAAATTTTCGTTCATGAAGACAAAGCACTTGCTAGGAGACTTCAGGAGATTCATTTATTTTAGGTCTCACTCTTTTGTTTATCAATTTATAACCAAGCTTTCTGGATGCTTATACTTAACTACAATGATATTACATTATAACATTTCTGAGTTCCTCACTCAAGATAGTTATTAGTTCATTTACGGCATTTAAATTGACCTAACGTTATCCCATTTTTGGAAAACGGAGGAATTTAATTTGTGATTGGTTTGTTATTATCCGGATATCACCGTTCAACAACCTGGAGATTTCATCATCGAGATATTGTCGGGACGCGGGATACGTACCAGCAGAAAATGCCCATTTGGATTTTCAACTGGATCTTGGGTTTATTTTTTGATGTGTTTGTTTTGGGTAATGGAGAACAGTCCACGATATAGGTAAACTCTCGAAACTAAATTTTCTGAGTAACCAGTTACTTGAATTAATGCATAATTTAATCTCATGTATATAAATTCTTTGTTTGAATCGTTGATAAAATGTAGCATAATTTAACATCATGTAAATTTGCAGTTTTTTTTTTTATCAGATTGGAGGAATAAATGATTTTTGTGTCCTCCATACATATTGTGTGTTTTATTTAGCGATACTTTTCCAACCTTGGTGTTCACCACTTTACATCTGAACGGATTCCGGCACAAAAAAAAACACATACACAAATCGGCAGAGACACCAGATGACGACAGACGGCAGTCAGACAGGCGGAAACAGGGATCTATTTTTTCGTAGTCTTGGTATCATGCCATTCGCTGGATGAACCCCGTCATAATATTTCCTTAGCTTACCCTTCGGGAAGTAAAACGAAATATTTCTGTCTTACATAACTCCCTTTCCGTGTGGAAAAGGTTTTATTATGTTTTTTTGTAAAATTCGCAAATCTCTAGTTAGAATACAGGTAGCGTAAAAATAAATTAATTTCATAGCTCTCTTTTTAATCTTTTTCAAGGAGCATACCATACGTTTTTAAAAATCAAGGTTTCAATAACAATAATAGATTGTGATACTAATAATAAATCTAAGAAATATTGTGCGAGATTCATGTACCTGTCAGCACAGTTTTAGGAAAAAGAAACCAAACGCAGAATTTAGCAGTTTATTCTTTTAAAACGCAATCATCGTGTATCAGCATCCGAACACAAGTCCATTCCTGTCCCTGCCGTCTCCGCGTCGGTGTTGCTCGGACAGTCTCGACCGTTGGCGACCCGCCGCCTCCGGCTGCCGAGCTCGCCCGATGGAAAATGCTGACACGGCCTTTCCTGACATGGAGAGTGTCCTCACTCGACGGACATGGGCACCTCAGTCCAGGTCCTCGGACTGAAACTCATACATACAGGCTTTAGACTTTGATCGTCACTTCTCCTACATTAAAGATATAAATCAGAGAGCAAGCTGCCTGTCTGCCGGGGACGGTAACTGGAAGAAAACAGGGTAAATTTGGCCAAACTTACATAACGCAAGAATACAATACAAAACAAATGATGGCGAATATTAAATGTAACGCATAGAAGGAAGCTTAATTTTTAAATGAACATAATACTTAATAATAACGCAAAACAAAACTAAAACTACACCTTGTGTGATCGTCACCCAGCTCTGCCACCCACCAGACTATCAAACACAGAAACCTCTGGTCAAGCCTGAATCAGCGAGCATCAACAATCCACAAGCCGGCCAAATGCGAGTAGCGCCAATCACCATGGACTACTCCCGATTTGAACCGTACTACCTTACCCATACACGACCCATGGCCTCATATTGTCGATGCCGGCCGCTCCACGGTACTGCAACTTGGACCTGGTTGCTCCCGGTATGTCTGCGACTTCATACCGATCATTTCCGAGAACTTTGGTAACTCGGAATGGGCCACGCCACTTGGGCAGTAACTTTCGGCTAGTTCCGGTTGCAGGGCCGCTGGTTAGACGGATCAGCACCAGGTCTCCTTCCTGATATGGTTGACCAGCAGTTCGAACACGGTCGAAACGAGACTTTTGAGCAGCTTGGTCCTTGATTGTACGCGCAGTTATTTGGTTTCGAATGTCAGTGACGTCGACGATGGCGGGTTCTTCTGGCTGTAACAATCTCTGTGAAACAACTCTAAAACCCATAAGAGCCTCACTGGGACAAACTCCAATTGCTCGATTTAACGTTCCGTTAAGGCCTAATTGAAGATTAGAAATATTCTTATCCCAACGGTCGTCGTCGGAATCGGCGCCCATTGTTGCCAGGGAATTAAGAATAGTATGATTATACCTCTCTACCTGCCCGTTTCCCCTGGGCATGGCGACCGCGTTGAAGTGTAATTTTATTTTTAGTTCATTACACAAAGCCTGAAATGCGTCGCTGGTAAAGGCTTTGCCTCGATCACAAATTATTCTATGGGGTGCCCCGAAAAATTTAATCATATCTCGCAGTGATTTAATAACGAATTTAGTCTTTGTGCTTTTTACCGGGTAAAGAAGGACATATTTTGTGAATGCGTCGACGACGACCAATAATTGAGTATTTCCCGATTTGGTCTTAATGAATGGTCCCAAATGGTCGAGATGGATTGTGTGAAACGGTACTGGTACCTTTGGGATTGGATGGAGACTACCTTGTCGCTTCCCACCTGGGAGTTTAAAATATAGACAGTTCAGACAATTATTGATGTACTTATGGGTAAACCGACGCATTTTTTTGAACCAATATTTGTTTGATACTAGCTCTACGGTTTTGTCAAACCCAAAATGACCGGAATCGTCATGGGCCATCTGTAGGATTTGGAACCGCGCAGCTTTGGGAACTACCCACCGTAGGCCTCGTCCGGTACTTTTGTACACTTTTCCGCCTTTTAACGCGTAATTATTAAAGATATCAGTATTATTTTCGCGATCGCCCGTTTCTAAAATGTTCTTAATTTCGATGATCTCCCGATCCGACTGTTGAGCTGCTAACAGCCAGTCTTCCTCGCTGATGACGGTGATGTTTACATTACATTCGCAAGGTGGTAAGTTGCGACTGAGCGCATCTACGTGCTGCATACGACCATTGTTCCGGTGTTCGATATTAAACCGATATTCGTTAAGTTCTAAAACCCATCTCCCGATACGGGCGTTAAGATCGCTCTTAACAAATGCGTTTTTAACCGCAGCGCAATCAGTAATGATGGTAAACGTCCTGCCCAGCAAATATTGCCGAAATCGTCGTACAGCCGCCACGATTGCAAGGGCCTCCAACTCAAACGAGTGGTACTTTTGTTCGTTAGGACTTGTGTGTTTGCTAAAATACGCTACCACTTTTTCAGCTTGCCCACTTGTCTGCGTCAGGATAGCAGCCACGCCCAACCTACTGGCGTCCGTATACAATTTAATATCCAAATTCGGATTAAATAAGGCAAGTACGGGTTCCGAAGTTAGACACTGTTTGAGGACCTCAAACGCGGTGGCTTGAGACTGGCCCCAACACCAAACAGTATTTTTATGCAGTAAGGAAGTCAAGGGTCTCGATTTCGCCGCATAGTCCACGATGAATTTTCTAAAATATCCGGTAAGTCCCAAATATTGCCGCACTTGATGGACATCGGTGGGCACAGGAAAATTCCGGACCGCCTCTATTTTACGCCGAGTCGGCCGAATTTCTGCCTCACTAATCTCGTAACCTAAATATTCAATACTTGTGTGCAGAAAAAAGCATTTTGACAGTTTTAAAGTTAACCCATTTTGTTTGAGAATCTCAAGTATCTCTTGTAAAATTGCCAGCGATTCCTCAACAGAATGAGCTGGAATCAAGACATCGTCTAAATAACAAAGAACCTTAGTGAATCTTAGTTGACCTAATACAGTGTTTACCATCCGCATAAATACAGCTGGCGCATTGGTGAGACCAAAAGGGACGCGTAGAAATTCATAATGCCCGTCCTGGGTCACAAAGGCGGTCAAAGGGATGGATTCCGGGGCCATTGGTATTTGGTGGTATCCAGAAAATAAGTCAAGAGTTGTGAAATATTTAAACCCTGACAGACGTCTTAGTTGTTCCTCAATTAAGGGTAGAGGATACTTATCTTTAATAGTTACCTTATTAAGGGGACGATAGTCCACACATAGACGGAGTTCGCCAGACTTTTTCTTGACCAGTAGTACGCTACTTGCATAAGGTGAATGCGATTCCCGAATAACACCATTTTTAAGTAGATCACCAACTATATCGCGGATCTGTTCCCGTTCAAAATCGGAATAGTGACGCGGTCGTCGAGCGATTGGTTGGGAGCTCGTTAACTCAATGGTCATTTGCACCGTAGAAGTAACACCAATTTGCGACAAGTTTGCAGCAGTGCAAACAGAATATTGGTCTATTAGCGAAACCAACTTTGTGACAGCGTCACTGTCAGAAATACCTATGTGGCGGCACAATAACACGCGGGTAAAGCAGAGTAAAGATAAGTTGTCTTGTGGTGTAGCGGTTAGCATACCAGCCCGGATTGCTTGGAGACGTGGGTTCGAATCCCACCGAGGCACAACATTTTTCTCTGCTTTCCCACATTGGTGACCTCCGACAGGCAACGCGCACGCAACATCCTTCTGCCACCGCCCTGTGCCCGCTGTGTTCGGGGTCCGCAGCACCGCCAGGGTTCGAACAACGACCGTAAGAGTGGTAGGAGCGACGCCAGCAACTATCTCCTTCGCACCCCAGCACGACCGCGCGCTGTGTCGCTGGGGGGGGAGTACTGTGGCGGCACAATAACACGCGGGTAAAGCAGAGTAAAGATAAGTTGTCTTGTGGTGTAGCGGTTAGCATACCAGCCCGGATTGCTTGGAGACGTGGGTTCGAATCCCACCGAGGCACAACATTTTTCTCTGCTTTCCCACACCTACATTCAACGCAGTTTCGCTAATCGCGTTAATATTGCAAGGTATATTCGTTTCCTGGGAAAAGATCAACGTGTTCCCTGTTTTAACGTATATAATATCGTACAAGTCGGTGAAATTCTGGCCAATCAGAATTTCAACGCCCATAACACACTTTTCGACGACATAAAATTGCAAATTTTTGTTGATGCCATCGATCGTTACATTTGCTGCTACACAGCCGCTTGGAGAAATTTTATGCCCGCCGAGAGTCATTAAAACCACGGCCGTGTCCAAAGGCAGCGCCGCCACTTTAAGCCTTTCAACCGCCTCCTGACTCATCAGCGAACACTCGCTTCCAAAATCGACAAAACATTTTATTTGGTGACCTTCGATCATGATAGTTTTGAAATATTTCTCGTTTGGATTGGTACCAACAAAATTCACGGACTTTTTTGCCTCGATGGCCAATAGTGGTGGCTGTCTGGACGCTTGTTGGTTTTTACCAGGGCAAAATCGACGGAAGTGACCGGATTTTCCGCAGTTAAAACAAGTTGGGCCGAGGACCGGCTTATTAGCCGTATCATTGCGCGAAAGAGATGACGTTTGTTTTGGGTTTCTATAAATAGATGAAACTGGAGCTCGCGTCGCTGGAATGTGAGAAACGTGCCGGGTTGCGGTTTGCGTTGCAAGTACTCGATCATCGATGGTTTTTAAATGTCCTGCTAAAACAATCGGGTCCGTAATACCTGCAGCTTGGACCGAGAATTTAATTTGCTCGTCACAAATTCCACCCATTATTAGATTTACGCGATCAACGGGGTTAATATTTAATTTTAGCTTATTAATTAGCGCAAGTTTATTAAACGTATATTCGTAGAGCGTTTTACACTGCTCTGGTGTGTACGCCATCATCATTTGAATCGCCTTATGGAGATCGCGCTTTGGTGGAAAATTTCGCAACAGTATGTCATGCCATTCGGGCCACGTAAACACTCTACTAGGCAGTGTCCGATACCACGTTTGCGCTGGGCCTCTTAGTTTGCTCAACGCCAAATGACACGTTGTCCTGTCGTCCCAATTATAAATTTGAGCGTACTCACCAATCGACTCCAACCACTCGTCAACCTCGTTTTCTAAAGGATCGAATTCGGCAATAATGCTGCCGGCCGTAGAAAGGGGGATCCCACGTACCTGCTGGCGAGTCTCACGCACCTCCACCTGCTCTGCCAGCTTACCAAACCCAGCTGCTATAGCCTCACTGATTTGCGAAACAGAAGCAGGACCAGGACTGCTGCGACCAGGACTGTCGCCACTCCTCGTCCTCGAGTGAGCTCGCAAGCGGTGCCGTCTCGCAAGTTGTTGTTCTGGAGTCGGTTCCCGCAACTTCTTGTGCTTTTGCCGCCGCTCATGCCGTGAACGAGACCCACTTGCACCATCACTAGATTCACTCCGGCGCGAACGTCGCCGTTTGTCTTTTTTATGGCGTCGCTGCTCTTTCGGCATTGTCGTACAAGTGCACGCAAGGGTTTAAAGAATCCCACTTCTGATGTCAGCACAGTTTTAGGAAAAAGAAACCAAACGCAGAATTTAGCAGTTTATTCTTTTAAAACGCAATCATCGTGTATCAGCATCCGAACACAAGTCCATTCCTGTCCCTGCCGTCTCCGCGTCGGTGTTGCTCGGACAGTCTCGACCGTTGGCGACCCGCCGCCTCCGGCTGCCGAGCTCGCCCGATGGAAAATGCTGACATACCTATAGCCATTTTTGGAAACAGGTGATAGTAACGGACAAAACGCTTTGCTAATGGACTGATGGGCTTTGCAAACTGCCTTGTTTACTGAATTTTCCCTAGAATTTTCTAGAATATTTTCAATAATTTGGTAATTTGTTTTGCAAGAGCAAATAGTTTTGTTTAACATGTTTTAAAAATTAACTTATACCGCCAAAGCACTCAAGAAAATAGAAAATCTATTGCGTTACTTTCGTTCGGCAGATACGCATTTGAAGTGCTGACAATACGTAACCTTGGTTATAAAGTAATCAAAGCTGATTACTTGGGTGTGAATCAGACAGTGAAGGCCGTGTGTGTGACGAGAATCAGAAGTCATTTCCACTTCTGTTGTAAGTTCTAGATTACATTACATTACATAATTCTAGTAACATTGTTTATGCAGTAAATCGTTCACAGTATAATAAATGATAAACACGCCACAGTTAATAATTCTAGAAGTAATTTATTTCCTTAATAAATGAATTTAAGTGCTGTTAAAGGAAGAACGCGTAAATGTAATGTGGTTATTCCATGATAATTTCGCCACAGTCCTTAAAACATTCAGCGTCGGCTTGGCAAATCAAAATTACCAAAAGAACGTATTGTTGGTCGTCGAGGCTTTTTTGTAGGTTTTAAAAATACAGTGTCCATAAATGATCCTGGTATTAAGGAAGGCTTTAGAATTTCTCTTGTTAATTATTTTATATTAAATTATTCTAATTTACTCTAATTATATAACCAGTTATACAGTGGAATGTTGAAATTTCAAAACCAGCTTTGATGCCAGAGTCATTTATAGACATGTTCTGTATTTCTGTTTGTCTTTTTTAGTTCAGTTTATAAGTATAGTTTCGTTGAACTGCTTCAGTTAATTTGTATCGGTTTGATGAGTCGTTCAAAATATATAGTCGCCTCACCACTTTAAGAAACTTTGACTAAAGTTATAAATCATAACGACAAAAGAAACCCGTTGGATTTAAGTACTTTACCACAGTAAGTACCTCCCTCTGATAACGTTAATGCACCCCATCCTTTTATACCTATTTTATTTGTATAATAAGTTCTTTGATCATTCATGAACACCATTATTAAGTACTATAAAATTTAATTTAATTTAATTTAAGACGCTTTGCAGTGAGATCGTACTCGTACTGGCACTTGAGGAATAGTATGTATATAAATATTATTAAACAAATTAAAGCAGGTAGAAAAGGATGGGGTCCATTAATGTTATCAGAGGGAGGTATATTTAGCCTAAGCTACTTATACTACTTAATGCGACGGTTTCTTTGTCGTTATGATTTATAACTGTAGTCAAAGTTTCTTAAAGTGGTGAGACGACTATATCTAATTTAAGTAGTTTAGATTGCAGTGTCTACTGTTTTTTTTTTTTAAGTTGCTGGGCAGTGGTGAGTGCAATCTAGCAAATTATCGTGAATTATAGTAGACGTGTGCATTCATTAGTCATTAGCATTACAGTCTAGCAAGTTTCTATTTACAAACCTTTATTTAGAATATTACTGGTTTTAAAAAATTGTTCCCAATGGTTCCATTAGATGGTACATTCCATAAGTTTCAATGATTTGAAATTGTTATGAAATGAGGCGTCATTAAGTTTAGGACATAAGGTGACATTTGTCTTTGTTGAAATAAGAGAATTTTAGTTAAAGCTAAGAATGTGAAGATTTCGCTAGGATCACCATTTATACCTAACTGACAAAGGTTTTCTGCACATATTAATGAAATACTGATGTTTGAAAGTGCATTTGGATTAGGTACGAGTACGTAACTTCCGTGAAATATCAGCCCTGCGGTATAAGATGAATGTTTATAAAGTATAAAGCTAATTCTTTCACAACCTCGCATCGCTATTTTCTGTGATTAGCGGATTTATCTGCAATAGAATTTAAAAAAGTGTCAACAATTTTTGAACAAAATTGAATATCTAATTCGTCAATTTCGTCCATTATCTGTATGTAATATTTCCAATCTGAAAATAACTGGAAGATATTTTTTAACTGTGGTCATTCACATACGTTGTTTTCATACAATTGTGCACCTGCATATTACGATATGTTATCACTTATCAATTATGTAACCGAGTAAAGTTTGTGATTACTCATTGAACTTAATGTTATTATTTTGTACAAGATATCTCCCGTTAGTTATGGAACATTTGAAGTGGCGGAGTCGTCACTATTCTATTTTTCAGCGAAATTAAAAAAAATAGATTATATGTAATTAATGAAATGTTGTGTCATTACGTAAAATTCATAAACAGTTAACTGTTCAGAACTGAACTGCAAAGGGCTGTTTAAACAAACATAAGGTACCTGACTGTAGGAGGGAAAATTACGAAATAATTTTAAGTATGTTGTATGTTCTCAGCTACAAAACCTCCTCGTCCTTTCTCAAACAAGATGACAATTTTGTGGCACATATGTGAAATTAACACATTTCTGTAGTTCACAACATCTTATCTGAAGTGAGTAGATAGCAATATCCAAATCATTATAGTCGCGTGTCGACAAATCTAAATATTGACGGCTGAATAAATAAAATAAAAACTGAATGTAACAAATCGAGCAACAGGTAACAAGTAATGGCAGTAGCACTAGCCTCTCGTCTTTCTGCTTCTTCACACTAACACAGCTCCATGAACTGAAAACCACATCAATACAATAATATACACGAGTACTAGAGGAAGTTATACCCCCCCCCCCCCTCCACAAGAAGAAGACCCACAAGAAGACAAACAGATGTCCACTTCACTTGCACGGAATCTGGTGGGATTTTAACTCGTGCATTTCGCTTTCCTTATGCAGTCCCGTCCATTCATTTTTTTATATTTATATAAAGTTTAAATGGGATATTCTTAGAATAATTTAGACCGATCATTTAGCAAGTGCTATGCCGGACAAAAAAAATTGAAACAACAAGCTTCTGTCATTTTAAAAATCCTCGTAAATCACCCATTACTGTTATTCTGGCTAACGTTTGAAAAAAAAAAAAAAAATTTGGCACTTGGAATTTATTTTGTCAACAAAGGCGGCAGCAGTATCACATTTTAATAAAGCCAAAATTGTTTGGTTACCCATGTGTTTGAGGTTTCTGAACATTTAGTTTGGCAAAACAATCTGAAGTAAGAAGTAATGTTAGTTATTCATAAAGCCAAATTTAAACGTTAAACTTCAATGTCAATATAACTTGAAGTCGTTTGAAATTTTTTGTTGGATATAGTGCATACTAAAATTGCGAAGAAGGCAACAACATTTAATTACGTCACTTAACTTATACCGTTAGGTACTCAAGATACTAGCTTCCTAAATCAAATTGAATTCATCTAGATTAGGTCGCTTACCGAATTCTCCATTATATAAATAAAAACACATTGTAAATATAGCAATGGTACACACTTCACTGTGAGAGGAGTGTCCGAGAATAAATGTTCAAAATTCAAGTTGTAGAACACATAAAAGACAACACAAAATAAGCATAAAATATCCCCTCCGTCTTCAAATTTACGATGATATTCATTTAATTGATAATAACTTTCAAAGCGCATCAGTGTTTAAATCTTGAATACTGCAATTTACTGTTTCAAAGTCCTCCCATGACAAATTAGTAAAGGTAGTTAACAACTTAAGCAAAATCATCCAGCCCTTTGCACGCATCACAATTAAAATAAGTAAGCGTAACTAAGTGAATTTTTATTTATATTTTAAATCAAAATTTACATCGCTACAATAATTATTTAAAACAGTAAAACAAATCCCACTAAAACATTTTAAAATCAGATTTAGATTGTATCAAAACTGGAGCTTTACATACAAATAAAATACTGAAATGTGCTACAACAATGTGGAGGAAAATTAAACCAGCCCCATAAATTTTATCGAAATATATTATAACATTTTGCATAGAGATATCTCTTGTATAAAATGATTACTTGTTCAGTAGTCATATAAGAAAATAAATTACATAAGTTCTAGAGATTTCATGAATTAAAATAACAATTTCACTCTTAGAAGTACGAACGAGTTGTGAAAAAATTCACCAATTTGATGGCGATTTCAAGCGTAAGTGTAAACAAATGACTCAATATGGGGGATTTTCCACCGTTGTTTCGCAATGCATAAGATCAACGAATTATTATTATATTAATTACACTTGGGAGTAACAGTGGTGTCCCTTTCATTTTCAAACACATATGACTTTGAGCACCAAACACTTGAGAGTACGCCTTTTCGCTTCGGCTGACTACAGATGGCCATCCAGTAGGGAAATAAAAGATGCCCACTACTTTTTTTTTTTTGAAAAAATATGCAAGCATGAAGGTCGTCTATATTACTGAAAAATTTGTTCTATTAAAGGCATTTTCGCGATTTGTTTTTTTTCTGGCGCTAAATTTAATTTGAAAACGGGACACTCCACAATACTTCCTTTTGTTTTCCTATCTCACTGTTCTCTCCACCTTTGCCTCCATATTTAGGTATTGATTTCGTTCATTAACTTTGATAAAAGTATTTTTTTTTTCTCTAAAAATTTAAATTTTTGCAGGAATTAAACTGGAATTCACCGCATGAAATTCTGCATTCAGTCAACATCTGATTCGTCTTAAGTTCCATTTCAACTCGACTAACTCAACATAAACCAACCATGACGACGCACGAGGTAAATCAGAAACTTGACATTGTTATTTTTGGTGCCACAGGTTTTACTGGTAAATTTGTAATTCGTACAATTGCTAAATTATCAAAAACAAAAAATCGTCAATTTACTTGGGGAGTTGCCGGACGTTCAGAAGAAAAATTAAAGCAGATTTTAAGCGATTGTGCTAATCAGATTGGTAAGTTCACATTGTCTTTGTAATTCACATTCATTTACCTAAATTTCAGAAATCTCCTTAGATGGGATTCCTGTTATTGTAGCTGATTTAAAACAAGAAGAATCTTTGAAAGGCATGGCCCGTCGTGCACGCGTTATCATTAACTGTTGTGGCCCTTTTGTATATTTTGGAGAACCAGTTCTAAGAGCATGTATAGAAGAAGGCACACATCATCTGGATGTTAGCGCAGAAGTGCACTATATGGAAGAAATGCAACTGAAATATCACAAGCAAGCTGAGGAGAAAGGGGTTTATGTTATAAGTGCATGTGCCTACCAAAGTATACCAGTTGATTTAGGCATCGTGTACATGCAGCAACATTTCACGGGAACTTTAAATTCTGTTGAAGCTTATTTAGAATATTGGGAAGAAGGAAATTCTGCACCTGGCAGTGCATTTAATTACAGTACTTGGGAGTCAGCAATTTATGTATTAGCAAATGCTAAAACACTAGAGAAAATTCGCAGTAAATTGTTTCCCCGCCGGTTACCCGATTTTGAACCCAAATTACAAATGAAGTAAGTCTTTATGTTTTTTAGATGTTATATCTTAAGTGGTCGATCGGAATACGTTTTTCATTATCAATATACATATAAAATATAGATTAGTCCTCGGAAAATCTAACCTGAGGAGCTTTGGAAATTGATCAAGTGGAATTTTCAAACTGTGTATATGTTCTGTTTCCTAATGTAAATTTCCTATTCTTGTTGTAAGAAAGGGCAAGTAGTGTTTAAAACACCAAAATTCTTTTATTTCCGATGAAACTAGAAGTGCCACAATGGGTTTTACAGTACTCTGAAACAAACATATCTTCGTATCATTTGTTCAATACGTTAGTAATCATTTTCAAGAACTTTGATCGATCACTTTGGATTAAATACCTATTTTTTATGCCGTAATACTAAGCCAGAAACTTCATAATACTGATTTATCACAAAAATAAGTTACCACTTAAATCCTACTCCTATTATTTATTTTTGTTCTGTATTAACAATTCAAAAATTCAAATATTCAAACCTTTTGATTTATTAAAATATGTCCAAAGACAATGATCAGGACAATTGTGTATGATTTGAATGAGCAGCATAAACATTTACATTTCTTAGAATGCTACCCCATAAGTCTGAAGTAATGAACAGTTGGGTGTTTCCATTTGATGGTACTGATCGTCCTGTGGTACAACGAAGTCAACGCTACTTTTACGAACGACACTCAAAACGACCCGTTCAGATTGAAACTTATTTTTCTGTGAAATCATTCACACAACTGTTATTGATAAATATTTTCGCTTTACTTGTCTTAGTACTGAGCAAATTTTCCATTGGAAGAAAATTACTTTTGAAGGTGAATAAAATTTAATCAATTGGTTATACATCTTAAATTTATTTTTTTAAGTATCCTGAAACATTCAGTGGTGGACTCATTAATCGGACCACTCCAAGTGAAGAAAAGACCGAAAACATTCGTTTCAGTATGACGTTATATGGAGAAGGATGGAAAGAAAAACTCCCTGATGCCGACCATCAGTATTCCACGACACCAAACCAAGTTATTACAGTCAAAGTAAGCGGACGCAACCCTGGTTATGGTGGCACCGCTATAATTTTGGTACTCGCAGCCATAACACTTGTATCTGACATTGATAAAATGCCTAGTAAAGGAGGAGTTTATCCTCCAGGATATGCCTTTGCCAATACCTCGTTAGCCGACAAGTTAAATGAAAATGGGGTGAAGTTTGAGATTTTGCAAAATGAAGAACTGTCTAAATCAAAATAATAATTAGGAACGAGCTGTAATTTTACATTTACTTCCACTTTTGTAAAATCATGTAAAACTTGTCAAACTGGACTACGGGATAAAAAAAAAAACTGTAAAAGCAATAATAAAGCATCAAATTGCAATATCATTTGACTGCATAAGTTGGAGTAAGTTTGAATAAAAAATTTAATAAGAAAAAATAACTGATGCCTTTAAAATATTCTTATTAAATTCAGACTTACTCCAGCTTATAATAATATAAGAATATTTATAAAAGCTTCAACATGAAAAGCGTTATGTGCCCATGATCCAGTCCGCCAAAAAAACAAAAAAAAATTATAGTATTATTCTCTGTTACTCAGATTCAATAAAAACAATGCAAATTATTTAACACTGTTTAGCTTGAACATTTACGACGCCATTCCTTAAGGATAATAATAATACTTTATTGTCCAACAGGAAAAAATTCCTAATTACATGACAACAATAAAAATAAAATAATACAGATATTCACTCAGCAATGAAATAACAAACGAAAATAATAATAAATACAAACGTTATACTTTGTTACAGATTAACTTTTAATAATGAATATGTCTGGTATGAGTTTATATATTGTAATAATCCGCCTTCCGCCTAAATTTGTAATGGGAACAAAATTTTTAAATCGCGGCGTGGAACGAGTAGGGCTTATGGTTCTAGACCCGGTCTTTGACTATCTCTTCGCACTAACCACAGCTACGTATCCACAACCACAGTATATAGCACGTATATAGCTTACAGAAGCTGTAAGCTATATACTGTGGTACAACCATGCTGCGGTGCCCCCGCGAGCATGCGCTATGCGTACATGTCCACTATTGCTTGCGGCAGCTGCTTCAGGTTTTATTCCGCATCTATACTCCATGTCTTGTGTAATACACTGATGAGAATTCGGTATTGCGAATGAACAATCAGATGAATGAAAGGAAAATTATAACCCTGGACTTGGGCCGAGCTGTGTTCTCGCCACCCGAATTCGGTAAAGCAAAATTAATGAATTAAGACTACGTCGTGAATGGAATTCCCCCATCACATACAGACATAAAACAAATGTTTATAAATACATATAGTCAAAAACACAAAATGTCGTTCGACACGCACTTCGCTTTGAGAGACGTGTCCGAATATAAACATATAAATTCATAGAACACATAAAACATACCACAAGATCAACATACAATCCCCCTTTCTCCTTCGAATCTACGATGACATCATGATGACATTTACTTCACTGCAAATGCCAAAATTTCAAATTTTCGCAGGCTTTTAAAATTTTCTTCAAATGTCAATTTGAGGCGGGAAGTCTGGGTTACCACAAGGTCAACCGCAGCACCAATGATACGAAACAGACTCATCGAATTATTGCAATTATCCAATCCACGAAGGTAATATGACAGGAGCGTCCCTCATTTAACTAATGTTAAAGAAACACCAGCAAAAAAACTTTACGCAAGAGCCACTTATGACCCTTTCCGTACTACATCGGGAGCGGTCGGTTGTTAACAGAGGATCAGAGGCGGTGCACTTTGGTTGAGAATGGGTTCACACGTAGCAAATAGTAAAAAAAAATGATCCTTACCCATTCATGACGCTTACTATTAACATGGCTTAAATACATATGTATTTAATCAATACCATTAACTTGCTACATGTTAATTTTTGTATCGTATGTCCAGCCTCTCGGCAATCGCTTTCTAGGACGCCACTGGAACAACTAGTTTCTCGGAGAAGTTGGAAGAGCCATTTATGGCTGTGTTTATGGATCCCAGTCGAAAGCGCGGTATCAGGCACTTTTTCAAACTATCTTCCCTCCTCTCATTTTACCTTGTGGTGACCGAATTTGAATCAAAATTTTCGCGCTGAAACTAATTAACAGCGGCGCGAAATCACATTTGAATAATTTGAATCTGAAAAAAAAAAAATTCAAATCATAAATCGTTAAACATAGGCAACCAGGTGCACGGTAACGCTTGTTGGATAGTTGGACAGTTACTAGCGCTAGAAGAATTTAAGTTAGAGGGTTGGTTGTGGGACAGAGGGCGGCATGGCGGAGCGTTAGTCTGGATGTGTTTTTGTGAGTGTAATCACGTGGTAAGGCAGTTTTGGTTAGATTAGTTGGTTTGGTAGTTAATAAAAGGGAGGAAGCCTTTGTTTAACGACAATCAATCGTAGCTCCCATGACGACACAGTTTTCCCCCAACACGTGTAGCTAATTCTTGCCGCTTTTAATCGAAAGAACCTGCGATCTTTCAACGCGGAAGACGTGCTGTAAATTTGTTTTATTATGTGTAAATTCACCAATCAAGTTAGTTTTTCTTAATCGTCAGCTAATGCTAACACAATTTAACAATCAGGATTATTTAAATAAACCACTTGCTAGAAGATTTAATAAAATTCACGTAGTCAGGATAACATCTTTGTTGTTTAATTACGAATAAGTTTCTGGATGCATATACGTAAGTGTTGCGTTATAACACTTCTTAATTCTTCACACAAGATTGCTAATAGTTCATTTACGGCAGTTAAACTAACAAAATTCATACCGCGAGCTGACGGCGGGTTAAACTAATTTCTTCTCTTAGGCGGTTATCACCGTTATTATCATTGTTATTATGATTACGTCACCGGGGCATGTCCTTACAACGCTAAAGATTGATCACTTCATGGAGACATGTCCTCACAACGCTAGAGATTGATAACATCAACGAGGCATGACCTCGCAACGCAAGAGATTGATGACATCATCGAGGTATTTCCTCGCAACTCTAAAATTTTTCCTCATCGACGCATTTCCTCGCAACGATAAAAATTACATCATTGAGACCGTTTTGTCCTCGCAACGATGTTTGGAATGATTGGATATTTTTGTGTTTATTTATTATTATCTGTTTTGTTGGGGTCACCAGTTTTCAGTATTCTAAACTCTCAAAGAAAATTAATTAACACATTTGAATAATTTGAATTTGACAAAAAAATCGTTAAACATAGGCAACCAAATATGCACGTAGTGCATACAATATTTCTCTATCTCACAATTTTAACTTCAGTAACTTTCTTTGTTGTATAAATCTCATTGAATGTAAATTTCATGCTCTGCAGTTTTAACCTCATACCTTTATTTGCACAAGTTTATTTCACACCAGATTTTTTATTTTTATAAATCATTGCTAGTTTTGTTGTGTAAATATTTTGTTGATGCATCTTTCCATCGTATAAATTATTTGATGTCCAATTTTAATCTCCCATAAGAACTATTTGTTGATTAAAATTTCACAAGATTGTATGGCGAATTTAATTATTGTTTATTGCTCTTTTGAAACTTTAACACTTGTTCAGTTGTTGTTAATATCAGTCATAAGAAATTGAACATTTAAAATGGAATTGAGGTTAAATAACACAGAAAACGTGGCAGAAGCGAAGTGCGGTTCCTAGTCGAGCTGGCGAGATTTATCGCGTCACCTACGCAGAGGGTACAGGTTTGGATAGATTCAGGGGCGGTCGCCGATGTTGTAACGCTCTCGGCTTCTGTCCTTAGCTGAGATCCAACTGCGGGTCTGCGATCGTAACGGCCTAGTTTCGGACGGCATGTTCGTCATGGAGATGTGTGATGTGCTGTGTGGGTAGGCTTTGTGATAAATAGAATCACCGTCGAGGGGGGAGAACAGCCCCGACCGGTAGCCCCAAACTCCGCTTGCACAAGCGAGAACGGCACAGGGGTGCTTTTGTTGTGCTCCTGTGAACTTCCGTAATTTTCAATTTGACACCACACGCCCGTAATAACTTGTGTATTTACATCCAGTTACTTTAATTCAGATTTTGCTTTGTTTTATTAAATTTGTGATATTCAAATATTTGCATTGATTCCAAACATATGTGTAGGATTTTGTGTTTGTTCGGTTTTCATATGTGTATGTCTGTCAATTCGCGAGCGTCTTTTCTTTCATATTTTTAAGGTGTTTCATTTGAAATGTAATATGTCGGTGAATATACGATAAGGGGTTTTTGGGCCAGGAGGAGTGAATGCTCGCAGCTCTTTTCCTCCTGGAGAGGGGTGCGATTTTAGCCCCTCCCAAAAATTTTGTCTATTATTTCTTGCGCTCTCGACTCACACGCAGTGTATGCCAACTTGTATGAAGGAACGTCTTTCCACCATTAAAAAAAAAAACACAACGTAGGTTCCTTTTTGTTAGACGATCACAGCCAAGGCCAAATTTTGAATTTTTGAATTTTTCGCAGGCCTTTCAAACTTTTCAAAATCAATTTAAGGCGGGAAGTTTGCCTTATCACAATCTAAACAAAATTATAATTTTTTTCCCGACTCTTCTCGTAAGTAGCTTTTACCAAGTCACAGTTGATGAAGGTAAGTTCAAATTACTAATCGTGTTCTGGTTGGCTAGGAAATAGTGTCACTTACCCGCTAGGGAAGTAAGTGAAATGGTAGGATTGATTGATTTAGGTTGATATCTTTCGTTTTTACATTTCAAAAACACACGTAATTTGTAATATTTACATATATGTCGTGATTTTCCCGAATGGAAAGCATTGTCTTGAACATCGAAAACTCGCACCCCAGGCTCGAAGGGGATTTACATTGTGTAGATTTTTCCAGAAAACTAGCCATAAGCACATTTTCGTCAATGTTCACCTGCTTTCGCTCCTGGCATCAGTTTTTGAAAAATTTTCATGCATTTTCATATCTAATTTTGGATTTTTGTGGCAGTAATAAGAATTAGAAATCAAGAGATTTGCCTCATTCGCAACTTCTTGAACGTTGTACTCACTATCCTAAAGGATAGCTACATTATAATTAATTAATTACATTAATCAAAACGAAAATTGGCGCGTATTAAAGTTGACGTTTTTAAATAAAAATTGTTTAATTGATATCCCTAGCAACAACACAAAGGAGGTCCACTATTTTCATTCGATGTTATGCATTTTGGCAATATTGAATTTATTATTTGTTGGTTTAGCAATTGGGTCGGGAAAAAAATAATATACATTATGCGGGAAGTAACGGATTAACCTTGTCCCGTGACATTAAAAATCTCTCGTTTGACATATGGTAAATCCTGTTTACTTCCCTTATTATAATGTAGTATACTATTTATCTGCATTCAAAAATTTCAGACAATACGTTGTTGACGTTTAAAGTTTGCGTTGCTGGTTGTCGTCCAAGCAGTTCAGATTTAAACCCAAAGAAGACGCTACCACAAATTTTAAGATATTTTAGATTTTTAAGGAAACCTGGACTATATTAAACAACACATTATATGATAGTTTACCGAAAAAAAAAACTACATTTTAATTATTCATTTAGTATCCATTTCAGATCGCTAGAAGTACCTAAATGAAGTTACTAAATTTACTTCATCTTTATTTTTTGAGCTATGTAATTGTGGACACCATTTTTTCAATTTAAAATTGATTAATTTTTCATAAAATGTTGTGGTGACCGAATTTAAATCAAAATTTTCGCGCTGAAATTAATTAACAGCGGCGCGAAATCACACTTGAATAATTTGAATTTGAAAAAAAAAAACAAACACACAAAAAAAGGAAATCGTTAAAGATAGGCAACCACATGTGCACGTAGCGCTAGGGGATTTTAGTTAGAGGGTTGGTGTAGACAAAGGGCAGCATGTTGAAAGGTAATTCATTCTCTTTCTGTTCGGTGTAGTGGATGCATGGTGAAATGACGCTGTAAGTAGCTAGGTTTAAATTAGCTGGTTTGGTAGGTAATAAAAGGGAGGAAGCCTTTGTTTAACGACAATCAATCGTAACCGACGTCGCTCAGTTGTCCCCAACCCGCGCGGCTAATTCTTGCGGTTTTTTAAACAAAAAAGCGCGGACTTCTGTTCAACGCGAAACACGTGCTGTAAATTTGTTTTATTGTTTGTAAATTCACCAATCAAGTTAGTTTTTCTTAATCGTCAGCTAGTGCAAACACAATTTAACAATCAGGATTATTTATAAACCACTTGCTACAAGATTTCATGAAATTCACTTAGTTAGGAAAACACCTTGTTGTTTAATTACGAATTAATTTCTGGATGCATATACGTAAGTGTCACATTATAACACTTCATAATTCGAGGCTTGCCCTCACAACGCTACAGATTGATTACTTCATCGGGGCTTGTCCTCACACGCTGCAGATTGATTACTTCATCGAGGCTGGTCCTCGCAACGCTAGCGATTGATAACATCAACGAAGCTTATTCCTCCCACCGCTGAAATATACATCATCGAGGCAATTCCTCGCAACTATAAAATTTATATGTTCGAGACGCTTGTTCCTCGCAACGATGATTGGATATTTTTGTGTCTGTTTATTATGTGTTTTGTTGGGGTAACCAGTTCGCAGTATTCTAAACTCTTAAAGTAAATTGTTTTTTTGGAAGTAACCAATCACTTTGAACATGATATAATTTGATATAATTAAATAAAAATTATTGTTAGTCATTTCCAGCGATCTGGAATCCCTAATTGCCCTAATAATTAAAAGTGCCAAATGTTTATATTTAACAACAAAAAACACTAAAAAATAAAAAAAACACTTAAAACAGAAAAGGGACCCATTTAACATAAAACAGTTTTTTAACATCTGTACCACCGTAGAATGACCCCTTAAAGGTGTACATAGCGACATAACATTCAACATCCAGCAGTCCAGCACTTCCAATCTCTATGAATTATAATATTGGTGAATCTGAATATTGGCAACACCGCAAAGTTTTACGTTCTAGAAATTCTAAAATTAAAACAAAAATCAGCTGTACGTAACCAAAAAGCGTTTGGAAAAGGTGTTATCCAAATTAATAATATTAAAATGGAAAATGGTGATATAAAGCTTCAATGCTACAATAAAGGTTGTGGTCAAAAATTTGATTCCTCAAAAAATACTGACGGTAAGTAAGGTTATGTGTGGATGTTTGTGACCCGAATATTTAAGTGTATTTTAGATTCTTGTTTACATCATCCTGGAGAACCATTCTTCCACGACGCCTATAAGGGCTGGTCATGTTGTAATAAAAAATGTACCGATTTTACCGAATTTTTAAATATAAAAGGATGCACTCGGTCAAAACATTCAAATGTGAAGCCCCCGGAACCGGAAAAGCCTGTAAAACAAGAAGTAAATGTGGACGAAGTTATTGAAGTAAAGCCAATTATACCAACAGTGAAAGAAAGACCACCATTTGATTCGCCGATGGTAACTTTTAGTAAAACATAAATATAACTTATACAAGAGTCTGTATTGTAGACTACTATGAGACCTGAAATTGCGACGTCCTTAAAGCAACAAGTTTTTAGTATCGCAACAGAAACAGTCTCAGAAAAAAGTTCTGATGAAATAGCAATAGGCACAACTTGTAAAAATGGGGGTTGCAGTGTTTCATATGAAGGCCCTGACACTAACAAGTCACCATGTGCTTACCATCCAGGAGTACCAGTGTTTCATGAAGGTTTAAAATTTTGGTCTTGTTGCCAAAAACGAACAACTGATTTTAATGCGTTTTTGAGCCAAATAGGATGTACTCAAGGTGAACATTTGTGGTTTAAGGAGGTGCTGTTGGGACAAAAGAAAAGTGGATTTGTTGATGTTTGTACATTTTTAGGATGATGATAAAAAATCTGTTCAATGTCGATGGGACTACCACCAAACTGCATCTCATGTTGTTGTGTCAATTTATGCTAAACAATATTGTGTTCAGAAAAGTGTAATCGAGCTCAGTCCAGTCAGACTTAAAGCATGTTTATTGTTTCCTGAACAGAACAATACAACTTTTCAGTTTGACATTGAATTACGAGGGGTATGCCTGATATTCAAAACTACATGTACGTTCAATTGTTTTTTTTTTTGTTTGTTTTAGATTGTTGATGTTGAAAGTAGTCAAGTCTTTATGTATGGCACAAAAGTTGAAATTAAACTAAAGAAAGCACAACCTGGAAGTTGGTCAAAATTGGATATACCAAGAGTTACACCTTCAGAAGAAAAACCTAAACTTAGCGCAGCTGATATCGAAATTACTTCCAGAGTTGATGCGGTAGATCTAGACGATTTGTAAATATACAGGAAGCCTTTGAGCAAATTTTGTACGTTATATTACTACTGATATGTACTTTGTATGGACACCAGTTTTTATTTTGAAATAAAATGGTTTTAAAAATGAAAAGCAATATTAATATGTTTTATACTTGTTTACTTTTATTGTTTATAATATGAAATCAAGACATGGCATATTTACAATTTTACTAAATCTATAGAATCTACAATATCACATACATTTATCAAATATAAGGAAATATACTTTGGAATGCACAATAGTGCACATGTATATTGTCTACAGATGCCAGTGCACACCTTTTATACCTACTGTCTAACAAATTCGGTCCTTTGTTTAATACAAAAATAATATCAATAATAATGAAGTTTCTCATCTTTTCCGCACGGAATTGCGCTAATACTATGTTATATGTTATTGTACACAAATTTCATAAAATCAACATTTAATGTATACCAGGCAACAGATATTATTGTTCTAAATACATATTGCTTTGCATTAAATTAATACTCTCAGCTAAGCAAACGAGACATTTATATTCACAAAAATACTTACAACGATTGACAAACAATTAAATCTGTAATATCACAAATCATCATAACAAAAACCAGATAAACATTAAAAACATATAAAATACCTAACTCACTAAAAACCAATAAAACTCATAAATAAAAACAATATAAATATATCAATTTTAAAAACAATAATAAAATCAATCACAAAACACTACCAATATCAACTTCATATACTAAACTTACATAAATCTATACACTTCATAAATGATTTATCTAATATGGGCTAATATATTTTACGAAATCAATTTTAAAATCTTACTTTTCTGACTTCAATGTGGCGTAGCACGTTTGACAAACCCTGACTGGCTTTAAAATGCGAAGTCTGGATATCTCACTTTCAAATCTGCTACATTTGGAACAAAATACTTGGCCACAGTTTCTGCAGTGGTGTTTTCTTTCGTATATAGTGAATCGAATGTTACATGATGCACAGAAATCAGCCCCTTCATCTTTAAGCCAGTGATCAGCAGCCCTACCTGGCACGTCACATACGCTCCATGAAAATACTCTACCTCTCGTATCGCCAACATACACAGTTCGGTGATCCCTAAAATTATTACCATAATTTTTCATACAGGATTTAATAGCAAATCATTTTACTTTGAGACAGCTAATGCTGTAACTGAAGCCGGCTCTGCGTTGTCTTTCCTATCGTATGCCGTATGCATTGTCAGTTTACTTCTAAAGACTAACTGCCTTTGCCATTTGAATCCTGGAACATAATCAGTTACATCCATGAAGGTAGAATATGAGGAGGGAAGAGAGTTTGAAAACATGACTGGTAGAGTAGGTACGAAATGTCGTGAACCGTGATCTTGTGTGCACAAGCCTTAAACTCGTTCGAAGAGGTCCGACTGTCATGTTTTATTAACACCTTATGACTACAGGATAATTAACTTCAATCAACTGTAAAGTTGTTATAGTCCATCGTGCACGGAAATATGTATTATATGTTAAATACATATACAGTATGGAAAACGGTTAAATATCTTGAGAACTAATTGTACAAATAATCTGAAATTGGGTATAGGGGTACAAGTAGTTGTGCTCAAACTATTCGTCAAAAAATTTTTTTTGTTTCATTTATTTTCGAGAAGCAAGGCCAATTTGTTTTTTTTTTAATGGTACTACCACATAATTAATGTATTTTGAATAGAGCTTTTTTTCTGAATTTATTGATGTAGCACAATCGTACTTTCTTTCTGATCGAAATGGCAAAATAAAAATACATAAAAAAAGAAAGATGACATACCTAGTTAGCTTTGAAAATAATATTTATTACGCCATAGAAGTTCTTTTTTCTTCAAACATCAAAAAAACATGACATTTTTTAACTCGACAAATACCCTTAAAGTTTGATATTTCAGCCGCTCCTTAACAATGGCAGACAAATACTTTTTCTGCCGCTACAGGTGTCAGAAAAAGTGAAACCATAGCAACAGTATCTAAAGTACACTGAAGTTAATCACTTTAACGGGCAAACTGTTTTTTGAAATTTTGTTGTTGACAATGAAGCTACAGTAAGAGTGTCCAAATATAACTTCATTTTTAAAAATTGAAAATTCTACTTCTATAATTTAATTGCAGACGTTTGAACAAAAAATAGTATATTTTATTCAGAGAAAACTGACTCTGTGGTTCGTCTGTATTTGCTTACTAGTTACAGACTCGCCACGAAAAGTTTCACTTTTGCTCCTTATAAAATAATATACCATTTTAAACGTCATATGATTATTAGCTTTGGCTAATAAACTTCATATTTGGTATAAAAAAAAATGGTCGAAAGTTGTTTCGACAGAACTTCCCTCGCACCTAAAGTACAATGAAACATAACCAGCATTTTCGAGTTGAGTTTTTTCTTTACACAATTTTGTGATGACGTCATTAACATTTTTGCAAGGACACGTATATCAGTTTGGATAGGTCCACTCTAATGGTAATAATAACAGTATTGTATTACCAAAATTTTCTGTGAAAAAGAACTGAGCCGTTCCTGATTTAATCAATAAAATAAATTGACTCATTTATTATTTTTTTTTAAGCCATCTGTTTAAGCAAATTTAAAAAATATGAATGCAATGATAAATCACAAGTAAAAGCTCATCATATTTTGCACATTTTGAGAAGAATTTATTCGGCAAAATTTTGAGATGTCATCAATTTTTGGAGGGAATAAACAGATATATTTTGATCAACAATTTACCATGCTTACAATAACTTCAAAACATCTGTAAGATTTCAAAGCATTCGGTTTTGCAGTTCCTGATTAAATCAACAAAAAAAATCACGTATTCTTTAATTTTTTCGAGTCACCCTGTATAAGCAAATCCAAAAAATATGAACAGAATGTCATCAATTTTTTGGAGATAAGCAAATATATTTTGATTAAATTAAATTATGTTATTTTATACAATTTAAAACCCATTTACTATGTACAATTTTTTACCATCTATATGGTATTCCTAACATAAATACAAAATCTGACAATGGGCCCAGTACTTTCGGAGATTATTTGTCTAATAAAAATCCGGACGGCAGACCTATTTCTTCCTACTCTAGGGGTCATGAAAGGTTGAGAAAACGTAAAAGTAGAAAGTCGGCCGACGGACTCGATTACAATGCTTCCTTCGCTTACGCTCGGGAAGTAAAAATGAATTTCTATGCCTTGATAAATAAATAATTATTTTTCACGTCCGTAAAAAAGTGTATTTTTGTTGATAAAGGTTGCATATATACATATATAGGTTATATAAGAATATGTTTGTTTTATCGTGCTAAAATCGTGAAAAAAGTGCCATAGCAATTCCTTTTTTAACGCATTTAAAAGAAAAAATGTGTCGTAGTATGTCATTTTTTAACGGGAAATATTGTACAAAGTAACCCATACGTCGCCCCGGTGCAACACCTATGGGTTTTCTAGGATGTACTCATCATCGGTGACAGCGGCGTTCGAATAAAGAAAAGCCTGAAAGCGGCCCGTCGGAAGTCACGGGAATTATCTTAATCTGTTTAAACAGAGACCACTGCCGGTGTAACAAGTGCATCGCATATGGCCCTCGAATGTCACTCTTTGTCGCAAGCTGATTTGGCTCTTTTAGTTGAATTTCAAGTAAACGGCACAGTTTTATAACGATCATGATGGATGGGCACAAAGGTAGAGAAGCGTTTTGTTCAAGAAATCCCATTATCAAAATGGATCCGATTTTCTAAATTTGTATGTAGATATGTACATACTCGTATTGTGAAAAAAAAGGCTGAAAATTCGGATGGATGACAGCCATTAATCTAGCGTACCACGGGTGGAATGAAGTTTGCGATTCGACCTAGGGGCAATCGATTCACAGGTAACACAGAAGGTTTGAGATCTATAAGTACCTTAGCTATTCTAATTAATGAGTCGCGAACCAGTGGCCCACTCCAAATAGCTGTTCGATAGATTTGTCTTAAAGATTAAATCATCTTGTTTGGGAAGTAATTTTTAACAAGAACATATAAATCGACGGCGATTTGGCCGTTTTGCTGGCATAGTTCGCGAGAGAACGAGGTCAGACACCGGCGCGTATAGTTTTCGGACGAGAACTTCGTCTACCTGTTCGGCTCTCCGAGTGAAAAACCAAAGTTCATAGATTACGTTGATGACTTGAAGGAGAAGCTGCTGAGCGTTCATGAAACGGTGCGCCACAAGATCCGGGTGGCGAGTGACAATGAAAACACGCTATGACCTTAAGGGTAATTCAGTGGGATTCGAGGGATTTGGTATGGCTTTATAACCCCTGATGAACGAAAGATTGTTGGCCGAAGTTGTCACTAAACTGGGAAGGTCTATATACTGTCGTGACAAGGATCGACGATGTGGTTTACAGAATTCGACAGTACCGAAGACGAAAATGAAGATTGCTCATTTAAACCGCCTCGTGAGTACAATAGTGACACCGATGACTTTTCTGATCGAGACGAGAATTACGGAGGAGGCAGTGTTACAAAGTAACCCATACGTCGCCCCGGTACAACGTCTATGGATTTTCTAGTATGTGGCGCGGTGACTCATCATCGGGGACGACGGCGCTCGAATAAAGAAAAGCCTGGAAAGCGACGTTCGATCTTTCCAGAAGAAGCGTACGGCTGTTTAAACAGAGACTGAGAATGTCGGGAGGGGTTTAGTCCAGGAGCCGATTAATGAGTACGAGTTGAATTGAGTCAGAATTATTCGCTGTTATATTTTCGCTCTGTAATTTTAGTCGTATAAATTTATATTACTGAAGAATAAATTGTTACGTTTTACGCACGCCGATTTTAAATACCCAATCATGTTAACAATATTTAAACACAAAACACATAGAAGGAACACATTTATTATAACGTGAAGAATATAATTTCAGATGATCAGCATGGTTTTGTCAGCGGAAGATCAACTGTCACCAATCTGTCGTGTATCACTCATTACCTTGCCAAAGCCCTTGATAACAATTCACAAGTGGACGTTATATATACGGACTTTTCCAAGGCCTTTGATCGGGTGGATCATAAAGTATTACTGAATAAATTCAATAAATATGGATTCAGCTCTCCACTTTTGAGTTTAATTGATAGCTACCTTCAAGGCAGATTTAATTACGTGATGTATAGGGGTTTCATTTCACAAAAATTTATTGTAAAGTCTGGAGTCCCAGAAGGTTCCAACTTGGGTCCTTTGTTGTTTTTACTATTTATTAACGACATAACAACTATCTTCAATATTCGTGTTTTGTTATTTGCTGATGATCTGAAATTATTCACTGTTATCAATTCTGCGGCTGATTGCATACAATTACAAGAGAATTGTATGCAAAAAAGTGCCTGCACAATAAACTTAATCTCAATATCTCTAAATGTAAAATAGTTTCTTTTTGTCGGAAAGTGACTACTACTTCTTTTGATTATTCTCTAGGCGGAATTAATTTAACACGTTGTTCTAACATTAAGGATTTAGGTATATTATTCGACTCCGAACTCAATTTTAATCTGCACATTCGGAATAATGTTGCATCTGGTTTTAAAACGCTAGGATTTATCATAAGATCTTGTAGGGACTTTAATTCGCTGAAGTGTCTTAAACTTATACTATGCATGTGTAAGATCAAAGTTGGAATATGGCGCATTAATTTGGTCACCTTATTACAAAAAGTACGAAGAGAGTATTGAATCCGTTCAAAGGAAATTTTTAAAATATCTATGGTTTAAAGAAAGTGGTTCTTATCCCGTTCAGGGAATTGATAACCGTATTCTGTGTAACGCTTTTAATTTTACATCCCTTTTCGACAGACGAACACAGTATTTTGTTGTATTCTTACATAACCTCCTGCATAATAAAATCATATCGAACGAATTGATGTCATCGATATCCTTTAATGTGCCACTAACAAATCTAAGATCTTTCAGAACATTCTACATACCTAAAGCGTCAACTAATATCTTATTCCCGTCGCCTATTTATAAAATGTGTGATACTTTCAACATGCTAATGAATAACTACGATATTCACTTGATTAAAAAAAAAGATATTATGATTGAATTACGCAAACACTTCTGCACAAATACACTTAGACAGTTCTCTGTATGAGATGGGTGTGATTTTCAGCACTCTTGTGTTGTCTCTGCCTTAATTATATTGTATTTCTGTTCTCTTTTTCTTTTCATTTTGCGCTGTCTGTGAATGGTGTGAATTGTATTGTTTCTGTTCATATATTTCTGTTTTGCTATTTTGTAGACCCTTTAAGTGGACTTTAGTCTGTTGGGTCTTTAAAAAAAAAAAAGGTTACCGGTGCTATGACGATTAATCAACACATCTGTCAGAAATTCGAAGGCATCGAAAAATTTTGCAATTTAGTTCTTATTTGAGTGCTTTGTATTAGTTTTCTAGTAGGTGTTTTGTGGTAATTTGTGTGCTCGCCCAATGGATTGGGGAGCGATGAAAATTTGTCAAGGCGCAAGTATGGCCACATTGAAACTACTGCCGGAAAAATCCAATGGCCAATATTTAATAGAATACAACTTATTTATGAAATGAAGAGCTAAAAAACAAATCTGCGATTTTACTGAAAGGAGCTGTTTTTGAAGTAGGTAGTTTTTAGTTTATATTATGAACATGGAAAAACTTTTGTAGGTATGCAATTCATGAATAAAGTTACATTTTTTCGCTGTTTTCAAGAAACACTTTACTCACTTGTTGCATCAATAACTAAACTATTTCCACCTTCGACCGTAATTTTAAGTAACAAACTAGTTTACTAACTATATGACTCGCCTTTGGTTTAACAATTCAACATGCTTCAACTTTATCATCATAGATTCATAGCTTGGACAATTTGGAAATGTCGGTATTGTAATGTTAATAGCCATAGTTGACTTCAACATAGAATAAGTGGCCCATAACGTCGATGGTTGTTTATTTTGACTTAATTCGGCAAAATACGCCAGTAACACTTTCTGAGGTGATATTGTGAGCCCCTTTACCTAGCGCACCATTGAAGGTACATTTTTTAGGCTTTTCATACCTACTTTTGATCTTTTTCGGCAGCAGATTCTGCGTAACTTCGTTTGTTGCATATTGTAATTCAGGAAGCGTTAAAGATTCTGAATCGGACATTTTCTAATAGAATGAAATTTCTTGATCAGACTTTTGCACCTTCAAAACGTCAATCTAATTTTATTCAGAGACGTTCAAAGGGTTGATTGTTATGCATAGCCTACTTGTAATTATGAAAATAAACATTGTGGTGACGTATAATTTTTTAAAATATTTTCGCAAAATTTATTCAGGTGACTGAGAATAAAATAATATACATACCTCGGCGGAAAGTTTCCTAGAGCCTCGAGCTAACTGTCTCGGCTCTAAGGAAATACTTTCCGCCTCAGTATGTAATATACTATTCAATGTTTATTTTTCCAAGCATTTACCTGGTCGAAGAATATTCATCGGATTGACATTACGCTTTCTGCCTTCAGGAACCATCACAAATGAATCAGTAAGACTAGTATCAGATTTGCTAGTTCTCATGCTTGTACCATCGTCTACATCGAGACTAGCATTATCAGCACTGTTGCCACCTAAATAACACTCTTTTAAATGTGCGGTCTTGTCATACGAAAAATGTCATACCTTCACTTTTTCTAAATCCCCCATGAACTCTCGATCTTCTTCGTCTCACAGGAATAGGTGGCGAAGGTTCCTCCGTATCGCTGCAAGTTTCTTTCTCGTTCTGTTGTTCACTTCTCCACTCCTTGCAGCTTCCTTCCCCTGAACGTTGTCGATCAATGGACGATCTTCTGGTATTATTGTCTTCTGAAAGACTGCTTTCTGAACCTGATTTCATCAGGCTCAAGGAGCTATCGTTTGAAACATTAATTTGTTTTACTAGACGATGATGGATAGGGGTAGGTTTAACGGGACTTTGATATTGTTTGCATTCTTCTTTTTGAGGATTGGTATCGTCGGGTACTTGAACGTAATCAATAGACCACATCTTAAAAACAGAGATATTAGTACTGCTTTATATAAACAGTTACTTGAACCTACCCTTGTAACACCATCTGTTGATCCCGTCATAATAACATTCAGCGGATCCCATTCGTGCGTTTGTGAAAAAGCTACACATAAAATCTGCTGCATGCGATCAGCTCGTCCTACACACGTATTCACGCTAGCTAATTCGTCTCCATTAATACTCCACACATGCAACCACGTTGCAGCACAGGTGGCTATATCGCCAGTGAGATCATTTACAGCTACCGCAGCTATCGGACCAGCGTGTCCTCGTAACTGTCTTACGAAAATTCCACGTGATAAATCCCAAATTATGGCAGTGCAATCTCTGGATCCGGAAACAATGACATTGTAGGCAGGACTGGCCGCCAGGCACGTTACAGCGTCCGTATGTGCATACAAATTGTGTTTTATGTTAAGGGACTTTTTTCTCGCCTCGTATTCCCAAATGGTGACTACAGAACTAGTCCCTGCTGTTACTATTAGTTTTGAAGATGGACAAACGCAAGCTAAAATTTCACCGTTGTTTTGAACTACGCTTTCAGAAACAAAAACAGCTTTGTCGCTGTCGTAATTTCCGATCCTCAAGGAGTGGTCAGCAAAGCCCCAGGCTACGTATTTGTTGAAGAGACTAGGAATGAGAACTTTGTTTTGCTCAACGGCCAACACGGATTTGTCAACGTGGAGAATTTGACCAACTGGACTTTTCACTTCTGAAGAAAAAGCAAATAGAGTTTATGTTAATTTATGTTATCTACGAATTTTTACGACTAGTTGAAATGACTGCAAATTATTTCATATAAAATTCGTCATGTGGATAAAATCTCTGCAATAAAGTTTAAACTATGTTCTATTTCAATGTGGCGAAACAATTTGACTCTTAAAAATAATATACTGTTATTAGAAATAAACCCATACACCACCCCGGTGCGACGTCTATGGATTTTCTCGAGGGCTTTCTAGTATGTACGGTGATGATGGGTGACTCATCATCGGTGACGGTGGCTGAGCGGCGTTCGACTAAAAGAAAAGCCTGGAAGCGGAAGTCGCAATGGGTATTCCAGAAAAACCTCGATCGCGACTCATCTAGAAGGGAACGTATGAGTTTACATAGAGACTACCTTTGGGAACGATTCATTCTTTCAAAGAGAATCCAGTCAAGTTCCGTCGGAATTATTTTGTACATAATCAATTAAGTGTAATTAGTCCTGTAAATTTGAGCTACTGAGAAATAAATTGTTGAGTGTTATCCACGCCGATTTTAATTACCGATCTTCGTAACAATACGTTATAATACACTGAATTTGTTAAAAATGAATCCTAACATATTTTTTCTACCGCGCACGTTTTTTGATTTTCTAATAGAGCTATTAAAGCACCCAAATGACGTCAAAGCGGTTCGTCAATAGCGGAATGTGGTTCTGAAATAGATCTGGTGTAATTTAGATCGGTAAGATTGGTAGCCATGACGAGAAATGTCAGGTGAATGTCAGTGGCAAATGTGAAATTAAAATTTCCCGTATTTCGGGAGGCGTAAGGACTTCACTAACTTCTTCACAAGACATTTTAACCAATTGATTCGAATTACAGTTGTTGTTGTGAAAATTCGAACTTCAAATATTTCGTGGTTCGTGTTAGACCATCGCCAATCACGAGAAAATTCCCCAGATTTAAACAAACGCAAATTTCAATTAAATTTTGCGAAAAAACGTGCGCGGAAAAAAAATAGTATAAATAACTCGTTCATAAGGCCATTGTGGCACTCATCCTTTATATAACTCGCGGCTTCGCCGCTCGTTCTGTAAACTTGGATTCGTGCCTTAATATTTGCCTTATGAAACTCGTTCTTTAATATACTATTATATATACATAAGCAGTGCGGATATCATTTTCGACCAATGCATTAACAAGTCAGTCATTTCAACTTTTGTTATGACATCACATGGATAAACATCTAATTACCTTTAATCGGTTGCAACGACGGTCGTAAATTATCCAAATGATGAAAAAAGAGTTTCTCAGGTTGAGGCAAAGTAAACGCTTGCACAAGTGCACCAGTATCAATAACCGACGTTCTGTTATTATTACCACCCATCTTTTTACAAGGGTGTGGTTTTTTAAACAGTTGTTTGGGAATTTGCCCAAAATTGTTAATAAATCCGATCGTCGCATTCTTCTTCAATGGATCGTCGATACTTAAATTATTTCCATTGTGTGACAATAAATAAAACGAGTTTCAACTTACTTATAAATGTCGACATTTCCTTCATAAAATAAATGGTGGAAGACATTGACAGCATCAATCGCCGGTTGTCCTTGCTGTTTATACCCAAAAATCAGATCTATCCAATGATGCAGATTTTGAGAGACGAAATCACACTCCAGCGCCATCCTATGTACTCTAATAAACTCCCGAGGATCTTGTTTAGCCCACGGCGGAAGCACTACATCTCCCAGAGCTACTCCACTCTGCTTAGCACCCAAATCGAACTGATTTAAGTTTTCCAGAAATTCTGGGAGGTAAAAGAACTCCGGTATTAGCTCTTTCACATCAGCCATGTTATGCTTAGAAGCAGACAACCATGCTTCTTTGACTGAGTGAAACATACGGTCAGCGAGATCAAAATGGCCGCCTTGGAGTCGAAGAAAATGTTGAGTAAAAGGCTCTGTACGAACTAGATACGAGCAAACAATCATAGCACTGGAATAATGAGTACCGTAATGGTAAGGAGGAGTCTCTCCGTGAGGGTCATCCCATTCCTGCAAAAAAAGCTACCTAGTATGTTTTGCTGTAAAGTGGTGCCGAGTACCTTAAATCGTTTTCGGAATTGTTCCAAACGTTCCGGACTTTGTGCACCCATTGGTTTGGTGAAGTCGCGAAAACTGGCAGGATGAGATAGGTCTAATTCTTCAGAGTCATAGTCCGCAAGTATCCAAGGGAAAACTGGATACTGCATGAGATCATTATAGGATCTCCCAGCTAATGTATTTAAATGCATGAGATATTGGAAGTTGGAGATTTCGCCTCGCTGGAAATACGAGTGTTTAAAAAGAGTCAAAGCTAATGGAGAACGAACTAACCACCCATCTTTGGGTTACGCTGGTTTCGCCAATAAGGTTACTTAGTAGACTTGTGGCTTGTTCGACGTTAGCTGTTCGTCTTTGACCAGCCACGGATTGTTGCGCGCTGTCGGCAATACCCGTAGCCATTGCCATGAATCTTTGGTATACTTTGTTACGAACTTTTCGTGGAAAAGCCAGTAAATAGTTGCGACCATCTCCAGAAAATACTTCCAATGCCATTGGTTGCAGAAGGTATCTTCGTTTATGAACTTCCCTACATTAAATTTTAAAATTTTTAACTTCCAAACCCTAAATTTTGTGAACTGATAGTAACGGTTTTTGTGAATTTATTTCCATGTGTTCAAGTTAGCTTAAATAGATCTTTATCACGAAAAAGAATCCCCACGAAATTCAGCAATATTAAATTTCGAACGGAAATACAGTAGCGTATCGGGAGCGCCAATTGATCGTCTTGGTCGGAAAATAGGTTGTAAACGGAACTACCAAGTGAACAGGAGTCACTTTCTCAGTACAGCAAAAAGAGAGCGTCCTCCATTCTTTTAATACAACGTCTTTGGTCTCGTATTATTTAAAGACCATTACGTTACTCTTATCTTGCTGTTAGTCATTTCAGTGTTTTTAAACTTGAGCATTCGGATTTTTTACTTGAATATTAAAACAATAAACATGTAAACATTGGGCATACGATGTTAGTGTGAAGTTTTTTCACAAAATATTTTGAAATTCACACGTGGGAATTTACTATATTAATATTACTATACGCACCTGATATCTTCATAAGAAAACTTGGAGCACTGTCTCATAGCCCTTGACCTCCTAGGGGATCCTGGATTTGGTAATATCGGTTCATATTCGTTGGTATTGTTAGGCACACTTTCTATATCCCTAATTTCTCGATTTTTCAATAACGTGAAGCCATCAACCACGTAGCAGTGTTCTTGTCCAAATAGCAGTAAACCTTCTGTTGTGTCCAATCCTTGAATCCGTGCACATCTAAACATATGTGAAATCTAAAAAGAAAAATCTCATGGTCCTCAATAACTTTCCCTTTTAAAGAATCAAACCTTCTCATTTTCTTCCAATAGTCGCATTAACGTTTGGTTATCTGGAGGCGGAGAAGGTTCCTCCTCCACATCATTTTCCTCTTGTTGATCGTCTGGATCAGATTTAAGTCTAGCGAGAGGTGGAAGCGGAGTCAGTGGGAGAGGAGAGGGTTCTTCAACAATACTATCAGCCCGTTCCGGTTCAGTTAACCCCGTAACACCGTGATGTTGCCGCATTTGAACCGCTTGATAATAAATTTTGCTGTGATGACTTGTCGCAACTTTGTATTTTAGCATTCCTCTCTCGTGGTCTGGACGATAGGGATAATGCAAGTAAAACAAGTCATTTCTCATTGTCTTCTTGCGCATTCTATGAGGACCTTCTGTCATGTCCAACATCCATTTGTCTAAATAGCATGGTTCTGGAGGTCCCCACAATCCTCTTTCTCTTGTTAGTTCGTTCTCAGTTTGTAACCATTCCTGATGCACATAGCGCTGAGTATGTTGAGTAGTGTTTTGGTGTTGTTGTCGCCTCATTTCCACAAAGTCTTTTAAAAGGTTGACATGATTGATCATCCATACAAATGCCTGTTTTTTACTCATTCTAATCTTTACTCTCATTGTATCATCTTTGCGAACCTTTGTCCTACTCGCTAATCTGGTCAATCCACCAGTAACTTTATGAATTTTTGATTGTATCTGATTATGAAACTCCCAAGGAACTCGATAGGTGGCTTTCCTTTCAGCATCAACATAATTAAGCCATAATTTGGATGCTGCTTCAAATACTTGTTCTCGTACTATCATTAAATCCGGAGCTTTCGCATTCTGGCAAGGAAGTGCCAACGTAACTTTAAAAACTTCTTCGATCGCTGGTTTCTTACATACATACAACTCCTCCCAAACTCGTAATGCCGCTCCGGCCATTAAATTACGTCCCTGATGTGCGTTCAAGTGTTCGTCACGTGACTCTAGATCGCTGCTAGGGTTGACATGCCAGGTGGTTCGTATGTTCGATTCAAGCATTACTTTCATGTCTGCTGTTAACTGGAGAAGACAATATGTAAGACACCCAATGAAATCTAATTCATGGTTTCCGGCTCCAAAGACTATTAACCTGTTGGTTGTTAATTTGTGCAGAGCTTCGAGAACGGACATCTGGTCCGCGATGGTGTCTGTGGATCGCGATAGTAAGAAAAGAATGCTTCTATTGAGGCAATGATATAAACACTCGAGAGACAAATTTCCGGTTCGACGTTTCGCTTGTCCGATAAGTTTAACAATGAAATCGAAGACTTCATGTGGATCCTTTGTCAGCGAACCTTGCCACAGCTTATCCACGATTCTTGCTGTAAGGTAGAACACATTTGGAGTCACATGTTGGATGTGGGCGTTGGTTAGTGGAACAACGGGGATTGCGGCTTGATCACCAACCAACATGTCTGCAGCGAGAAGGTGATCCATTAGAGTAACCAAAATCTCAGTTTGGTAACAGACTTGTTGCGACGAAGTGGAATTTTCGGGGTAAGCATCCAAAACTAAATCGATAACAGGGGAAGATTTACCAGTGATAGATAAACTCAAAGAGTCGACAACGATAACACGGATAAAGTCTATGATAAATTGTCGCGCTGGATGGGTAGTAAGAGGGTCTTCTTCAACTGGAGTTCTTGGAACGATGATGACGGATTCTGCTTCTTCGCCAGCTGGAGTCGATGCGCCACTACTGTCTGCACTGTCAAGGGATGAAATTAGTGGAGGAGGGAACAGTACTCCAGCTAATGCGCCAAGAACTTCGGAGGACATGAAAATTGGCATGAAATCGGGCATGTTGTGGTAAAGTTGAAACAAAACCTGTAACAACAAATTATATATACAAATCTGAAATAATATTTTTAAAATAATTCAGTTGGTATAAAATATCAGATCTGAAAACTTAAAGCTGACTTAACAATCATAAACTTGTTCTTTTTTTCTGTCAAAAATAATTTGTCGTTGGCATTTATTGATTTCTTTTGATCGTGGAAGTCATAAAAATAAAATTTGTTAGGGCTGGCGCTACAACTCGGCTCAAATAAATCAACTGAGTGATTGAACGTAACAGTTATTTTGACAAATATTAAGTAAAGCTAACAATCATCGCATTCACAACACGAAAAGAATAAAATAGTCATGTAATAAATGCAAAATAAGTTCTCTAAGGCATATATGAACATTGTCAACTGCGGCATAGAGGTAAAATTCTACGTCAATGGCTAAACAAAACGACGAATTTTATGAAAATTACATCACGTGTAAAGTTTTTTCTGCATTTTTCCAGATTTCTTTTCTAGCAGTTATTTATTTATATTTTAGAAAAGAGGGTTGTCATTAAAAAAAATCGATTCCATCATACCTAACAACTCTGAAATATTTTACGACAGCTAACATATTCTTCATGCTTTTTACGATCTTAATGGCGTAATAACTTTTCTTTGAAAAAAGAGGAAACACTTACCTGTATGATCGATATGGTATGATTTTGTAACCATTCAGGTATAGAAACATCATTAGAATGCAGCATTGCTCGTGCCATCGTTAACAATACAACTACAGCTTCAGAACAAAGACAAATTCTGGGAGCTACACTAGTTGCTGGTTGATTGGTAATAGAACTACCCCATAAAAACGTCCATATTGTGTCTAAATCAAACTTTGTTTCACCAGGTGGTAATTTCACAGGCACGCCCATTATGAGAGCAGTTAATAGAAAATATACTTCTGCTACATCTAAATGGGCTGGTAAAAGCCATCCCAAATACTGAAAACCAGGAATGTGAAGAGCTTCTGATTTGGTATCGTTACCATGGGAGCTATTCATTTGATAACCCAGGACTACCGCCATTTTATTGTGGGTGACTTGTTCAATATAACGTAACCATCCGCCATTACTACTGCCTTCACGAAATCTGAAAAAAAATCCTGTAGTTCTAATTTTTTGCGAAATATACTTACTTCGTCATTAAAGATTGGCTAGAACACATAGCTACAAGAATCCTTAATGCCCACACCACAGTGGTTGAGTGCAAATGTGGTTGCATAAACAGCAAGATCCAATCAAAGCCCAAAGTGCGTGCAATTTCCTCACCAACTATACTTCGAGGAGCGAAAAGCATAGAATGTATGAGACCTAAACACCGATTTCGTAATAAAATATTTTCGCCTTCAAATTCTTTATCTATATCTCCATCTTTCAAAATGACAGTCTTTTCATTGATTGTTGATGATGCAGGTAAAGTGGCTGCTACAAACTGACCAAACAAAAGCAAATCAGGTTGACGGGGTTGCCCCCCAAGTAATATGGACATCAGAGAAAACAACACTTGACGGGTTGCAAGGTGTCGAACTTCAGGAGTTATATGCAATAATTTTTCTACCAGCTGTAAATCTCTCATTATCCAAGTGTTGTTACGTTTTTCATTAGACTCGGCAGCTAGTTCATATAAGTGCTCTAAATGGGAACGTAAAAGCTCACCGGGGGCTTCATGCCACACCTCCAGGTCGCATAATAAATCCTGAAAGCCAATAGTAATAAAATTTAAAATTAAAATAGCGGATCAAGTTACTTGGAAAGCTGTTCGGTTAGGTATAGCAGACGATTCGCGACCACTATCGACAGTCCCCACAAGACTGAACGCTAAGTGAAGTATATGTGAATTCAGTAATGACCTTTTACGCCTTAAAAGCATTGCCAGTGTCTGATAACCCCGCTTTCGGTCCATTTCAGCTTGAGCAACTTTGTTACTTCGAACAACACAAACCAAAGCTTTCACTCCCGCATATAAACTTTCTACGTCCTGTGCCATCGCTATAAGTCCTAACAATACAGAACACCCTCCAACTGTATCAATCTACAAACAAAAGTAAAAGTCTCTGCGCCTCCAACTTAAACACCAAACTTACGGTGGTTGCTACAGGTCTTGGACAAAAAACTCTCACACCCAAATATCCTATAACAACGCCCCCTAAACTCCTGGCAGATCCGGCTAGATGTCCTGCCGAATTATGAAGAATTCGAATCGGAGTAGCACTTTCATGACTGGACATTCCTAGTTGTTTGGCAATTGATTTATTGTCAGTGCGACTATAAACTTTCCGAATTTTATTTAATGTGAGTTGTGAAACGGCTTTAGCATTTAAACCAAAAACGACTTTCTCTTCTGAAACTAACTGCATGGTTTCAGCTGTGTTCAAGCTGGGGGCGAGAAATGAGCCCATATAATGTGGTCCTAACTGGAACATTTGTGACACCACTACAGGCGTTAAAACTTCTTCGAATAGATGACATGGTCCCTGTTTCCAGCATAATCTAGAGTATCTTCTCCAGGCTGGGGGTGTGCCGATGAAACCGTAAACTGACGAGGCCACAGTCAAGTTTGCTGAACCTCCACCGGGATTTTGAGAAATGTAATGCATCTTTTGAGCGTGCAATTGCTGGCCGTCCAAATAGAGAGCAAAAGACGAATTTTTTAACACTGCTCGATTCAGAACCACAACGATGTGATGCCACTGACCCTCTTGAAGGATATCGGGGCACCAGACTCGCACTCCATGTTCACCAGAACCCTCGGGTTCCCAATCACCCACATCTGCGATTAAATTTATTTAATGAGTGAAAATATATATGTAACCTAGAAAAAAAAAAAACCGAAAAACATTATCTCATATCTCTTTTTGGTAAAATATTAAAAGATCTTTGCGAACAAGTTCAAAAAACGTAACTCTGGAAGTCGTTTAGAAAAGAGTGCTCAAGATGAGTGGGCCATTGCTTGTAGTGAAGTGATTCACTGAACTCGAGGAGTAAACAAATGGTAGTCAGCTTAATTTTAAAGTTACAGAATGCTATTAAGGAATAGCATTCTGGTAAATTTAGATCTTGTAGAACGGCCTTCAAAAAATTAAAGACTACAAACTTTATCCAAACTAATGTAAGGTGGTATGAAATTCACAAAAAACACTGATTCTAACTCGAAAGAATACATTAAAACTCAAGTTTTTTTGTAGAACAGAATTCAGTCCACTCTCATAATAGCTACAGAGTTCTGAAAAAACGAAAAAAATAGATCACTCAAAAGCATATGTCTTAGAAAGTTTCAAAATTATCTCATAAGCTGCTATTTCGCCAATTCAAAGTAATGTCTGAGATTTATCTCGGAATGCCCGGTCGAAGGACAATATCTATCTTTTGAAAAATTAGACAAAAATGACCAGAAATTTGAGAAGTCATTTTATCAACGTATAATATGTATCTATATGTATTGTTACGAAATAAACCCATACGCCGCCCCAGTACCGATGCCAAAGGGTTTTTCTAGTATGTGTCGATGATGTGTGACTCATCGACGGCCGAGTGGCGTTCGCTAGAGAAAAGCCTGGAAGCGAAAGTCGCGATGGATTTCAGAAAGACCCCGATCGCACATCTAGAAGGAAGTATGGGTTTAAATAGAGGCCACCTTCGGGAACGAGTCAGTCGAGTGAATGTTGCGCCGGAATTATTTTGTATATACATAATCGCTCTGTAATTAGTCGTGTAAATCCGAGTTACTAAGAAATACATTGATGACTTTTACCCACGCCGATTTTAATCACCCATTCAACGTAACAGTATATATATAACGACTGAAAGAATACGCCACAGTTATTAGATCACCATACGACACAAACTGGGACATAAAATATAAAGAATTTAAACAACTAATACAAAGTCGAAAACATTTTCAATCTTATGCGAAGTATTGATAACTTACGGTTCGGAATATGCGTTTCTTGAGTTGAAACAATAATTGCTTTATCCCTCGCAGACAAAACAACTGACAAACAAACCAAATGATCTTCCCGCCCTCCATTAAAATTCCTCACCAAGGTCAAAAGCCGTACGCAATGCGGATCAGTTCTTGGATCCGAAAACTTATCAACGCAAATCCAAGTGGAATAGCTGAGTCCCGTCTGCGGTGGAAACAACCGATCACCAGCTCCAATTCCTCCGAGTACGCTGCTGTCAAGTGTTGAAACAACACTGGGTGCCGCTGGTGACTGAGGTGCAATACTTGGCAAATATAAACACCCAAAGCCTTCAGCTGTCATGTCAAATTCCACGAATGGAGGTAATGTATACGAGGACTGTGCCCTGAAGTCTTTTGGTGTCGTCATGGAAACTAGAGTTTTTATCCGAGTCAGAGGTACAGGTCCTCCACCCACTTCTTTGGATTCAAGAGGTAAACAGCAAAGGGGACTTCCCAGTCGGAGGAAATTTCTGAGGTCCGTCGGTTCTAAGGCTTGCGCAGCGAGACGCTCCAACATGTATTGCAGAGGGCCATGTAAGGGGTGGTTTTCATTTTGGATGGGCAGAGATCCTATGGAAAGCAAATAACCAACAAATTCTTTGTCACACATAACTTGTTGGTTTCTTTCGCTACGGACCAAGGATTTGATTACTTCTGAAATGTAGAGCTGGAGAGCTAGGGCAATTTCGAATTTTTCATCCTGCAATATAATTGTAATAATAATTTGCAATGATGCATCTGTAAATTGTAGAAATACTTTAAAATATTTTGATAAATTCAAAATTCCAAGAATAGACAAAAAACTTTTTTTTATAATTTTTAAAATAACGAAGAAACACAATTTGGTCATAACTGCGAACCTCAACTAAGAAGTTCACATTATATGTATAATAATATAAAATAAATAATCAAATGTAATAATATTCATTAAAAAAACTTATAGTTAAGAGAATTTACCTTAATACAAGGTAACAGCTGCAGCATGGCTACTACAACACCTGGATGCACAATTATGGGGTCGGGAATCGGTGGGTTTAGATTTAAAGTGTTGACGTTAGATCTTTTCCCAGCGGTGTTGTTTATCTGTAAATAATTTAATTTTATAACCTTTGAATTTTTTAGTACAACTCATATTTACTTGAGGTTCTGAGGAAGTCTGTCTTGACAGGGAAGGTGACTTCATTAAAACGCCAGTGTTCAGATTAGGTTTATCAAAAAGGTCTAGAGCTAAGTCGTAGAGAAGTCTATAAACTAGAGTTGCGTAAGACAATGAAGGGCACACAGCATCAGTCAGTCTGAAAAGTATCCTAATATTACAACGAATTGCCACAACTAGTACTTACTCTGGATTAGTGATTGATCCAATAAATAATTTATGGTAAACATCCTGCAGGTCATTAGAGGGTGATTCAACGTCACATTCTGCCAAAGTTTCCACTTTTTCTGAAGTAAAACATCCTAACAATCTAAGAGTATCACAAAGACTAGTTTTACATATTTCATGGTAAAAGAACTTTGCATTGGCAGGTTCGAATCTCATGGCAGTTGATATCGTTTGAAAAACTAACTGAAGAAGAATTAAGATTTCTGAATTCGTTTCTTTTTTACTTAGTTTGCTTTCTAAAGCTACCAATACACTAGTTACGTAAACAAATCCATTAACCTAAAAAATTGAATGAGCACATATAGGTAAGATATAAAATAAGCACTGTACTTTTCTAAAGACGGTTCGTGTCCTATGTGATTCCTTGAGACATAGTCTCAAAGCCTCCAGAATATCTATTTTCAACTGAAGGGCTATTCTAGGAGCAGAATGCAATGTACTGAGTAGCTGCGCCATATCATCATCACCACCAGTCGTTAATACCAATTCTTTAATTATTCCTAAAGCTGCGTACCGACATTCGGCGTGCTGGACTAGTTCCTGCACACATTTCGCTCCTCCACATTCTCGCAAGACGTTAGCATTAGCGGTATTTCCAGCCAACAATAAAGTGATGGCTTCAACAATTAATCCGCCTAATTTTTCTTGACCAAGTGGAATAACGTAATCTCTGCCGTTATCCTGTTTGCTTTTTTTCTCTTTCAAAAAATTAGCATATCGGTTTAAACATGTAACGAAAACTTCTAACATACCAACTTCACGATAAACATCTTTAAATATAACGTTGTGTTTCAATATATTCAACAGGGTTTGTACACATAATATACTACATTCTACGTGATTTAGACTATGAGTTTTTAGAAAAATTGACATGGAAATCAGCTCCTTGCAAGGTACGAAATTTAGTTGAAACACTAGAAATTCGATGAGTTCGAAAAGTTTTCCTTGAATTTCTTCAGACTTATGATGGATTTTTTCAGTAAACTGACTTAGGGTATTTTGGTTTTCGAGTATAAAATAATTGGCATTGTCTGAATGGTATATACTTGAAATCGCGTCTAAAATTGTACAACATAAGAGAGTAGAATTAGATTTGAGAAACGTGCTCTGCAACACCTACAACATTACGTTTACTATCTTGCTATGTAACATATATTTATATATTTACATGAAATGCTTGAATATTCCTCACACTTGTTCCCCTGCCTGAAGGCTGCGGTAGAGTAAATCCTTGCATTTGGAACAACGATCCGGTGGACGCTTGCGAAGGTTTCAATTCAATGTAGCCGCACATACACAAAGACGTTACCATTAACACTAAATTTCTGATAGATTCTTGCGCTTCGCTGGATTTTTCGCTTTCCAATCTAGAACATCTGGAGTTTCAAATCAATAAGAGACGTTTAAGTGAAATATTACTTTAATAGGAAGTCTGATAAAAAGAAATATCCTTGGGCTTGTCTAAAATCATCTAAGAGAGTCGAAGATACTTCACTTGAGTCTTTTAAAAAACAAAAAACAGTTACAAACATTTCTACTAATTCTAGAGGAGCTAGTTCAGGTACTCTTTTCATGTTTTCTATACATAAAGCTACGCAGCCTTTAGCTACAAAAAAGAAAGGTCAGTTTAAGTTTTGTTGCACGGAAAGTTACTTACAATGAATATAACCAACAACTGGTGGAGTAAGACCATGTCTAGACAAAGTCATTAATACTTCTGCGGCACTTTTCCTCCACATGACGTTATGAAGAGGACACCACGACGTGATGGCGGAGAAGAGAAGAGTCAAGTCGTCTTTACGTGCCAACTCTTCAGCTGGAATTCGATGACTACACAAACGCACCAACAACTGAACAAAAATTTTTTGCAACAGAATCCTCCTTTCCCGTGGAGTGAAATCGCTTGAGGAATCTTTACTATTAGCTTCGTGTTCCGACATTTCAGGTAAATCAAAAAATAAATACAAACATTTGACTAAAGTGGAGGGTACTGAAACTTCGGACATGACCTAAAACCAATTTTTGTTCCAATTTCATCTCGGATGCTCGCTACAAGTTAATAACCTGCACCAAGGTCGCATCCCCCGCCGCTAGGAGATTGAGAGTAGATAAAAGCATCCAACCGTTGCTCGATTCCTCACAATTTTCGATTTCTAAGAACTTTGCTATGGCACAGCTTGCTGCCTCGGTGCTCTGATTCGACGCCCTCTTTCTGATTTCAGAAACCATCAACAGGGAGACTTGATGGCAGAACGCTAGGATGTCCCAGAATTTCTCATTCATGTCACATGTTGGACTAGAGCCAAAAACCTTTTAAAAAATTAGCGCCGATGAAGTTATAGACGACAAGCGATTAATTTACTTGTTCACCTTGCAAAACAAAGGGAGCATGTTGTACAGTTTGTCATCCCTTTCTTGGTCGGTTAATGGATGCGACGGGTGCGTATATTCTGAGAAGAGTTTTTTTAAGTGCATAAGACCCAGTTGAGTGTGAGGAGATCCAGGGGCGGCGTCTGATATGTCTGATGAAGAGGCGGAGGGAGCATTGGTCCCTCCACCCCTTAACTTTCTCATGATATTCATTGTCAGTGCCTAAAAGCACCTAAAAAGCGAAACGTGATGTTGTTATTAATGATAAAACCGGACATCTTTGATTTCAGATTGAACTACTGTATATTTGGGTGTGGATGTAAATGCGCAAACATGAGGTTTAAAATGCAAATACACTTTTGTTCCCATATGTACCTCACTCAAATAGAGCAGATAGTGTTGATACAACAACTTAAAGCAATCTATTATCTCTCGTGTAAACAAGTTTGCAAATTTTAAAATGCAAATAGACGGCGTCTAAACATGTATCTTCTTTTTAAGAATAACTTAATAATAGTTATTTATTGTACATATAAGTAGGTAAAGTTGGATATTGTCTATGAGAAAATGTTGACCAACGAATATGGCAAGACGAGTTGCAATATTTTTCTCGAGTGGATAATACCAATTTCCTCACGAGTGCAATATAACGTTTCATTCAACATCTCGATTATTAATTTAGTCGCAAATTCAATAATAGTAATTTTCCTAGCAAGTGCGGGAATCGCACGTCCCCTGCGCGTTAGGAACAATGTTTTTCTTAACGACCCCTTTTAGGTCTTTCAGCGATTAAAATTTTCGTCATGAGATTTATAAATTGCAGCACGTACGAAAATCGTATCGTCTGACCGTTGAGTAGTCAAAGTATTGTGAACGCAATTGTTTAAACACAAATAAGTTTTTCGCAAAATATTTGTCAATAATACCTCAATAAATCTTTGATATTTACTTACATTTTACTTCCCGCACTAGCACGAGTGGGGAAAACTATCACTTTCCGCACGCTGTTAGGAAAAATTATTTTCACACACGCACAACAATTGTTGGTTGCCAAGGTTGTTTATTTATTACCAGTGTAAACAAATAAATATGTTTAAATACTCAACAACAAGAAAAAAATGGTCGAAAGTTATTTAGGCATAAGCTCCCTCGCCCCTGAAACACAATTTAACAAATCCAATTTTTTAGATAAATTACACAACTTGATTTGGTGAATTTTGTTTTTTATGATAAGTAAGTTAAAATAATAAGCTATTAATACTTAGTATTTTAACTTATCAGTCATAAACATCTTATTGATTAAAAATCCTACGATAAATGAACAAATATAGAACAGTTTCATGCAGTTTAGTTATCATTTAACATTAACGTCCACGAAAATGGAACACCACCTACAATATGGTTTTTAGAAAAAGTGTGACTTTTTTAATACACGACACGACAAGAAGTAAAAATTTACAATATTATATTTAATTATAATTTTATTCATGCGTGTTTTAAATTCTTAAAGGAGCATTCTCTTTTTTTTAGATGATGTTCCATACAAGACTCAGCGACTGTACTTATTTAGACAACGAGCGGAATATTAAAATTTAGCAAACTAAATTTTGACCGACATACAGGATGATTTTAATATATGCGAAAAACTCGAGGAATGTCTTCCTCACATGAAAATAAGAGGAAAATCAATATATGTCGAAAAATTAATTGTTCTAAAGTTGAGGGGTTTGATAAATTAGGCGACTATTTTATTATTAATTATTACCAAAATACTATTTATGTTTGTGAACCTCTGTACAACTTATAGTCTAACACGTGTGAAAAATATCGTGTTTTTTATAGCCTTTATATAAATCTACAAAACTATTCTCACAAGTGTTCGGTTCGATGCAAAAAAAAACCTATACTTACACAGAAAGATGGTATACTGTCAGTCAAATGCTTAGCTCTTCGCGAAAAGACTTTTACTTTCTTATATTTACATATTGCGTACAATTTTTTGGACACTCTTCTAGCGATCACGTTCATGCGTTTAGATACGATAATGTGAATGGGGAATAAAGAAGAGAATTACTTTTTCGTAAAATAAAATTCTAAATCTTGAAAATCAATACACGATTGAGTCATCGACGTATTAATAAACCATCGAGTATAGCGTAGCCTCCTACCTTCATTCATTTACAGCATTTAGTCAATAAAAATTGTTGTCATATTTAATACGGGAAATACATATAATAAGCTTCCAAAAAATGTCCTTGTGTCAGGAATAAGAAAGTCTTAAAAGGTTATCATATGGCGCAACAAGTCACCAATAAATTTCGCCTTCCTGTCCCTACACTACTTTGTTCATTTCATGGAACAGTCGCTCAAAGCTTATATCCAACCCTTCATCAATGTCCGTCATTAACAGAATTTCAGCGAAGACACATTCTTGGAATCGATAGGTCAGTTACTATTAACGCCCAAAATATACAAATAATTCAGAAACATATGTGTTATACTATAAAGATAAGAAAACTAAGAAATAAAGATCTCGTTGTTGCTCAAGATCTTCGAGAAACGTATTAAATTAGTCTCGTTATTATTTCGTTCAGAGTCAAAAGTTTATTGATCTATTTTTTAAATTTTTTTTATCAAAAATATTAATTCTAACAAAGTTATCTCTACAGAAACCGCGAATCGTAATAAGTCGCTGTAGGTGGAGACTTCCGTTAGATAACAAAAACGAGGAAATTTGTTTCAGTATTATGTAAAATAATTTTTTGTGGTATCTGAAAATCGCAATACGATACAAATATCTCTAAACAAATGATAAAAATGTCGTTTAGTTTTACTTTCCGAACGTAAGCTACAGGAATATTGTGATAGCCACTTAGGAATGGCTAATTTCATGATTTTTATACATTTTACGGTTTTTATAATAAGAAAATGTTGAAGTACTGACCAAAGATCTTAATTTAAGTGATTTGGAAAATAATACTGTTGCTATGTATTCTAACCGAGTAGGTATATGGATAAAGAATCTACCCTGAACAGGTCCTTTAAGCAAAATAACAACTTATTTAAAAATAATACTTCATCACATATTTGCATTAAATTTTGAGAAAACAAAAATTAAAACATATTTCAGTGTATATTTGAGGTTGATGTAGATGCATATAACAAGTTAAAATCTGTTGGGAACTTTTTATTGTCTTAAATTTTTGTTCAGTCTACGACGACGTTAATTTACGTGTTGCTTTAAATGTGTAAAAATTTAGTGGTGACACAAAAAAATTGCACAATATGAAATCTAAACTAAAGAAGTGTATTAACAGTATTACTATTACACAAAACTCTGGAGAAAATATCGAAAATAACTTGGGATGCAATCATCATGTCTTTCATGATGTCTTTATATGTATATTAAACAACCAAAAAACGATTGTTTTACTTTAAAGGTGAGATGCAGGTGTAACAATAATATAACTGGATCTTGAATGCTTCTAATACGCTCATTTATCAGGCAAACTCTACAATAATTACGGATTTTAATTTATATTGTCAGAATGTTCAAAGTCGTAATACGAAATTAAATTCTTTTCTTTGTAACGTAAGCGATTGTGAATTTGAGTATGCTTAAGTGAAACTGGACTTTCTTTACATTGCTTCCGTTACTTTGGTGAATCGGCTTTATCTAAGGGTGATGGTGTTCTACTTTGTCGAATAGTATTATTTCCCTCCCGTGAATGATACCATCCTTGACTTGATTACAATCAAATTTAAATTGACGCCAAGTAAATCAGCTGTAATTTTAACCCTATTACGCCCTCTGCCGATTGTGATAAATATAAATAAAGCTCTTTTGAATTTCATTCGATGTCAAATTGTTTTCTTGATTACATTATATTTAGTTGCAGATTATTTAAAGTCGTAATTTTTTTCATTTATTTCTGTTGATCACAAGTCTGCTTCATTGAAAAGATGGTCGCTTTCTAGACTTACTATTTAGCAATATTTTATACCTGATGATCCTTATCATCCGCACTTAAATGTTGCTTTTAATATAAAACACACGCCAAGTATTAAGAACTAATTCGAGTGAGTATTAGTTCAAGCAGCAAGGCTGATTATAAAATAATCTGTATCAACATCTGTGTTATTAGATTTAAGCGACCTCACTGCTGCGAGTGATGTCAACGAAATATGTGAACGGCTTTATTCTAAATTAAATGACATACGTATCTCGTGCCTACATTTCTTTATGATCTTACAACGCTCCAAATCTTAACCGCGCTTTGGTTTCCCTCTGACACAACTAATAACAGGAGCCGTATGTTGTATTATTTTTGGCACACTATGATAAATTCAGAACTCTGAGCTCAGAAATTAGATTGATTTCATGTTCATACAAAGCATAGATTTTTAAGATTAGAATCAAATTTACAGTAGTCTCGCAAAATTTGGGCTTTCGTTCAATGTAAGCAGAATATCTAGAGAAGTGGTTTATAACAGACCAATTAATGTTCTGCATCTTTCTTCCCTAGTGCATTCACAGATTCACTCATTCATTCCTTGAATATACTTATCGTCACTACCTATCATCAACAGATGATGTTGTTCTTGCCTCTATGAAACTAAAAAATAAATTTACTGCAGGTGATGAAATTCCTGGTTATAGACCGATTTATATTTTCTATAACTTTTGCATAGTGATGGACCTTAATTTATAGGAGAAAGTATATTATAAAGAATTTCCCCGTGCCAGCTTGCTTCGTAAAAGGGCAGCTCAACAGCAACCAATCTCCTTGAGTTCGTTCAACATATGCAGGGCATGTTAGATACAAGCGATCAAGTTGACGTAATTTATTCCGATTATGTACCACCGTATGTTTATACTACTGACCATTACATCATATACAAATAGGTTTGATAACACTGAACAATAAGAAATTGCCACAAAGATTCTAACTGCAAAAATCTATTTGTTTTTTTACGGTACTATTAAATTTGGTAAAAGTTAGCCCTAGTTTTCGAGTTTTTTTTTCCTAAAAAAGAAAAAAAAGTTTGTGTTTCATTTTCTTTATTTATTGTTAAGTAACTTTCTTTATAATATTCAGTGTTTCAACTTCAAAAGATAGTGTTAAATAAACGTTTTCATTTGAGAGATTCAGGCAGATTGTTTATTAAAAGTTACAGAAAATACTACAAAAAGAGAACAATTTTTAGTTCCTGGTATAAAAGATCTTCAAGATGTTGACGTTTTTGACACCAGGTACAATCAGACAACGTAGTTCTTTCACTTCCTCTTAAATTTACTTATTTTTATCAACTGAAAATGAATTAAGCTTTCCCTTTCAAGCTACAAAATTGGTCGAAAGTTTTTTACATTTGCTTATATAGGGTGACTTAAAAAAATTATTGAGTCAGTTCATTTATTTTGTTGAATAAATCAAGAATTACTGAACTGAATACTTTGAAATTTTGCAGGCGTTTTAAAGTTATTGTAAGCATGGAAAATTGTTAATCAAAGTATATCTGTTTATCCCCCCAAAAAATTTATGACGTCATCTCAAAATTTTGCCGAATAAATTCTACCCAAAATGTGCAAAGTATGATGATTTTTTACTTGTAATTTATCACTGCATTCATATTTTTTAGATTTGCTTAAACAGGTGGCTCAAAAAAATTAATGGGTCAATTTATTTTATTGATTAAATCAGGAACAACTCATTCCATTTTGCCAGAAAATTTTGGGTATACAATAGTGTTATTTTTAGTATTACACTGCACCAATCCACGTTGATATACGTATCCTTGCAAAATTGTTGTTGACGTCATCACAAAATTGTGTAAAAAAAAATTTCAACTCGAAAATGTTGGATATTATTATTATTATTATTATTACAATTATTATTAATGTAAATTGGGTAAAACCCAAGTACAAGCCAACTGAATAACGCAATTGGTATAGTGAGATGGAAGCTGATGAATCAAGTTTAACATACTACAGCTAAAAAAATTACTATAGATCCTAAAAGGATATGTTTCATTGTACTTTACGTGCGAGGGAAGTTCTGTCAAAACAACTTTCGACCAATTTCTTTGTGTTGTTTATGAGGTCACAATGCAATGTTTCGATTTCTAATATGTATCATTTAGAAAAAATATATATATAATGTAATGTGTAATACCAAAAATCATAAAAATAAAAATATGGCATAAAAATTCAGAATATAGAGTATAATAGAGGCCACGAAATAGTGAACATTGGCTTTCTGTTTCCAAAAGTGTTTTTTATTGAAAGCCCATAACAAAGCGCTTAGGATAATGGTAGGATTCTCTAAACAGTGAACATCAACTTTCTGTTTATTAGAAGGCACCATAAACCACTTAGTATTACAGTAATGATGATTTACAGCCCTGACATCCTCTCCGATTGTTTGTCGGACAGGAACAAAGATTCTATGTATCAGATGCATTTTAGATTACAAGGGTTAACGTCGTCCGATTCCTAAAACCTTTGATCCTCTGGGACAAAAGTAGGCAAACACTGTATCATCACCATTATAATCCTGAGGAGTTTCTTGAGGGCTTCCACAAATTTTTTTTTTTTTTTTTAAACAAAGTCAACATTCGCTGTTTTCCGGACCTTACTACATTTGGACTTTAATATATTTATGTATACAAAATTCACTTGACATACCTCTTGTAAAACTTTTATGACTTAAGCCAAACTACCCATAAGTCAAACTGGCTATTGTAAGCTTTATGGACCCGAACCGCAAGGATTATTACTGTCCATTGTTGTCATAATGGAACTGTAAAGTTTTACTAGGTATATGTGAACTGAGTGAAGTTATACAATAGCCAGTTTGACTTAGAAGCGTTAAGCGTTTTTGGCTTAAGCGGGTTAAGTCATAAAAGTTTTACAAGGTACAAAACTCACCTTGTCCTTTATTTCTAATTTCAACAAAATTATTGCTACATTATGATTTTAATTTTGTAAATATTATTGCCATAATTAATATTTAGATCTTGTAGGTATTATATAGCTTAGATTGTTTAAAAACGTTATTATACCTTTTCCACGACAACTGCAAGTAAATGATTTGACTTTGCTTTCAGTACCTTCGGTCATTATAAAACACTGATTACCAAAAGGCTCATTACTTAGTGTCATTATCACTTAACTGACTGCTATCAAAACGCTATTTTGACGTCCAGTGATTCAAACAGAAACATCATTATATGCATATTAAAGAGAAACAAAATCTCACATTCCGTCATCAAAAATATATGTGTTACATAGGCATCAAAACTGTAAATCAGAAAAAAAAGAAGTTTATGAGAGATAAATGAACAAACTGCATTCGAAAGTAAAGTAAAGAAATAGTGATACTACCTGCACTTGAAAACACGGAGTTAATTAAAACATTCAAGTTTTGTATACTGCATGTACAACTACATAAAATAAACATTCGTGTGGTAAACATTTATAAATAAATATGGTACTTAATTATTCTACAAACAAAAACTATTGAAAGGACAAAAGAGAACTGTAATAATTCGCAGCCATCGGCATTCGGTAAAATGGAAAACCCAAATTATCAGCACATTCCCGTCGTTCTATTAGCTTTATTTACAAATTTATAACACAGATAACACTAAACATCAGTGATAAAAAGCATACAAAATTTAATCGCAATTCCTAAAAAATAAATAAATAAATGAAAGCCACATTAAGTTTTACCATTTATAAAATTATAAAATCAGCAACGTGACACACTGACCCAAAAATTAATCTTGGGGACTCCTAACGATTATTCGCGATTCGAAGACGGTAAACAACACAATGACTCACAAATTAAACAATTTGTAGGAACTCAAGCAAATGACAACAAAAATTTAAAATGGAAGGCTAGAATCGATTAGTTTCAGCAGCGAATTGCAGCGCACTTACGTTCCTAAGGAAATTGATGATATGAATGCGACTTTACCTGATCGGTGTTGAGACCATGTATGTTTTCATTTTGCACTAAATACGCCCATTCGGTTTGTACAAGTTGGATGACAGCTGACACCGCATTTATGTCCTACACAAACATAAACCTGCAACACCGCTTCGTCTACGAACGATGATGCCCCTCTATTTCGATGAAACGTGCTGCGAGTCGGCGTACTGCAACGACCTCATGGAAGAAGGACAGAACATGGATGTGACGCTCGGAAAAACAGAATTAGCCGAAGCGAACAGTTTCGAGTTTCTTATTAGAATCATGTGTTCAAATCGGCTTGCGCTTTCAGACGTTTTTGAACATTACAAATAAATAGAAAGAAATACAAGCTATATGGTTTTAACCTGAATATATTGTAATAAACTATGTTAATAAAATGTTATATAGTAATAGTACCATCACATCAAACACGTTTCGTTTCGCTGACTTCCATTAGACAACTTATAAATCATTTTTTCTACGACCACTTCGCAATTTGAGTTTTACGTTTATAAAATAGATACAGTGATGGATAGAGAGCGGAAAATATGCAGCAAAATTTTGGGAAATATGATCATATGATATGCATCAAATTTATGCAAATATGCAATAACTTTCTTAATATATGCAGAGATATGCAGTTGCATATGCTCCAAAAATAAAAAAAAGCGTAATAACCGAACTAAATTTGTTTACAAATTGCAAAAACACCTTACCTTTTATTACAAAAAATACATAAATCACATTGCAAAGTGTTTAATTAGATCTCACTGACAAATAAATGACATTTTTTAAGATAATATTCTTATACTAAAAAATAAAAATAGATAAACGAATTGAAAAATAGTAGTAATCGACTATTTAATTACTATTTTGGTAACAATTTATTTTTAAATATTTTTCGAAATATTCTAACAACAATTTTTCCGGTGATTCTAAAGTATGTATTTGTAAATAGAAAAACTGCGTACTGCGTCAACAGATGTAAAAATACTTATCGGATTAGAGCAGGCACAACAAAACACAGTTCCTTCTTGAAGAATAAGTTCAGGAAAAGCTTTAATTCATAAATTAATTTGAGCTATCTACATATTGACACACATCTCTATCGCTTTAAATACTTAAATGCAAACTCACGATGAAAAATAATAGGATAACGTCCCTTCGACCACCATAAAACATATCATTAATACACTTAAGTAACGAACAAAAAAATTGAAATGAACGGTATTTCCAAAAGTAATTAGGACCCGAATTTACCTGGAAGGATGGCTTAACACCCAGTGGTTCCTCCAAACTACCATAAAACCCAAACCTTTCCCAGTTATTTGAAGCTCAGGACAATATTTGCAATATGATTCATGAAATTTCGTCTTTCTAGAAAAATGCCGATCGAATGGCAATTTTTTTTTTCAAAGTAGCACAAAAATTGATAAAAATGCAAAATATGCACCCGTTACGTGAAATATGCAGCAGAAGGCAAATATATGCAAATATGCAATTTTTTTATAGCTGTATTCATTTTTAATTAGCATGATTCGTTCACATATTAAATATCTAGACTTATATGCAAAAAATAACGGATATGCAAATTTCATAAAATCCGCTCTCTAGTGATGGAAATTTAAAGTCAAGCAGAACTTTTGTCGACTGTAAATATTACCTAAGTACTTTGTTGTTTCATACAGAGAATTCCAAATCACTGGAAATAGTTGTAAAGCATTAATAAACGTAATCTAGGTAGGTAATAATACCCTAGTTTACCAAAATTGATGAAAATGAAAATGTCAACTGGGCTTTTCCAGTTCCTCCGACTAACTAATTTAGCAGTGGTTCAACGAGGCAATCAGAATGATCCCTCTTGTCATTCTACCTCCATGATCTAAGTTTATATGGACAAAACAATCCTCGCCCCCGAAGTACAGCTCTGCAGCATATTCAGCTTTTTCAAAAAATTATAATATTTGATTTTGCCAATTTTATTTCTATTTGTGATAACCACATAAGTTATCATATTCTGTTCAAACGAAAGACTCATCAGTGAAAGTAAAATCTGCATGATGCATTTTCCAGAGAAAACCAACAAACCAAAGGATATTCCTCAACTAAGAAGTTTTTTAGGACTAGTGCACTATTACCAACAGTTTTTACCTAACTTGGCAACTAAGCTACACCCGTTATACGGACTATATACTCAGGAACAATACACATTGCAGATGGTCAAAGGTATGCGATACTGTATTTCCAAAATTAAAACAGGAACTGACCAGTACTAGAATCCTTACACCGTTTTCTCCAGAATTAGAATTGATATTAGCAATGGATGCTTCACCCAACGGGTTAGGGACAGTGCTTTCACACAGACTACCCGACGGGTCAGGAAGGCCCATCGCTTTCGCATCCAGAACCCTAACACCAGCAGAAAGAAATTACAGTCAAATCCACAGAGAGGCATGTGCAGTTGTGTGGGGAATTCGAACATTTTCCATTACTGCTATGGCAGGAAGTCACACTAATTTCGGATAACCAACCGTTGACAAGAATCTTCCACTCCGAAAAGGACTTACCTGCTACATCTGCCATACAACTCTTACACTACACCACGTAAAACGCTAAATAGCTGGTTTGCAAATTAATATTAATTATCGCCGAACTAAAGATCATGCAAATGTTGACTACCTTTCTAGAGCACCAGTTAAAGCAAATTCGGATTACCACGACAGCCATGAAATATATTCCAGATTAGTCAAATTGAACATCTTCCAGTCACAAGAAAAGAAATTAAAGGGTATACACTGAAGAATCCTGAGCTCCGAAAAATTTACAGCTCGCTATCCGTGAAGGTGACCGAATGCCAAAGAATTATAGCGCAGAACAATTCTCCATACAAGATGGGTGTATCTTAAAGGAATTCGTGTAGCTATTCCGCAACCACTTCGATCTTGAATCATGGAAGCCACTACATTCTGCATACGTTGGAATAGTAAAAATGAGATTTTTGGACCGAAGTTACGTATGGTGGCCAGGCGTAGACGCAGATATTAATAAAACCACGAAAGAATGCTTAACATGCTGCAATAATCGCGATAATCCAAGCAAGGTACCAGTTCACCCTTAGGATTACGCGCTAGTTCCTTGGCAGTGATTACATTACGCCGGTCCGTTTTACGGTTCTTATCTTCTCATTGTAGTAGATTCATATACAAAATGGTTGGAAGTCATACCAACGAAGACTACTACCTCCGCTGCCACCATCAGTATGGTTCGAGAAATATTCGCAAGACTTGGACTACCGTACACAATAATTACGGCTAACGGTAGCAACTTCGAATCGCAAGAATTTGAGATTTTCCTCAAAAGAAATGGAATTACTCACAAGGTTTGTTACCATCCTGCGACGAATGGTCAAGCAGAAAGGTATGTTCAAACTGTAAAGAAAAGCCTTCGCAGCCAGCTTACAAAAGAAGAAGAGCTCAAATTGAGTTTATACAGATTCTTAATGCAAAACCGAAAAATGCCAAATATTACTACCCAGAGCAGCTCTCTGAATTGATGTTCCAACGGAGTATTCGAACAAAAATCGATCTCGTTCGAAAAAACATTGGCCAGAAAGTAGCAGAGAAAAAAACCCAAAACCAGAATCTACCACTAAAGTCTTCGGAGATAAAGTCCAACATAAGTACTAAATGGTATTTTTGGAACTATGACTGCGAAGAAAGCGGATTTACATTATTTGGTTTTAACCAACCGGAGAACTAAGTATACACAGACATGTCGGCCAGTTAATTCCGTATGACGGACTCATTCCAGAGCAACGACGGTCAACTATACCATGGAACGACATAGACCAACCCGGAGTTCCGTGAGCAGCGAACTTGCGGCAGCTACACCTAACGATCTAGAGACTCCTAGTATATCAGCACGGACGGTACAGGATGAAAACGTACCAGTACCAGAGATAGCAACAGGACAGCTAGAACCTGCGAAGCCGGCCCTTCGCCGTTTCACAAGAACGAAAAAAATGGTCCAAAGAGTTTGACAGTACGTCCCTCGCTGTCGGAAACGTGACGACTGAATGCCTATTATGTTTTTTTTTTCGCAGTAGATTTCAAAGCATTCGGTTTTGTAGTTCCTGAGTAAACCAATAAAATAAATTTACGCATTCATTTTTTTTTAGTCACCCGGTATATGCAAATTCAAAAAATATAAATTACAAGTACAGACTCATCATATTTTGTACATTCTAGATAGGATTTATTCGGCAATCTTTTGAGCTGACGTCATCAGTTGTTTGGAGAAGATAGCCAAATATATTTTGACTAAACATTTATTATGCTCTTTATAACCTTAAAACATCTGCAAGATTTCAAAACTTTCGGTTCTGTAGTTCCTGATTAAATCAATAAAATACATTTACGCATTAATTATTTTTTGAGTCACCCGGTATATGCAAATCCAAAAAATATGAATGGAGTGATAAATCACAAGAAGAGACTCATCATATTTTGTACATTTTAGATAGGATTTATTCAGCAAAATTTTGTGGTGACCTCATAAATTTTTTAGGGGGGATAAGTAAATACATTTTGATCAAAAATTTACCGTGCTTATGATAACTTTAAAACATCTCCAAAATTTCAAACCATTCGGTTTTATAGTTCCTGACTGATTAACTCAATAAAATAAATTCACGCATTCATTAATTTTTTTGAGTCACCCTGTATATGCAAATCCAAAAAATATGAATGGAGTGATATCTCACAAGTACAGACTCATCATATTTTGTACATTTTAGATAGGATTTATTTGGCAAACTTTTGAGCTGACGTCATCAAGTTTTTGGAGGGGATAACCAAATATATTTTGACTAAACATTTTTGATGCTCTTTATAGCCTTAAAATATCTGCAACATTTCAAAACATTCGGGTTAGTAGATTCAAAATTGTTATACTTTTGATTTTTTTTCCAAAAATCTGGACGTTTCGGATAAAAACTCAATTCGGAGTCGTAAACTACACAGCCCCGTAGCTAGAAAACTTATTCAAGGGGGGCAAGTTTGTCGACAGAGGGGGCAAAAAAAAAACTGAAAATTGGTCTGGATGAGTAGATATCATTAAGAAAAAAATGTTCTAATAAAAATGTATTAGTTTTCGAAATACAATTGATTGAAAATTTAGTCAAAATAGCATGTGCGCTACTGAGTTAATAGTGATTAAAAAGATAATGTGGTTACTAAGAAAAATGTACCATTGTAGGTGCATTGTAAAAATTAAAAAAAAACCTAATCTTCATTGCTTAGTAACTCTAAAAATTCCGTCAATTTTATTTTCTTTTAAAATGGCAGCTTTTTCTAATGCCGAAAGTACCGATATGGTCTTGTTTTATGGAAGAGCATTTGGAAATGCTCATGAAGCGCAGCGTCTCTACCAGGTGAAATTTCCAGGCCGCAGATTGCCTCATCACACAACATTTAGTGCCGTTGTTCAACGTCTCCGGGAAAACAGAAAATTTCAGCCAAGTACGACGGATCGTGGTAGTGAAAGAACCGAACATGTTATAGACGTGGAACCAGAAATACTAGAAATTGTGGAAGAAAACATAAGCATTCGCAGATTATCATACAGATTAGGAGTTTCTCCGTTTGTTGTGTGCCGAACCCTAAAAGAACAAGGGCTTCACCCATACCACGTGCAGCGCGTGCAGTCCCTTAAACCAGAAGACCTGTCTTTGCAAAAAAATAGGGAGCAACCAGACTTTGTGGAGAAGCTTTTGACCACGGCCGAGCCTACTTTCACAAGAGAAGGAGTTTTTAATTCTCGTAATACTCATATTTGGTCTGATGAAAATCCGCATGCCATACGGGAAATGCATTTTCAAGATAGAATTTCAGTAAATGTCTGGGCAGGCATGGTTGACAACAATTTGATAAGTATATACGTTCTACCCCGTCGCTTGACGGCGCGGCCGTTGCGTATTTAGATTTTTTAAACTACGATTTAGGACCACTTTTGGAAAATGCACCTTTAAATGTTCAGAGGGATCTATGCTACCTTTATGATGGGGCCCCTGCACATTATGTCGTAGAAATGCGGGAATGGTTTGACCGAAACTTATCAAACAAGTGGATTGGGAGGAATGGACCTGTGTTATGGCCACCTCGTTCTCCCGATCTCAATCCCTGTGATTTTTTATGGGGTTACATGAAGCAGGTAGTTTATCAAACTCCAGTGAATACGGTGCAAGAATTGACAAATCTGATTCAAAATGTTGCTGTCCAGATTAGAAATAATACAGATATGGTTATAAGAACGCAGCAGTCGTTAATTCAGCGAGCAGATGCATGTGTGGAAAACAGAGGCCGTCATTTCGAAAACTTGTTGTAGTAGTTTGTTTAACGTTGTGGTAATTTTATTTTTTATTTTTATTTTGATTAGTAAAGTTTAGTTGGTTATCGTCGTTGAAAAGTCGTATTTTTATTAGTAGTTTCATTTGTTAACTATGCTCACTCATTAATAAGTCTGTACATAACTAGAAAAAATGACAACATCCTGAAAAAGAACACGCAGACGATTACCTATCACGTCGGCATTCCAATGGAACCAATATCGGCGGACCACTGTCCAGAACCGCGTTCTTATAAGAACTAAAAAAACCACAGCGGAACGCGAAAAACGGGAAAGAAGACCCGCGACCCTGGACAGTGGTTCGCCGGCCCTCGTTCTAATAAGAGCTCGACGCAAGGAAAATTAAGTAAAAATCACTAATTACTACCATTTAAAATAATGCTTTACTGCAAAATGTTTAAACATCCATTTAAAATTGTTTCAAATTGATTGTTTCTGAAAAAATACTTTTGACTTTTTACTTGAGATTTTTCAAACTTTACCTTTCGTTGTCAGTTTTTGGTTGCTATGTTTTTACAAAACATGAATTAATTGAATCTAATAGCACCTCATACAGTGGCGCGAATAAAGCTTGGATAAAGGGTAAATTTACTTTGCAGGTTTTAATAATACAGCAAGAGTTTTTTTCATTCTTTATGCCCCCGGGAACCCCTCCAATTTTTTTGTCGGTGCATTTCGCAAACACCCTGTATATATTTCAATAATACACTCAGATAACTGTTTTATTTTTTCATTAAAATATTTGTAAACGTCGTTTTTTCCGCTATTAAATTTTCGTAAAAACCTGTCCAAGTCCAAAGAATTGGTACGGTACTTTTCAAAAGCCAGAAAAACCAAGTTTACCAATCTTTGATGCGTCATTATGATCTATTCAAAGAATGTACATTCACAAACAGCTGTACTGCATCTAAAAATTCGTATATATTGCCAAATAACATACCTTGTAAGAAAATAAAGGGTGGGCGGGTGGGGCTAGTAAATATGCTTCAGCAATCGGCATTATATTGAAATTTTATTACTAATTTGAAATTTATAATGTGTAAGTGTTCCAGGGGGGGCAACCACGACTGCTAGGGGGGGCTCAGCCCCATCTTGCCCCCCCGTAGCTACGGGGCTGAAACTACATATGTAGGACTATGTTATTTTATACAATTTAAAACCCATTTACTATGTACAATTTTGAAGTGACGTCATCGCATTAGTGGTGGGGATGCTTAGACAAATTTTGGTTAGCGTTTTACCATCTACATGATATTCCTAATATAAAATTTCACAACAATCGGTCCACTACTTCGGAGATTATCTGTCTAATAAAAATCCGGGACGGCAGACACACAGACAGACGAACGGAAATGGGAGATCTATTTCTTCGTCTTCTAGGGGTCATGAAAGATAGAGAAAACGTAAAAGTAGAGAGTCGGCAGAGGGACTTGATTACAATACTTCCTTTGCTTAGGCTCGGGAAGTAAAAAGCCCCGAACCGACTAAACCTCTAAATTCTGCCAGGGGGAATGATTGATTGATTGTCATATATTCACCCCAATACATCGTCATCACCCAGGCACAGTTCAACAACCCATGTGCTACAGCAGTAAAAACTTGTTCACACTGTTATACAGAACAGAATTACATACAATAATCAAATACCAATAAAGTGTTTTGGGATAGAGTGCTCCGTTACTACAACCCTGTTGCGTTTACCTACGTATTCAACAGTACTCTTGAAAAAAAAAAGTTAGATGTAGTAAACAAGATCCAATACTCTTGATAATTGAAAATTATTAAAGACAACGACATTGTTATTTTGACGCTACATACATATAGGTATTCCACATAAGCTCCAATTGCTTGCGCGTAATGTGTTTAGCGCTTTTAAAGTACACGTCAGTCAAAGCAATAAATTGGTTGGTGCTTTTACATTCAGCGGAAACACTGTCTGACATATTTTCGTTACCAAGGATATATGATCCAAGCATGGACTATGAGCATGGCACAGAGCAGCTGCCAGAAGATATAAAGTCGGGTTTTCAGAAATGTAGGATTTCACCATTCAATCGAAATATTTTTTCCGATGCTCATTTTCTCTGTTCTTCAGTGTCAGATCGTCCTCCCTTACAGCTGAACACAATAAGCAGAGATCAACGCGGTTCTCCAGGGGCTTGTTCAAGTATTGAAACCTACTGAACCAGAACCAGCAGTTTTGAGAACTGGTCTAGAAAACTATCTTCTAGAGGAAGAAAAAGATTTTATGATTGTGACTGACACCCCAGACAAAAAGCAATTGAATATCAAGAGTAAAAAACAAAACAAAAAATATGTGAAAAAGGTCGTTCGATTTAGTTCCTCGTCGTCAGAATCATCTGAGGCGTTACAAAATTTGGATCATTCAGATCAGGACTATTTCATTCCATCTATTCAAAGTCAAAGTGCGATGATTAAGACGATATCTCTCTGCTTGAAACATATGATTATGCAACTATTAAAGTGTGTGGCAAAGCTTTTTCACGAAATTATGTGGCGTAGATTATAAATCGAGACCTATTGGAAGATGAAGTTAAACTTTTCAAACGTCACATTGCTTCAAATCGTTTTAGAGACATTGCCGAAGTTGCTTTCATTAAATTTGAAGAAGTAGTTACAAAACTACCGTAACCTTGTCGTGACTAAATTTAAATCAAAATTTCGCGCTGAAAAAAATTAACAGCGGCGCGAAATCACATTTGAATAATTTGAATTTGAAAAAAAAAAATCAATCAAAAAGATCGTTGAACAGAGGTAACCATGTGCACGTTGGCGCTTTTTGGGTAGTGGGTAGTACTGCTGAGGCACAGATTACGGATACCAGATAGTTCACTCAGCTGTCGGCACTTTGAATTCGGTGTCCCGAGATTTCAAGCGGTATTCACGCTACTACGCACGCTCTACCAAAATTGGTTCGCAAGCTTTGAATTTAAAAGTGCGGCGGTCAGAGAAAAATTACAGCGATGATGCAAGGGATGAGGTTCTAAGTGAAGAAAAAACGAACAAAATACTTATTTGCCTCACACAAAATGATTTATGATTATTACAAATGCTTAACATTTCACAATTTCCTCTGAAAAGAATTGCGGACACATGCATCGGCATTAAAAAATTTTAGAGCGTAAAAAACACGTATTCTCGAATATAGTGCTAACAAGAAAGTGGTGTTAAAATTTTTGCATGGTGAATAAACGTAACTTCTTTAACTATACGGCTTAAAGGGTTACCGAAAGTTAGAAGAATTGGAGGGAATAGTTAATGAAATTTGCTGCGCTTGCCTTTCTGAACTTTGTTGTTACAGTTTTCTAACCTACTCGTCTTTATAGTGATCTTCGATTTTTGGTGGTTATTTAAGACTGAAACGAGTTTAAAGGAAAAGAAGGGAAAATGTTTTATTCTCTTATTCATTTACAAAATCAGGCATTATAGACAAGATATATTTACTAAACGATATTATAATAGAGTTTAATGCAGGTAGGTATTTATTTAACTAATTTTCTGATTATTTTAAAACTTTTAAAAAATCCCTTCGTAACCAAAAAACGTAGAAATTAATCCTTGTAATGTTATTTATTCCCTTATCTTATATCTGCTTCATTGTAAATATTATTTTGCGTGTTAATCTGTCGAACCAGTTTCAAAGAGATTTAAAAGTGCTGAACCAATTTTAGTGTCATGCGCACGGAAAATTTGCGGACAGTTACGCCCACAAGTGAACCATCTGGTATCCGTAATCTGTGGCTGAGGATTTTAGTTAGAGGGTTGGTTGGTAGAAAAGATGGCCGCTTTGTGGAGGGAAATGAGAGGCGTCATTATATAAGCCAGAAAAGTCTTTTACGAATTTATTTGAAAATATAATTGATTAACAACGTGCACAGCTTGTGTCCGAAGTGGTACTGACGTCCTCTCATTCCCCTCCAGCGTCGCCCAAGGCGGTGACGTCATCACCACCATCTCGAAGGTCGGGGAACTACTGGCGTCAGCATAAACGGTTGCCGCTTACAGCTCGGCCACGCGCCATCCACCACGTCCTCGTGGAGACGCATCCTAAGAAAAACACAATAGTATCAATAAATGTTCAATATATGAGACACCATCAATAGAGTTCGTTGTCGTAGTAAGTCGCAAGCGTCAGATAATCAACATCATTACTCGTTGATAAATCGACTTAGAAAGTGCTTGGGTAAATCGATTAATTACTTTGGCAATGTGTCGGATATGATCGAGTCATATCGTCCACGAGCCACGTATAGGTAGCGTTGAGTGCTAACTCGTAATAGCACTGTTCTGTAACAACGTACTTGCCACAACATATGCAGCTAACTTGTATCGGGACGGTGTGTTAACAACGTGTTTGTTAATTCGTATCAGCAACGTATTTGCTATTCGTATCAAACAATGATAGAAACGTATACAAGCAACGTATTAGCAACGTATTTGCTAGATTGTATAAAAGTAAATGATTTTCGTATCAGCAACGTATTTGCTATTCGTATCAAACAAATGATAGAAACGTATACAAGCAACGTATTAGCAACGTATTTGCTAGATTGTATAAAAGTAAATGATGTTCGTATCAGCAACGTATTTGCTATTCGTATCAAACAAATGATAGAAACGTATACAAGCAACGTATTAGCAACGTATTTGCTAGATTGTATAAAAGTAAATGATGTTCGTATCAGCAACGTATTTGCTATTCGTATCAAACAAATGATAGAAACGTATACAAGCAACGTATTAGCAACGTATTTGCTAGCTTGTATAAAAGTAAATGATTTTCGTATCCTATTCTGCTGTACGTGCTGCGTCCAGCACGTCATCAGACTCATCGCCATCGCTACGACTCTCGTCTGTTTCTGTCAACGTTTCGTATAACTTAAGTTTGTCAACAGAAATGACACCCTCATAAGGTCGCCGCGAGCGTGTTGAGCCAGGGAGATCACGTACCACATAGCGATCGGAATCTAGTCTTTTCAAGATCTCGTATGGGCCACTGTACTTTTGTAGCAACTTTCTACTTTTCCCATCGTTTGCCGGGATTACTTTCCGGACTAGAACTCGTTGCCCAACTCGGAACTCCGGGGCTGCCTTTCGTTTTGCATCGTATTGCATTTTTTGTTGATCTTGCTTGTCAACAATTCGTTGACTGGTCTTTTCTCTTGTCTTGGTTAGATCGCTATCATAATTTGTTGTGCAGACTTTGGCACTGAGAAATGAATCGTTAGCTTGTCGAGGCCTGTACCCCAAAAGTAATTCGTAAGGAGTCTTATTGGTCGTTTTATTGATGGTCGTATTTAAACCAAACTGGATCTGCGCAATGGTTTGATCCCATTTAGTTTCATCATCCGAAGAAGTAGATAAGGCACTTAAAATGGTTCTGTTATACCTCTCGGCTTGACCATTCGCTCGTGGGGTTGCTGTAGCGTTATGATTAATTTTTATGCCCAATGACCGGCAATATTCGACAAATCGTTTGCTCGTAAAACAACCTCCCCTATCACAAACAATTCGTTGGGGTACGCCAAACAAGTTAAAGATTTCGTTTAAAAACGTCAACACCGGACCTACCGATGTATTTCGGACCGCCTTGAGAAAAGCAAACTTTGTGAACCCATCGATAGCCGTAATCAGTTGAGTGTTCTTGCGAGAGCTAGTAACAAAAGGACCCAGATGGTCTATGTGGATGGTATGCATCGGTACATCAAATTTCGGAATTGGATGTAAGAATCCTGGTTGTCTTCCGGTCGGTTCCTTATTATACATACAGGCCAGACAACAGGATATATAGCGCTTAACGTACTTTCTCATTTTGGAAAACCAATATTTTTGACTTACGAGTTTCAACGTCTTGACCGGCCGTTCAACTAGTTTGCGCTTCAGGGTTTGAAAAGCGTCTTCTTGTTGCTCTGTCCACGAAAAGGGTACGTCCTTCTTGGTCAGGTTAGTCAAAGGTTTAGCTATCGTTGCAAAACCTTTGATGAACCGTCGAAAATATGATGTCAACCCAATAAACTGCCGAATTTGGTGCACGTTTCGCGGTTTAGGATATTCACTTACAGCCTGAATCTTTGCTTGGCCAGGTTGAACGCCTCTACAACTCAACTCGTGTCCTAGATATTCAAGCTTATCATAAAAAAAATGACATTTAGTAAGCCGAAATGTCATCCCAGCATTTCGAAACAAGGAGAGTACTTCTCGTAAAGATTCTAGACCCTTTGTAAAAGTCTGGGATGGTATAAGAATATCATCCAGGTACGCAAAAGCAGTTTTGAACCGCATTTGTCCAAGAATACTGTTAATTGCGCGTTGGAAAACCGCAGGAGCGTTTGCTAGGCCAAATGGCATTCTCAAATATTCGTAGTGTCCATCCGGAGTTATGAATGCGGTTTTTGGAATGGAATCATCGGCTACCTTTACTTGATGATATCCCTGAGCAAGGTCTAATGTCGTAAAATAAGTACTATTGTGCATTTGTTCTAAATAATCATCAACTCGTGGCAAAGGGTATCGATCTTTTACCGTTTTCGAATTCAAGGCGCGGTAGTCTATGCACATACGATAATCGCCTGTCTTCTTTTTTATCAGAAGTATTGGACTGGAATAGGGTGACTGGGATGCTTGTATGACCCCATTCTCTTCTAGATCTTGGACGATTTGTCTTACTATTTCTCTCTCAGGGTACGAGAGGCGATATGGGCGATATGTAACAGGCGTATTGTCATGCAAATTAATGTGCATTTCGGTGACGTTGGTTTTTCCTAACTCACCGGTGCCCACAGCGAAACAGTCCCGAAATTCATTCAACAAATTTAATACTTCCATTTGCTCATTACTATCTAATTTTGGGCCTAACTGTGGTAATACATCGTTTAACTGGAAGGGTTGTAGGTTACATGCATGAATAGTCAAATTGCTTACCCCTTCTAGAAGAACTTCTTCTTCTGCTGGCACACCACGAGCCAATAGCTGATCTTGCTTGAATTCTAAGGCGTTCTGCGAGTAGTTGTGAATGGGAATCACTCCAGCAGTGGACGTCACACAACAAGGTATCGTGTATTCGAATCCTGGTTGCTGCCTCATTGTCGGTTCCAAGTAAACATCACCAGAGTAATCTTCCTCACAACATACTTCCATGAAAGCAATTGTTTGAGGTGGAATAACAGTAGTAATCTTCGACCTCAAGTGTATCTTTTGCGGCGGTAACTCATCTAGAGCTGGAAGCGCAGCAAGGGCGTTGTTAAAAACCCGTACCTGATTATCTCGGAGTACCATCGTACAATTACATTGATTCAAAAAGGTTTGGCCGACAATAATCGGAACGGTTTGTACATCATCGTGAACAACATGGGCTGTAACATCGGCACTCATTAGATCTACTTCTAACTTTATCGTGCTTTTTCCTAAGGGCTTGGTCATACCACCCGCGTAACCTTTAATACACTGAGTAGATATGGACAGTTTCAGATTCAATTGAGTCGCTGTAGTTTCTCTAATTGTCACAATGCTGCAACCGGTGTCGATAAATCCTTGTACCAGAACGTCATTGACTTTGCATTCAACAAAGTAGCATTCTTGATTGGCCTTCGTTGAGTCTACTATCTTAACTTCTGACCTAGAACCCTGCTTTGATCTCTTTGTCTTTCGACATTTGCTGGTATCGTGACCCAGCAAGTTACAATTTCTACATTCTACTTTTGGCTTGGGACAATTTGTGGCAATATGCCCCACAGCATGACAGTTGTAACATTTTACTGAATGAGACGACGTAGAAGTTGGTTTTGAATTCATTTTTGGTCCCAATCTTTTCTTATCAAATTTAGTGGATTTTTCTTTTTCCACATTTGAAGGTTCATTTTTGCTGTCTGTTCTGTCCGTTCCCAGCAATGAAAGAAATTCACTGTATAACTCCTCAGGGGCCGTGTACCGCCCTGCTTTTGCACCGTTCTGCAGAGTACGATCACCTAAACCGTCGATTAGGCACGAAACTGCATCACGGCCGCCAATATTACACGCTTGTAATAAATTCATTTTATCAAAGTAATATTGCGTCATCGGTTCGTCAGGCCGTTTTTCGCGTTGAACCAGATTGCGCAATGTTATAGCAAAATCATGTTGATCGGGAAACGTTTTCACAAGGAGCGTTTTCCATTCGTTCCACGAGTACGTATAAGTGGTCAAATTTTCATACCATGAGCGGGCGAGTCCCGCTAAACGGTTCTGCATCAGCTGAACTGTGGTGCTTTCGTCCCATCTATTGACTTGAGCGAGCTGATCGATTTTATTGACCCACTTGAGTGCTGATTGGTTCGGTTTTCCTGGCGTAAATTGTGGGATGCAATCACTCTTGACCGTCATCCTCACCAGCGTTTGACTGGGTTCACTGCTTGTGGAATCACGTCGCAATAAATTCTCTATCATCGTCTCCAACTTCTGAAGTCGGGCGGTATTTTCGGCGACTTCTCTATGCGAGCTATTGGGACGCCGTCTTGATCGGGATTTTGACCGAGATCTTGAACGGGATCGCCGACGGGACGTTTCCTCGTCGCGATAATCCGATCGACGCGCTCGGTTTCGTTTTTCTGCGTACTGGCGGCTCATTGTCGCACAAACACGCACAAAATAAAAATCGTAGTTTTACACTAACCAAACTTTGTCACTTAACGCACCAGATACTTCGGATAAAGCGGAAGGCTATCCCACCGCTGCTCTATAAGCCAGAAAAGTCTTTTACGAATTTATTTGAAAATATAATTGATTAACAACGTGCACAGCTTGTGTCCGAAGTGGTACTGACGTCCTCTCATTCCCCTCCAGCGTCGCCCAAGGCGGTGACGTCATCACCACCATCTCGAAGGTCGGGGAACTACTGGCGTCAGCATAAACGGTTGCCGCTTACAATTATTGGTTTGATTCTGTTTGTGAAAGCATGGTGAAAAGACGCGATAAGTTAGCAAGGTTAAATTAGTTGGTTTTTGACCGACCCTAAAACGTGTAAATTTGATTTATTATTTGTAAATTCACAGTTTATGTTAGGAGTTTAATCGTTAACTAGTTCTAACACAATTTTACGTCAGGAATTTGTTTAGATACACACTTAAGGAGTTTTCATGAGAATTCACTTAGTCAGAACTCGTTTGATTTTGTTTGTCTAATTATGAATAAGGTTTCTGGATGCTAATACTTAAGTGTTAACGTTATAATATTTCTTAATTCTTCACACAAGATTGCTAATATAGTTTATTTACGGCAGTTAAATTTAACAAAATTCATAATATCGTGGCCTGACGGCAGGATTAAAGATTTCTCTCCTTATGCAGTTATCATCGTTATTCTCATTCCAGCCTTAAATTGACTTTGAAAAAGTTTGGAAGGCCCGCGAAAAATTCAAAATTTGGCCTTGGCTGTGATCGTCTAACAAAAGGAAACCTACGTTGTGTTTTTTTTTAAGTGGCGGGAAGACGTTCTTTCATACAAGTGAGCATATACTGCGTGTGAATCGAGAGCGCAAGAAATAATAGACAAAATTTTCGGGAGGGAGGCTAGACTCACACCGCTCTCTAGGAGGAAAAGAAGCGACGAGCGAAGGTGACTCGGACGTGCCCTTCTGGCGGCCCAGGAGGGCCGAGTCGCCATCGCTTTTCATCTCCAAAAACCCCCTAGGGTTTTACTCACCCACATATTACATGTCAAATGAAACACTTTAAAAATATGAAAGATTATATAATTCATGATTCTTTAAACCAATCAAATTCTTTAATTTCGTTAGATACCAACGTATTAATAACACAGGCCTGCGATGGTTTTCCCCTAACAAAATCAAGTAGTAATTTCGGTAGGTCTTAGATACTCATGTATAAAAAAAAATTGCAAAAATTTCTATCACGTACAGTTTCAGCAAAAAATATTTTTTTCAGTTTTGTTCTTAGTACTATAAAAATTAGCTTCTAGATTTTGTGGTAATAATATGTATGGGTAATGGTGTTGATATTTCATTTCGTGTTCAGCTTAGTAAGAGTTATTTGTGTTCATTATGCGCTTACTACCCTGAATTCAAACGAAAATTACTAATGTCTTCTCAGAAATGGGTTAATTCTTCAGATAACTTCTGTTACACTTGCAGAACTTATTTAATCAAAAAACAACAACAAATTATTTCTGAATTTATCGAACAACTATGCGAAAGTTATTTTAAAGTTAATATAAAAAACCAAGATAAAAAATGGGTACCTCATAAAATGTGTTCATGCACCGCGCAAATGGTCAAAAGGAAATAAAAATCTTTAAGTTTGCTGACACCAATAATTTGGATGGAGCCACAAAATCATACAGACGATTGTTACTTTTGCTGTTCAAATATAAAAAGATATAACGCGAAAAATGTAACAGCAATAACATATCCTATCGTGAATACAAGAGAAAACGCTTAAATCATAGCTTTGAAGAAAGAAAAAAAGAAGCTTCTTGATTTATTTGTTTTTTTAAATCTTGTTTATAACTAATTTAGTTCATTTAATAAATAAACATTCAATTTTATATTCTTTATATTTTATTTTTTCATAAAAATTGTTTGAAAAACTATGAATATTTAGGCCTACATAAAAATAAATCTCGATGTGCTACAAAAAAACTAGAGTTATATTTTAATTCGGCATACATAAATATATAAAAAAAAACAATATTATTTAAAAGGGAAATTAAAAGTTATATTTCGCAGGCCTGTGTAATCGATCATACCCTTGACGACGTTATATAATCGTTTTGGTGTTTCGCTAGGTCTTTCTAGACAAAAATCTAGTATTCAACTTACCTTTTTCCATAGTAACGTAGAGAGTAAATAAACAGCAAATTTGTCATTAAATTAAATTTGTTGAATTTAAATGAAATGAATCGTTTTGGTAAAAATTCTTCGGCAGATATTGACTTAAAGCCATTGAATACAACAAAAACGGAAAATTACATTTGGAAACAATTTCAAGAGTTTTGCAAGCAACGGAACTATGAGTTAACGGCCTGGACGTCTAATGATGAATTGGGAAATATCTTGAAGGACTGGGCGTTTAATATGAAACGGAAAGATGGGTCAGACTACAAAGAAGGAGTTGTGAAAACTATGGAACGTGAGTGCCAAGCTTTTACAAGAACAATACTTCAAAAACCACAATCGAAAAATCGATCCTTTCAAAGATTTGGCATTTGAAGGGGCCCGTAAAGCTCGGTCAACGAAAAGAAAGCAACTTCAATTAATACCGGAAAAAAGGAAAGCTAGTTCTGCGGCTTTAACAAGAGACGAGATTCTAAAAATCATCCAGAATTTTGACGAAAATTCGTCCGACGACTTACAGAAAAATTTTTATCAAATTGCAGCTGTGGAGCTGGCCTGGCGTGGAAATGAAGCAGCATCATGTGTGGTTAATTTTTTTAAAAAGGAATTGAATAATTACGGCTTACCAACGGGTCCCTTGGAGTACAACACAATTTTTGGAAAAACAGCTCAAGGAGGCGACAAAAATCTCGTCGACAGCAAGTGGCTGACACTCAACAAAGAAAATGAAGATTTGTGTCCAGTGAGGTTGTATGAAAAAATGATGTTCAAGCGCACCCCGAACATCAAGACGAACCGGTTATTTTTAACACCAAATAATAATTGGAAGGTTTGGTACAAGAACTGCCCTGTTGGCGTAAATCAGATAAGTAAATGGACACGTTTAGGTGCAGAGAATGTTGGTATAGACACAAAAAAGGCAAGAATCACCAACCATTCTAACCGTTCATCCGCAGTGAGTATATTAGCAAATGCTGGTGCAAATTTGCAAGAGATTATGAAAGTAACTGGTCATTCTACACCAAACTCGTTGAAACCATACTTAAAACTCAACGAACAGCATCATACCAAAATCATCAATCAAATTCGGAACAATCAAAATGTTTCGTCGTCATCAGTGCCATCAACGTCCTCCCTTCAACAGCAGGAACCTCTTAATACAAATAACATTTATTATAATAACTGTATTTTTCATTTTCATAATAATTAAAGTTAATTTAGTGTAAATGTAATTAGTATACTGTCAATTCATTATATAATCGTAACGAATATCACTCGAGCATTAGAAAATAATCTCAATACTAACCTCTTAACTCGACAATAATCAGAAACACCACTCGACCTTCGGTCTCGTGGTTTTTCAGATTATAAGTCTCGTTAATCGGTCAGTATTTTCGATTATTTTCTATGCTCTTGTGATATTATAACTGAAAAGACACTCGCGAATTGACAGACATATACATATGAAAACCAAATAAGTACAAAAACCCTACGCTAATGTTTTGAATCATTGCAAATGTTTGAATATCACAAATTTAATAAAAACAAAGCAAATCTGAATTAAAGTAACTGGATGCAAATACACAAGTTATTACGGGTGTGTGGCGTCAAATTTGAAGTTACGGCAGTTACCTAACAGGAGCACAAAAAAATATCCCTGGGGCGTTCTAGGACAAGCGGAGTTTGGGGCTACCGGTCGGGGCTGTTCTCCCCCCACGACGGTGACTCTATCTATCGCAAGCCTACCCACACAGCACATCTCCATGACGAACATGCCATCCGAAACTAGGCCATTACGATCGCAGATCCGCATTTGGGTCTCGGCTAAGAACGGAAGCCGACAGGGCTACAACATCGCGACCGCCCCTGAATCTATCCAAACCTGTACCCTTTGTGCAGGTGACGCGATAAATCTGGCCAGCTCGACTAGGAACCGCACTTCCCTTCTGCCGCGTTTTCTGTGTTATTTAACCTCAATTCCATTTTAAATGTTCAATATCTTATGACCCTGATATTAACAACAACGGAGCAAGTGTTAAAGTTTCAAAACAGCAATAAACAACATTTAAATTCGCCATACAATCTTGTGGAATTTTAAACAACAAATAAGTCTTATGTGAGATTAAAAGTTGATTAGATAGTTTATACGATGGACACATCAAAAGATCTGGTGGGAAATAAACTTGTGTAAAGAAAAATATTATGTGAGGTTAACACTGCAGAGCATGAAATTTACGTTCAATTAAAATAATACAACAAAGGAAATTACTGAGGTTAAAATTGTGAGATAGAGAAAAACTATATAAGGTGAAAAGTTGAAAAATTAACAAAATATTGCAATTCATTAGTTTTAACAAAATTGAGGGTTTATTTCAACAGCTGAAAGGAATTGATGCACCAATATAAGTACAAAACTAACAAAAAAAATAATTCTATAGTGGCGCGTAACCCAAATTACAACAATTTGAGGGACATAGCTTTTAATGAATTTACTTGTGATGCATTGTGTGAAAAATATTCGGATTTGATGAATATTTTCTCTAATGCACCGGTAACAAGTTGTGATGTGAGAAAGATCGTTTTCCATGTTTAAAGATGCTTTAACGGCAACAATTATTTTAGAGAAGATCATTTAGAACAGTATGTGGTGATACAACATTTTAATACAGCTAGAAACTCTCAAAATAACAAGAATTCTTCAGAGGTTGGCGCATAACCTTATTTTGTGTATAATTATTTAATTATTTTTTATTATTTATTTGTTACATCAGTTTGCAAACACGCGAGTATCAGGTCCCGCCACTGCACTCGATGTAGCTGACCGCATCGAGTGGTCGGCACTACTGCGCGCGGAGAGTGCCACACAATACCTGGATGATTGCATTTGGTAGATATGTGTCAGGACAGTGGTTATAATGTCTTTAGCCTGTGGTTTTTAGTCTGTCCAACCAATACCCGGGCTGTGGCCATTCTTACCCCACCACTCCGGATGAATTGGACAAATGGTACTACTTTATTTGAAAAAATTAAAAAATATTGTGATGGTTGAACACAGCCAAGATTCCAGTGACTTGAAAAGCAGTACAAGGATTAAATTATGATGTCTTGGTGAGCATATAAAAAATTATGAATAAAAATGGTCAAAATGATCCCCGACCTTCCCTACTGTTCTGTATTTGCGCTTAGTATTAAAATACACATGGCAATCGTAATACAAAATATATTTTATATCAAATTTATTTATAACGATTAATTAATTATTTATTTAAATTATTTCTAGCACTTTTCTTAAAAAATCTACATGCCATTACGATAGTTACTCATTCTCGGACACTAACTATAAATAACTGTTAACATGATTTGTCATTTTTGAAAAATAATCGGTAATTTTCCGTTTTTTATCTTCAATAAAACTCAAAGGTTTGGCGGGTTCTTCAACTACATCCTCTTCCATGCCAATCTCTATTGATTCTTTTTTTGGCTCATTACTAAAAGAACTTTGATCAACTTTCTTTATTCTATCAATTTCAGTTAGCAAGGTTAATTCTTCACTACTACTTTCTTTGGATACTGACTTGCTACCATCAATCATATCAATTATTTGAATTACTTCATCACTGTTGATAGGAGATTTTTTTGTACTTTTCTGTTCAACAGAAATTGGTAGCGCGGGGTACTTTTTAGGACTTGTATTTTTACCACTTTGTTTACTTTGTGAATAATTTATATTACAGATTTCACTTGTTTTAATGCCTTTCGAATTTGGTGTGTTTTTCTTGTTTTTCAATTCCTGATCATTAGTGGATGATGAAGGCATATTAACTTCAGTTTTTCTCTTTTGTGTATTAAAACATAAAAACTGTTTTAGTGTAGGTTGTGATTTCATATCAAAGTGGCACTGTTGTATGAAACAGTACAGTTTATCTTGAGATAAATTTGCAGTGCAGAATCGACACAGGTACCTCCACAACTGACCTAAAAGCACACAAATAATAAGACAAACACCTATGTATATATAGTTAGCAAGAATTACAGATCAGTATTTTATTGTTAGCCAAAAACAGATGTATTTTATAGAAATCATCCCTCAGTTCAGTGTCGCCAAACGAGTAGTAGACTAAATCCCTACCAGAGGCGCTGCACGCCATTAACTGAATTATGGATTTTAACTTGGGGTCCCCTTTGAAAGCTCCACAGCCCCAATTCCCAGTAGCAACTGGTGACAAATTTTGTTTCTCTTTGCTACTGAAACCTACATACGCCTGAAAATGTTATTTTCATCAATTATTTCTACATAAGAATTTCTATACTTTATTTAATTCTCTTAAAATTGTTGAGCAGTGAAATTGATCTTTTGACTTTGTAAAGCGTGTTGCGTCTATCACAGCCACAGTGGTTTTTCTTCTACCATATTCATCAAATGGTGTTTCATCATTGACATTTCCATTCCATTTAAATGAATCAGAATAACCAGAATAATTACTGTATCGTTCCACACCTGTTATAACAAGTGCTTCACCATCTCCCAATTCCTCTGTAAAAAGCCTACTGATGATGAGTTCTGGACAAATAACAAATCTTATTTCTTCTTGTACACAGCCATAACCCAAGACTCCACCTCCTACAAACCTTAATTTAAACTTTAAAATTACATATTTTACATAAATTACAAACTTACTTGTTTGCAAAATCAACTTGTAATAATCCAAGTCCTTCTTCAATTGTACCAGAACTTGTTATATGAATTCTAGTGTTCCCTAAATTATTGTCCAAAGTGTCCCATCTAGGCATGTAACTTTTTGGTACATACTTTCTTTCAAATGTTATAACACCAACTGGGTCTGCAAAATAATATGAGAAATGTAAATATCCAAATTTTATTATTTACTTTTTGCTGTGACTCGTCTGAAATAATGGAGAATACATTTTAATTTTTCTGAAACACAATTTTGTCTACTTATTCTTTCATCAGCTGTGAATAATCTGCAATGATAACATTATATAAAGTACTAAAATTTTCTCATTTGTTACTTGATAAAATTAATGCCAGGATACGTTCCAGCCATTTCTTTTCGCCATATAAAAGTACACAAAAAAGCATTGGCTAGCAAAGAAGCCACTTGCAACTGACTAAAACTAACTGATTTGGAGTGATTTTTCTTCAGCAGCGGTATGCTGCCTGGAACAAACTCAGGCAATCGTAAGGCAAGCTGAATAATTTTAGGTAATAAGTGTGTGAAAAAGTGTTGTGCTTCATCTTCTTCTAAAACCTGAAGTAATTCTCATAATTTTTTATAATGTAAGCAAGTACACTTACTTACTTCATGAAAAAAGTGATGTAAAGCGCTAAACTTGGGAAGTTTGTTATTGTAACAACTTATTGCTTTTTCTAGTTCATTTACAGAGTTAATTGGCCGAGAGAGTGCTTCCGTTATTATCTCCCATCTAGGTTTTACAATTTCTTCTTCATTCTATAAACATACAAATAAAATAAGATTCATAGATATTACACATATACACACCTCTTTCACTAAAAATAAACTGTGCGGAGAATAAGGCATTCGAACATAATCATCTTCCCAGTGTTTAGGATGTGAATTGTAATGTGGTTGTGGAGGTTCTTTTAAAGATGCAGGAAATTCATATAAAATATGATGATATTTGGACGGTGAAATCAGCGTGGTGCTAAAACACCAAGGGACCTGTCCTTTGTACATATCCAACAAAGGTGTGCCTAACCATGTTTGATCTGTAGTTTTCTCATCGTTATCGTACATGATGAAATTCTGCGCAACCTGTAAATAAGTAACAAATGAACAAAACTAACGCATTTTTGGAAGCCATTATTTATGCACCCTAAATGTAACAATTGTTTTCTCTTACCCGTATAAACTCGTTTGTTGTTTTTAACTCTCTTTAAATTATTATTATTTTAATAAAAGTTCAAACACACACAAAAGAAAGCAACAATGATAAAAATTATAGGTTATATTATGTTATATGTCAAAATGACATTTCTGTTCATCACGGGAACAACACACTCTATGGAAAATGCTGATAGAAAACTCAGCGTTGCCAGAATGCCAGACCGTTCTTGAATTCCGTAATAGGTGGCAGCACTGTTGCCATTTTTTTTTGGGTAAGGCGCAAACTGCATCGTCAATTATCGCGAAAATATTACAGGAAAAATATACGTTTTACAAAAAAATAATTTTGATAGGTCTGATTATCGAAAATAAATAAACAACTTAATTTTTACATTTTTAATTCAGCTGCACTAAAATAAAAAATAAACCGAATGCTTTGAAATCTTGGAGATGTTTTAAATTTATAAGCATGGTAAAATTTTGATCAAAATGTATTTGCTCATCCCCCTAAAAATTTGATGACGCCGCCGCAAAATTTTGCTAAAAAAATGCTATCTTAAATGTGTAAAGAATGATGAGTGAGTCTATACTTGTGATTTATCACTGCGTTAATATTTTTTAGATTTGCTTATACGGGGTTTCTGAAAAAAATTAATGACTGAGTCAATTAATTTTATTGATTAAATCAAGAAATGCAAAACTGAATACTCTGAAATCTTGCAGACGTATTTGCCTTAAATTACAAGTACTATACAGGATGTTCTTTTTATCTGTTTACGCCTGACAATTTTTGCATAGGCAACATATTATACACCTCTGAGACGACTTCGTCCAATTTAATTTTTTTTTAATAAGCAATCATAGTAATCACAAAAAAATGACAAACATGTCAATGCCAAATAATGACAAAATTGAAAAAATTAATACTCATTTTATTTTAAAAAACCCCGCTACAAAAATGTAATACGAAAAACAACATAATAGGCATGCAGTCGTCACGTTTCCGACAACGAGGGAAGCACTGTCTAAACTCTTTAGACCAATTTTTCATATTTACTCTCCGACTTGGTGGGAAGTAAACTGGATGTTGCTTTTAAAGCTTCCAATGCTACTTCTTGTGATACAATTACTTTATTCCATTGTAAATGAAGACGCGTTTTTATAAAAAGTTTTACGTGGAAAATAATAAACAATGGTTGCTATGTAAAATCTACAGCCAAATACTGCATTGAAAGGTTGCGGAATTTTATTGATTTTAATATTTTAAATTTTTGCAGATGTTTTAAAGTTATCGTAATCGCAAAATTTTTAATCAAACTATTATATTTTTCCACAGGGTTTTCGTATTAATCCTGTCGAATTTTTTCGCAAATATTTGGCTTTAAGACCTAGAAAAATTACCCATAAAAATCTGTTAATTTTTTATAGAAAAAAAAAATGTTCAATGCAACGTATAGGTATTAACTCATTTTATAGAAGATATCCGAAACTAATTGTCAAGTTTTTAAAACTTAATGACAGCAGTGTGACTTACAGGACACTGTTTTTGGAGACCCTCAACCACCTGGTTGGCTGATGCTGGAGGAGATATTCTAGATCTTAAAGGTCATGGTGGTTGTCGTTCCTGCAGTGTTTTTACATTTTTACATTACATTTAAATGCCTCCAATATTTTAGTCACATCTTTTGGTTACGGTACATTACGTGGCAGTATATACTTCTCTGCAATTAGTAAAGAAGTGAATCCCGCTAATGGCCCAGAATTAGCTCCACTTGAAAGATATTGTGCAAATGTCAAAAGGCATAAACGCAAGAACGGCGAAATTGCAAAAAATGGATGAACTAAATAAATAATTAAAAGCAAATGAAAATAAAAATAAAAACACACTGAGAATACAAGGAACGAAAGAAGTGTGCAAAACCCAATGAAATCTTTAGCACTTGTTAATCTTAACTACAATGAGACATTATTATTTGCTTAATAACAAGCTAGTTAAATCATTTAATAAAACGGTTTTATTTTTTGTCGCGCATTTTCTTTTTTTATGTCAATATTTCGCACTGTGTGAATAAGATTCATATATCTTAAAATGTGGTATGTAAGTGAAAATGTAACTAAAAAATTACCAAAACATTTTTGTTTCAATAATACCGACTATTTACGATAACAGTCAACTACTAGATGCTATACTTAAATGCCCTTTAAAAAATATAATAAAATTAATTTCGAAATATGTTTTATAGAATTCTGAAATTTTGACTTACGGTAGCCTTGCTCTCACAGTAGGTACGATTTGTATGTCAACTGTATTTCGCGAATATTCCTTATTTACAGTTCAAAAACTAGCCGGACAATGCTGTACATCTTGGGGAATTTTTAACAACCAAATTGAGCCACTTACAAGAAAATATTTAATATTAGAAGCGCACATATTGTAATGGATAATTTGCATAGAGCTAAAAATTGCAATAATTAATTCGAACCCATTGACATTTTTCTCTATTTCTACCTCCATGCAAACGAAGACCAGTTATATATTCAAGTACACAATACTTTTGAAGTAATCATTCAAGAACATTGCTAAGATTATGTGTGTCATATGGAGACATTTTTGCGAAATGCAAAAGTTTGTAGATATAAAGTCGGGGCACAATGAAAAAAACAGGAGAAACATGGTTAGATTTTGAAACTTCGTACACAAGAACTATTTTCTCACCAACAGTATGCTGAGAATCACTGTAAGTTAAAATTGAGCAGTGAGTGAACTTGTATATATATATTTATAAAGTCTATTTGTTATAAGAATTCCATAGTCTTGTAAAACCGTAACAAATAATACTTTTCAAACGTTACTATTTTTGTCTCACTTTCTCTCATTGCGGTTGAGATGATACGTATTGCCTAGTATTTTAGGGGCGGTCCTAAAGATCTACCGGTAGGTGCGTACAAAGCAGAAGTTCTCAAACAAAAAATACTGTTTTGTTGAACTTGAAAATGAGATGTTTCATGAAACAGATGAAATGTAAATTTTAAGTTAAGGTGGTATCACTCAGAATTGTCACACAACAGTTGAGCATAAATAACTCTTCACGTAGTCCAAACACTCTCTAGTGTTCTCTAGTCACTTTTCAAATATCTTAACGACTGCTACTGCTATCGTTGTTCCGTGCGTGTAGGAGGTATAATGTTGTCGCTCTTTCAAAATGACCGCATCAAATAACGGTAGACGCTTAGCGAGGTTTTAATGAAAATTGGTCTGGACCACTGGAAGAGGGTGGAGCGTTGTGCATGCTGCATCCGAAATTCCGCGTGAATCACAAATGCAACCTTTCACAGTTTTTATGATAACGCTGAATTTTGTAATTTAATCTATAGGTAATATTGCAAATGAAACCCTTGCTATGGAACAGAAGTAGTATAATAAATAATATAAACATTTTGTGTACCCCAGTTATAATAAAACAATGAGTATTAAATTACAATTATAATATATCTATCAAAACATTAATTTTATAATTTAATTTCTTAAATTATGCATTTTTTTGTAATTTAAGTGAATTCGATCGATAAAAGTACCTAACAGAATAATTAACAAAAACAACTATTACAATAAATTATTTAAAAATACAGAGTACATACATCACTAATTGCAAGTGTCACATTTCCTAGACACCGAAAACAGAAAAGAACAACAATAAAACATTTATTACTCAGAAAAGTCTAAGTAATAAGTGAATATACTTATATAAAACTGTTAGAACAGTATTTATTTAAACTTTGGTCTAAACTTGTTTAGACAGAACATACCGCGCTCTTGAAGCAAAGTATAACATATTTAGCTTTGTTGAAAAAGTGTAAAGATTTGATTTTGCATATCCTAAATCATGAAACGTTGAGAAAACAAAATTAGAAATTCGTGCGATGGACCCTATTACAATACTTTCCTAGCTTATGCTTGAGAAGAAAGAAACAACAATAACTGTAACAAACAATACATAATTCAGACATAAAATTTAGGATAAAGAATTTCTTATTCTCTCTGCCTCCAAATATAAAAAGTTAACTTTTATGGTCATCCTTAATTAATTCCTTTAGATAAAAATTGAAAAAAAAATCTTTTAATTTCTGATGCATTTTTTCTTTATAAAATGTTTCGTCTCTGGAAATTTCTTCGTATAAAACTCCTTTCGGTGTCCAAAAAACAAAGAAGCAACTTTTTTTATTAGAAACATAGAGTTGTCCTTGAACTTGATAAAAGTAGCTATGATTGCGTTTGAGTTTGAATTTATTATTTACTATTGTTGCAAAGTCTACTTTTTTTTGATTAATGGCTTCTTCAGGAGTGAGAAATCTGGCTGCATAAGGGCATTTTATCTCTAAAAGTGTATTTTCACCAATTATGCCATCTGGAGAGGCACCTAAATAATTGTCGGTTGGATGAATATATAATCCACATGGACGAATTTTTTCTTTTAAAATAGATTCCATGTCCCGTCGAGCTATTACTTCATTATCTACTCCATATCTGGTACTCGTATTGCCTCTAAATCCTGTCAAAATGGACCTACTAACTTTTAAACAATCTGTCTGAGGCCGAAGTTTACATATCCGACCGAATGCAGAAGCTGTAAGACGGATTCGTCTTTCTTCATGCCACAATGTGCAGCTTGATTGTTCCTTGGTAGAAGCTTCAAACTGATTAATTTCTTCTATAGTTTTGCATAATCTATGTATATAACGTTGTTTTAATTCATCTGAGATCTCCGTGTCCATTATGTGAGGATCCAATCCATAATCTGCATCCGCAGTTGCTTTATCTAGAGATCTTTTTGCGTTTCTTTTCTCTCGGTCATAAAGAAGACGTTTTCGACATAAAACTGCTTTTCGTTTATCCACAAACCTTTTTGTGTGCACTCCAGGACTTCTGTGTGTTATGGCTTGGTGAATCTTTGAAAGATATTCACCTTGCGAATTCCACGAATAACCAGCTGCAAAACACCTTAGACTGTATCCTCCTCTTCTCGTGAAATCAACTCTTTTACCTCCAATAAATTTTGCTAAGACAGAGTTATAATTTTCGAAAGCATTGTTTGTCATGTTTTTCAAAAGGCTGCTGCTGTTATTAACCAATCTGTTTAAGTGGATTATAATCTCATTAT